TATCTGCTCAGTATGGTACACAGACCATTGAGAAAGTTGTCCACCAGACAACAAGGCATCAACAACTAGTTTCGGGTGCCTCAATGGCGTCTAGGTTCTACCGGTACGGTTCAGATGGTTCCAATGGCACCTGGAATGCCCCACGACCGAGAGGATAGGACACCCGACGAGTTTACCGCATAGTAGTTACGTAGTCTGGAGCATATAGCGTTGCTGAGATGCTGCCCTTCGCCGCACGTCTTCGCCGATATGTCTGTCAATTCTGTGCTCACGGTTGGCGACCGACATTCGCTGGTCCTCGGCATGAGCTTGGGTGCATATTCAAAGTCCGAGCCAAAAGGGTAGTCGCTATACGCGAAATTCCCAGCGACGTACTATTGCATTAGCATACTGCGCCGAGGTTACATATTGGGTCACATTGCTAAGCCTTCAGGGTTTTATTCGGCAATTCCTAATGGCAGAACTGTTTGGAAACGCATGTCAGAGACATCTGATGTCGACTGCCAATCGCTCCGTTGAATCCTGCAGAAGCAGTGCCTCTTATGTATGTCTGTCCCGCTTGGACCTACCGTGGGGCAGGCGGAAGCCTCACGGCCCCTCTCGGTCCGCGGCGTTCGACGTGCGTTGATGTATGTACATCAACCTAAACTAGTCATTACATAGAATCTCAGAATTCAAGGAACTGTGATCATGATGTTTAGCATCAACCCTACAAATCGCAACAGGAGCAAACGCTTATTCCTCTGGAGTGTAGATACAACCCGTCTCCGCAGAACAGAGCTCTTATAATGAGCTACTAACACCTGATGTTTATTTGAACTGGAATATATTTACGGCAATGCCGGTGGTCATATTGGTAGACATCGATGAACACTGGCAAACAGTAACATTACCCAAGGACAATTACATATGGCTAGTCGCTTGGGGATCTGATTGAATGTAGAACACTGCATGTTTGATAAGGCATCTGCCGTAGATGATGTTACTCGAGGCAACTTGTGATGAAGTTATCCGAAGTGCCATTCCAGCTCAACCTTACCAGATTTATCCTGCTCGAAAGACCAGTGCGACAGGACATATTCCTTACTAGACACGTCATATGACGCCAACAGTAAGAGTTTACGCATGGTTGGAAACAAACGGAGTTTCCTATCATTCATCGGCATGCATTGTAGCGTACCGTAGCCAGTCAGATAGAGTAGACTGCTACGAGGCAAAATCTGTGGCTTGTAAAGGCTGTAATCTAACAACTCGCTATATGTTGAGCATTACGTACAGAGTGGGTGAGAAATCTCTAAGAGCGAGATAATCATATCCTCTAAGCTATTTAAACTCATAATTCATTGCCTTTTTCATTCATACTACACCAACCTAGACAGATACGACATGATCCAATCCTGCAGCCCCAATGGTTTGTCGGTGATATAAGGATTGTCGATAAGCACAACGTAGGCTCGTAACCATCGATAAGCTTAGTGCTAGTCTAGACAACAAGGCCATAAGTCGATCCAAACCACTCGATATCACCCAGTAACTCCACGGTGCGTAGGTTTTCAAAACAATCTCCTTAGGTTTTCTGCCCGCATTTGATAAGGTACTGGTGAATAGTATACTAAATGGAAGCATTGTGATTTCAAATGAAGCGCACAAATATGTGGCTCTCTAATGCTTGTATCGAGATCGTTCCTTCACAACACTAATCATCTTCTATCGGTCAATAATAGAGCCAATCTGTTACATGCTATTGCTTGCAGCTTTTTTTATTGGTCGTTTCGCAAAGTAAAAGAATTTTTTTAATCTTGTCAACCGTTTTCATCGACCGGAACTGTATTGTCTGCCTTTGCAAATATTAAATCATCCTAAGCCGTGCGTTAAGCGACATGAGACGATGGGATACTCTAGCGGTACATAGAGCAGATCTGATCACTAATGATAGGCTAAAGTCTGAATTCGAAACTATCTGACAGCGTGCCAAGTCTACTTACAATTTGCGAACCAAATATAAATCGAGGGATAGGTATTACCCCCTAAGGATAGATCCAACAACGCTATCCTAATCTTGCTAGTTATAGGTAAATTAGTATTATTATTATATCTGAATTATAAAAATTTCTATTTCTAACACTGTTTTTAAGCGTTGCTTCCAATTGTTTTAGAGAAAACAGTAAAGATTATGATAATATTACTGCTAATAAATCCGCCTTCTAGCTTACGGCGTCATTCTTAGGGGACTTGCCATAGCTAGTTATATAGTAAATACGATGATTCCCATGACATGTTCATGTAATGAAGTTGTTACGGTTGTATTATTAAAATGTTGGCCAAGAAGCTTCAGGGTGTTAATGTAGACGTTTAACACGGCTGAATAATAATGAAAGAACCGTTCCATTACGACTGAAATTCGTGAAAGCGATGAATATCTCTAAAATAAACTTATTATTACTAGGTTTATAGCTGTCAATTGCGCAAACATAAAAGTAGAGTGTATATAGGGATGGTGGACACTGATTACAGCCTGTGCGAGCCGTATAGGAGCGCAGAATAATGATATTAGATAGAGGTAGTGTTTCTATTTCTTGTCCTTTATCTCGGGTTATATGCTAGAATACTGACTGTCGCCTGGCTGTAATTTTTCTTGAACTCGACTTCTCGGCTGTCCCGGTGTTACAACCCCATGAAACTGCGAAACAGTCTACAACAGTATTAAATTGAGCAGTGTTTAATTAAGGGGGCAATCTTCGAGCGATCACTCTTCCATACGGGCGCAAGAACAGCTCCCAGCGGCTGGATTCAAACAAATCCGTGGAAGTAACTGCCCATAGCTCGATACATACTCCGAAGCCCTTTCGCAAGAGCTTTTCGTATTATTGCTAATAGAACGTCCTCCATAGGGCTGCAGATCTAGTCTACCACGCTGCTCTTACAGTATTGAAAAGACCACCAACCTTCCAAACGCAATATGTAGGCATCCCAAAAGTGGCTAACTAGATTGCCAGCCTGATCTGTCCGGTCTTATTATCCAGGATCCCGTCCCACCACATGCTTTACCATGACAACTTAATGTTTCTTTTTGATGTGCCTAAAAAAAGAAACTTAAAACAAGAAAAGAACCGAGGGGCTCGTAATGATACCAAAGTATACAGTGGAGGATGTCTGCCATTAAGCTTCGAAGAGGGAGGAGGATGAGGAAATCGATCTTTCCACGGGCGCCTCCCAATCGTTGCGAATTATTGGGACGTGTCATAGTGACGAACTTGCTCAACAGTACAGCCATGACACATGTCAACAATTGGGGACAATGATTGCCTAATAAGGATGTGCTATGAATCCTAAACCCTCTCAGGGGGTTTGCTCCAGAACTCGTGGGTAACACGCGTGACTAAGGTTGTGTATTGATTGAAAAAGTTAACGAATGTCTCCATCTTGACGACCATAAACGCCACAGTATTATGCCTCGTTACTAATTTAGAAAACATACATGCAATGTGACTGTTAGTTAGTGTATGCCTAGATATCCGGACCAAATACAAGATGGTTTAGAAGTAGTGACTCAAAAGGCTATCTGTTCGAAAACCTTAAAGTCCTACACCGATTGTAATATCAGTAACGATCTGTTGGGTTGCTAAGGTGATCATGGCTTTCAGAAAGGCTTGTTCAATCTGGGACACTCCAAATGTGAGAGGCATGATTTAACATAAGCTATATGATGGCCAACCAGCCACACCAGGGGATCGCCTACAAACATACAAATATACACTAAGAAGACTGTGATTATTGTGATGTAAGCACTGAGAAGGAACCCCGCACCACACGAGCGCTCATTATGTCAAAATCTGACTGGGCGATTGCACCAGGCTTGATTGTTCACGTAAATATATTGCGTTGCTCTCAGGGTTGATAAGTTGGATTCTCTACCTAAGTATGATTAACTGTAGTGTTCTGATTGATCTCCTAGGTTTGCATGAAAACAGCCTTCGAATTTTTTTTTATTTTTTTTCAATAACCCTCATGCACGGGGTATAGATACAGTAAATGTCTAAAAATCTCTAGGGCTGAAGAAAAACCCAACTTCTGTTTTGTGTGCCAACCTACGCATTCGCCCTAGAGGAGAACATTCGACTTCAGCGTCGCCTTTCCCCAGGGTAAAATTTCCAACAAGACGTTTCATGCGTGTAACTTGGCATTGCCAACCAGTTAAATTAAAACCTAAGTATGTTGGAGAATAAATTTGCTATGAGTTTGTGTATTGAGCGATCTGGAAAGTGCCCTACGACATATTGAGGGTTTCAGTCTCCAGTCCCTATCAACATTCAGGTACGAGATGATACCCATTGTAAGGACTGCTGCCAAACATTACGTTCTTAAGCCGAACGAATACTGAACTTTTGGAATAGAGCAGTGAGCCCTTGCCGTGATCTCTATGGTCAAGACACCTTTGTGGTAAACATACATGTTTATACTCATTACTTTCAAAGAGCCAATGCAAAATACCAAGTGCACGTCACGGACGACACACAAGAACCCGATCATTATCCCAATGTTAGCAGCTTGGCACTTGGCGATTTCGTAGCATAACTTGTTGACAATCGCCAGAGAAGAAACATGAATGAATTTCTATGTGCCTATTTTCATATTGAGGCGCGTCTCGATACACTAATGGGTGGATAGTCAAAACTGGTCTTTACTTCTGGTTTAAGAACGGCTAGATACACTAAGCCCACCTCATATGCAAACAATAGGGTTAATTCTCACTACATCGGAAGAATTTTTAATACCTAGCTAACCATTTATTGAGGGCTCTGGTCGAAATAGTGGTTGTCTGGTGTATCCCGAATTTGAGTTGCATGGCAATGTCAGAATTGTGCTACCCGGCCAATTTATTCTGTGCAGACAACTTATCTTTGGAATGTGGTGATTGGCCTCAGCAGCTGGCATTGGCTGTTTAATTGGACTAACCGAGGCACAAGATCTGAGCTAATTGTATGACGCGCTTGTTCAAGCGCAAAGACCCAAAGATGCTGCAAGAGATACTGCGAGATTGAGAGACTCTACAAGAAACACGGTTAGCTTGATGCAACTGTACATTGAAGGTTCTCCGCTGCTCATTAACTATCAGCGGTGAACTATTTAAGCGCTTGAAGGACGCCGAGGCCGGTCCCCACGCCGGAACGCACGTTTCCTGGCTCGCCGATGGCGTGATTGAAACTTGCGCGCAATACCCAGCAAACTCACATTATAATATATTCTAGCAGCCGACCTCATGGCTAACGAGCCACCGCCCAATCCGGGGAATGATTCCTCCATCTCAAAGAGAGCTTCTTCTCAGCAGAAACAGGCTGCTAGACCGTCGAATTCTGTGTCACCAAGGCGACAGTCGACGCAGGGGAGGATCGATGCGATTCTCGAGGTGCGTATTCATTGGACTCCGCCGTCTCTGAGCCAAGCATTTGTCGGAATTTCTGTCACCTACTCGTGGGACGACTTACGTAATCGGAGGCTTGAAAAAACAGACATCATAATTGCACACCTATAGCCAGCCTGCTTTGACTAACATGTCAGCGTAGACGGGCAGAGAACGGGCCTCCAGTATGAGAAATGCATCTTGGTCGTCTGGCCGTAGTCCAAACCTCCAACCAGTTTCACAATCCCCAGATCATGAAGACGGTCCCGATGAGAGGACGGGTATATTCATGAGGGGCAACACGAGAGACTATCAAGCCACCCAAGTTAATACACCCCCCATATCCGGCCAAACGTCTACTCATGCGTTACCTTCTTCAGCACCTGCTACGAACGGTACTGCTAATGGACACAACGCCAACAAAGAGAAGAATAGTTGGAAACAGTACCTCTCAGGAATATGGGCCATTGAGTTAGAAAACAAGGGCAGCGTTGCTAGAGATCACCTAGCCTTGGGTAAGCTTACTTGATGGTTCACATAACCGGAACAAACTAACGATTGCCCATAGAAAGAACATTCCTTGCATGGTTGCGGACTTCATTAGCGTTCGCGTCAATTGGAATAGCTGTGACGCAGTTGTTTCGCCTGAATACGTCCCTGAATAGTGCGCCCGATGATTCATCGTTTCAAACAATTCGGCACTTAGGCAAACCATTAGGGGCGTGTTTTCTCGGTATTTCGATCCTTGTATTATTCTTGGGATATCAGAGATATGTGCAGAGTCAGCATTGGATCATCTCGAAAGGCAAATTTCCTGCATCACGAGGAACAATTGTCCTAGTATCTGCAATTGCATTTGCGCTCATGGTTGTATCATTAATCGTAGTTGTTGTCATTCAGCCCGCTGAGACTTCTGATTAGGTTAATGAAACTTTTTTATGAAATTTTTTCTATTATTGGAAGAAGAAAAAGAAAAGAAATACCCTTATGATGCAAAGATTTTAAGTCGGCATCGAATCGTAAATCAACCTCATTTTATTGATCTGCCATAGCCAATGAATGCCCGAAGTGGAGTTGTGGTGTGACGACTCACTTCGGAGGAATTGATTTTTTGTCTAGTGACGTGATGGGGTAAAGGACTAACCTTACTGCACTGTAGCTGTTGGCTCTGACCAGAGCGATTTATAATATCCATTACAGCCAGCGTCCAAGCGACAACTTCACCAAGCACTTCCGGACTCGCAATATATTCCACCGGATAATTTTTAGATATATTGTCACGGTACATCGCAATTTTCTGAGGCCGCAAAGTTGACATCATCATTTATGCGAAAGTACACCGAACTGCAGAGCAAAGGCTGGAAGGCTCCAATGGCACAGAAAGAACCCTTGGATGTTGAGGCGTTTGCGCAAACGCAGCTTGCTCTTCTCAATGCCGAGTTACAGAACGAGCTCCAAGAAACCAGTGGCTTGATCTCAAGTACAAGCCCGACTTCTCTGCACCGCGCAGGATTGGCCATCACCAATCTTGTCATCTCAGCCCAACGCACGGGTCTGGGCGGCAAAACAATGTTGGAACTCAGTCCTGACAGTGCACAAAACAGCACTGGAGAGCTCCCAGAGCATGGTATTCGAACTGGGGACATTGTGCTGGTCTCTGAGCAACCCGCGGGCAGCGCAAAGAAGAAAGAGATCAAAGACCTCGAAAAGAAGGGTGTACGAGGCGTCATCACTAAAGTAAAGACGGACAGCGTTGCAGTCGCGGCCGATGAGGAAAGGGACGATGTACAGATCGCTGGACGTGTCTGGTTAGTCAAGCTGGCAGACGATGTAACTTATCGCCGAATGAACCAGACCATGGAGAGACTGTTGAAGATGTCGGAATCAGAATACTCCATGTTCACACGAGTGTTGTTTGGTCTAAGCACACCTTCCTTTGTTCCTGCTAATCTGAGTTCCGATCCGGAGTACGGAAATATCGAATGGATCGAGCCTGGCCTCAACGACTCACAAAAAGACGCCATTCGATTTGCTTTGTCGTCGAAAGAAATAGCACTGATTCATGGCCCACCAGGAGTGAGTGAGCTGATGCCGTGTCGACTCAGTTAAGATAACTAACTTTGTACAGACTGGGAAGACACATACACTGATAGAACTGATATTACAGCTCGTCAAGAAGGATCTACGTATCCTCGTCTGTGGGCCATCGAACATTTCGGTAGACAATATTGTGGAACGCCTCTCGCCGCATAAGATTCCCATCCTGCGACTCGGGCATCCAGCAAGACTACTACCCTCTGTTCTTAACCACTCACTTGATGTGCTTACACAAACCTCCGAAGCTGGTCTTATCGTGAAGGATGTTCGAAATGAGATGGATGCAAAGCAAGCGTCGATTAAGAAGACACGGAACGGTAGAGAACGAAAAGCGATCTACACCGACCTCAAAGAGCTAAGGAAGGAGTATCGAGTAAGAGAAAGACAGTGTGTCGATAACCTGGTTTCTGGTAGCAAGGTTGTGCTCGCTACCCTTCACGGAGCAGGAGGCTTCCAGCTCAAGAAAGCGAGCTTCGACGTAGTCATTATTGATGAAGCAAGTCAAGCTTTGGAAGCGCAGTGTTGGGTTCCGTTACTATCAGCAAAAAAAGCTGTCTGTGCCGGGGACCATTTGCAATTACCACCAACAATCAAATCTACGAACTCTAAAGTAAAGCCGGAGATGAAGGAGGGCAATAAAATCCTCAGGGACGTAACTCTCGAGACAACTCTATTTGACAGGTTGTTGGCTCTTCATGGGTCTTCCATCAAGCGAATGCTCACTACGCAGTATCGCATGCACGAGAAGATCATGCGTTTTCCTTCGGATGAGCTGTACGACGGGAGATTGATTGCAGCAGAGGGCGTGAAAGATCGATTGCTTAGAGATTTGCCGTATGAAGTTAGGGACTCAGAAGACACAAACGAGCCCATCATCTTCATTGATACCCAAGGAGGCGACTATCCCGAGAGAAACGAGGACGAAGATACCGGGAAAAAATCGAGCGTCAAATCCCTCTTGGGAGATAGTAAGAGTAATGAAATGGAAGCGGCTTTGGTCAAGCAGCATGTTCAAAAATTGGTCGATGCTGGCCTCAGACCCGAGGATATCGCAATAATCACACCCTACAATGCTCAGGCAAGTACTCACGGAGTTGACATGATATTCAACTCTACGGACCTCGAGGCTTTTGATTAACATTGTGTCTAGCTTGCAATTCTGGCCCCCCTGAAGGAGTGTTATCCTGGAATAGAGCTTGGCAGCGTAGATGGCTTCCAGGGGCGGGAGAAAGAAGCTGTTATTTTCTCTCTTGTCAGAAGCAACCCCAATGGCGACGTTGGATTCTTGGGTGAGAAGCGGCGTCTAAATGGTAGGTCACCAGCGATGATACGCTACCCTGGCTCGCCCCCTCGTGGCTGCATGAGATTAATGCAGGTTCAACAGTTGCAATGACGAGGCCGAAACGATCACTGACGGTCATTGGTGATTCGGACACGGTCAAAAAGTGAGTTATCAAATTTCTAGACAATGGATCATACTCTTGAGTTCTATCTTTGGGGGCTTAGTGGCATTTCCAACCCCTCAAACACTTCTGAGTTGCGGGATGTTTCTAACGGCGATCGTACAGAGGGAGCAAGTTTCTCAAGGATTGGATGGAGTGGCTCGAAGAGAATGCAGATTTGCGCTATCCAGACCTCACATCTCTGGGCTGACAGATGTTAGTCAATGATGGTTTGGTCAAAGAAGGATACTCGCAAATGTGCACGATGTTCTGACACGATGATGAGTTCATCCAATCTTGGTTGCATAAGGCAGTGCACGGCATATCCCTTGGCCTTTCCGACTTTATGCTTCTATTCGGAGATATAACAAATGGTCATCTAAGCCCAATTTTAGTGCCCGGCGTTGTAAAAACATCATGCACATCGTACACCCCCAGAGGCTCCAGTGTTCATTCGCTAATCGGGGGTTGGAATAATATCCGACATTTGTCGAGACTGTGTATTGGCAGGCTGGAAGAATGTGTACATACATAGTTACATAGTAGTAAAAGCCTACGGATCCGTACTACCCTGTAGAGATAGGTGACGGTATCTGGCCATGCTGTTCATGGTTCATGTTTCAGGTGTGCCTAGAGTGGACAACCCCCGGGGGAGCCCTAAGCCTTTCGGGGCATCATGACCCAGCAGCCATGTGGCAGCTGCCCCATCTGGGAACTACCTAATTAATGATTGTATTGATTTTGAGAAAGAATAACAAAGGACTAAGAAAGATTTAGAAAGAACTTCACGAAACGCCTCTTCCTGGCTAAGCGATACAGACATTTTCCAAAAAGACCCCTTCCGAGCTTCATGGTTGCATTAGCGCATGAACGGTGCAGTCGCTCCAGTAGGTCTAGTGCAATGAGCCGCATTGCAATGACAATATAAAGGCAATTGGTCCAAGATAACTAATCCAAACATCAGACTCAGCCACTCGCAATGCATCCTCTGACAACAATTCCACAGGCCCCTAACGGCGAGTCAAGCAACGGACCTCTACACCGGATTGATCAAATCGCCACAATATGCATGTTCATGTTCCAAAGCAGGATTGGTCTACAGGACATGCGAGATGCAATGTGCTGCAGCTTGACTGCGCTTCCAGAGCCAATTGCCTAAGATAACCAACCATTCTGTTGATAGCCACAAGCACCAGCTGTTAATTGGACCAGCAATGCACAAGCAACTGGCAGGAATCCTGAATATGGCTCACCGCAAGATCTCTTCGGATCATAGTGCAATTCAGCTGGACTATGCTATCGGGGCCTGTCTTCAAATCCACATTCTCACTCATTGAATGAGCGTAAGATCCTGGGCGCATACCGCAACACTGGTAAGCATATCTAGGTTAGGAAAATTGGATTTCGTCATTGCGAAGATCTTAACATCAGAGACCCTTGTTATATGATTGACCTGTCCGCAGTGATAGTCGACAACACTCAGGGCGCTTCTGATCCCCACCGGGACATTTGCTGGGACGGATGTCGTGACAGGTTTCAGATGGAACTGTGAATTGCAGGGGCTTCGCTGCTATAATCAGAACGGGTCTCGAGAGGCTCATCGTACCCGACAGATCCGAAATGGCACGGTTTGGCTCCGATTGTGTGAGCAAAAACACAACACACAAAGAGTGCCAACCTCTCGCAACAACTCCCTTTCGAAGCTTGGTAGAGAATATCCGCAAGTTCTCGCTGCCGTAAAATCAACCCTTAAATCCGTCAACTCATCTGATCATAATCAGTCCCCCCCCCCCCAAAACGGCTGCTAAAATAGTGTCTATCATAGTGGATCGGGGTGATTGTGATGCCTACATACCTAATGTACGTGTCTAGCCATAATTAAGAAACGTAGTAATCTTAGTGCATATTATGGCACAGCGTCGTAATCAGTACGGTGTGAACAAAAGCAAGCAGCTCATACTAAGGCTACATAGTCCACTACCACTCAAGCTACCATAATCACATTTGATCACAGGGCTCACACGACTGACAATAGTGCACGGTCGGTATTATCTAAGTTTCGAGATGTGGCTTGTAGTCAACAGCCAAAGCTGCAGCGTAGCGTTACTGGAGAAGATTCCGGAGACTAATTCCTTGGCAACATTTAGTCGTCACAGTCCTCCAGCCCGCCACTGTAAATCCGCTTGGTGTCTGGGACTGATCTATTGTTCATCGGCCCGCTGCCCGATCTTTGACTTTGACTTTGACAAATCCGTGGTCTAGGCTAGCTTGACTTGACTTGTTCGATAGCGCACGAATTGTTGCGTTCAGGCTGCTCGCTCTCGTCTTCCTCTTGCGTCGGTTCCAAACCCATCTGGAGTCTAGTGGCTACAGCTTGAGCGTTATGGAATCCTTAGTCCTGTAACAATGCTCAGCTTTGCACACGACACACAGACATAGACCTAGTCTCTGGCAGTGCATGCAACTGCAACTAGACTCACTTCATATGGGTCTATTGGCTTCCCGAGAGCAATCCCCACCAAGCCATCAATGGATGTCCACACCCATTCAAACCCTGTCGTCCGTCCCAAAAGTCGGGCTGAGGGGGTCCTGGCCCCTAGAATCCTCGTCGTCCGACTTACCCCAGTCACTTTGTCCCAAAGTCGGTTACTCCCTGGCTCCTTGACTTCTTGGAGCTCTCACCACTCGTGGACATGAATACTCGAAAGTCTCTAGTTACATGTTTCATGGATAGCTAGCCATGTCCATGGGGCCCCATACGAGCTTTGGAAGGCTTTAACTTGTGTCGCAGGACTCCGATATGATACGTGATGCATTGGCCAGGGTCTTCCATGCCTAATTACCATAACTAGCTTCGCGTTCCTCACATTCCTGAGATTCTCCTCGTCCACTGGCTGGCTTCCGTAGAGACCATTCTACGCATATTGATTTGCAAGTGAGAAGCGTGCTGTCGAGCTGCACTCGCTGGCCATGCCAGACGCAGATATCAGCCTTTTGTTGCGTCACAGTGACAATTGCGAACAAGGACGCCAGTCTGAGTGAACGACCACTTGATGATGGATCTTTACTGGGCGCCAAACAATCTTATTTTCGACCTTCTTGTCGTTCACTTCCTTCAATCTTTGTAAAAAGAAATTATTAAAAAAAAGTGTAAGAAAATTTGCAGTGCTGCTGATTTCGTCTTATCGCTGAAACGATGAGGGTCGGTCTCCTCAAGTCTACCTCGAGCGCTGGTCGCCCCAAGGAGGGCCAATCCAATATCCGTGGAAAAGTCATATCTGGACCTATTCCTATACCAGATCCGGTAGAGGACGATGAGTTTCCTATGCGCCAACCTAGCACCGGTCTTGCCACACCATTGGGCAACGAGGGTGCGAACAAAGTTGTGCCGCAGGAGAGGTCTTCTACTCTGGAGACCCGAAGCACCACCAGCGGTACTCTTGAGGTGCCACAGGAGGAAAGGGTAGCATCATCGCTCCGAGCTGGCACAAGACAAGCTTCAGACACATCTGGTAGTCCTACCCAAAAGCGCACAAATAGCACTCTGAGGTACTCCACAATCAGCAGCGCAACAGATCAAAGCCACATCCTTCCTCGTCGCAAGAAGTCCACCCTACGCTCTACCTTAGGAAGGCTTTTTGGGCGAAAGAAAGCAGCACCTCGAAGCTTGGCAACTCATCAGGAGGATCCTGCAAGCTCCGCACAGCATCGCAGTGTACGTAGGGACTATTTCATGCAATGTCAAAAGTTGCTTTTGAGCTAACTCTAGTCTTTCATTATAGGACCCATCTAACCTAGGTCGGGTATTGACTAGAGAGAGTGAACCAAAACGATCTGCATCTTTACCAATCACAGAGTTCGACCGAGCTTTACGCTCACATTCAATTGGACTCGACGACATTCTTGCAATAGAGAGTGCGCGCAATTCCCTCAATGGCGAACCGATGCGGTCCAGACGAAGGGCAGCGACAACGAGTAGCAAGCTGTACATAAGAAAAAGCAGAGAGCTGAACGAGTTAATTGGATTGTCTCCGAGGCCTGCTAGCACTCATGGCAGGACTGTTCAAGACGGCCTTGACGGGGATGACCCGGAAAATATTGGTCGAGCAATAACGAGCGACGTTTTGATGCAACACAGGCGGTCTAGGAGCCTATCTCAGTTGAGAAACGTTGCGGAGGGCTCTAAACCACGGAGTCGCAATGACGAAATTCGCTACTGGAGGGAGAGCTATGGCCCAGGGCTCCAGTCCCCAAGCGCCTCCAGTGCCGCTGTCGAAAACGACGACGTTATAGACGGCACGGGCCACCCTACTCTAGACTTGCCAGAGCTGCCACAGGCCGAAGAGCCAAAAACACCGCCTCAACCATTTGATTTTGGACTTCTGTTTGGAACGAAGATCACGCAGGCAGCAAGCCTTGAAGAGCGTGTGGCTACTCTAGAAGTTCGGAACGAGAAGCTCGAAAGGTTGGTGACACAACTCTTTGAGTTGGTTCCTGGTGTGAACAAGTACGAAGGCATACCACGTCAGAGAGGTGTATCACGGCCCAGCGCGCCCTCTATGGCATACACATCATCCCCAATGGCCCCTTCGGCCTATCCAACGGCATCACTTGGTGAGAGTCCTTCAAGATACTCCAGCTCTCGGCATTCGAACGATTCTTTTGGAGAGGGCGTCACTTTCATTGGCTCTATTCCACCCGCCCCTGGCCCTCTCAACCGGCCCATGTCAACAGCGACAGTAAGGGGGGCGGCCAGTTTGCCCACACTGTCAAGAGAAACATTAAGCGATGATCGCTACAGCACACTCCTGACTTTACTCGAGTCGGAACGGGCTGCACGACAATATTTGGAGGCCCAATTGACCAGATTAAGTAAAAAATTTGACATATTGTCGCAAACTCCGCAAAAAGCCCATCCATTCGTTCAGCAAACCCACCGTATAACTTACTCCGTTTTTGAGCACGATGACGACGATGACGAGGCAAATGAGGCCGGGCGTGATGACCAATCGGTGTCTGAAGCGTTTGAGACGCCACGTGAGGAACGCCCCAAGCATGGGTTCGGGGCGTTTGGAGAAGAGCTTACGGACGAGGATGAAGACGGTTCTCGGAAGAGAGCTGCCAGGACACTGTCGCTGAGCCAGCTAACAATGCGGACGCCTCGGAAATCGCCTACAACAGAGTCAGGTGTCGAGTTATGACTGCATGGCCTGAAGCCACAGATGCAAAAATCCTGATTTTATGCACACTTTTAAATTGCATAGATCGCGCGCACAGCAGCGATCGCGGATACGAGGCTTCACATGGACCACAAGCTAACTTTGTGGCAAGACAGCTCGTCGAAATATTCATGAAAAGTCGATTTCATGTCGTCTCGGAATCCCGGGTCTTCTACATGAACCAGAAGCCGCCGTGGGTTTGCATTGTTGAATTTCTAGCGTTTACCGTTGCTGCATGCGTTATATTCATATCATTTTCAATTTCCGTATCCCGTTCACTTTCGTTTTATATTTCCTTGGTCATCGTTATGAGTTGGCGAAGAGCGCGATGTTGGTATGATACCCAGCCATTGGTGCTATGTGGGGACGAATGTAATAGTAGTCAAAAATGTGTTTGGTCGTGAGTGCCTGGTGAGAATCAAAACGATAATTCAATTGAGAACTCATGTCCAAATATAACTGGCTCGATAGACTTTTTATCCAGCTAAAGTGACTAAGGTGGCTTGAACCAATCGTTCAGGGAATGTTGAACGTTACATTCTCGAATAGTTTTTGTTCTTTGCATTTTCCTCTCTGGTGGTTTTCCCCTCGAGGGGCGGGGGAGGTTTCTTAGGCGTGTGTGGTGATAGAGGAATAATGAAGATTGACTTTATAAGAGCAAACACCAAGTTCTCTCATATAGTGATACGGTACATTTCAGAGAGGAGGTCATAGAGAAGTTGTTCTCCGGACCGATGGTTCAATGCATGTCAACCTGCCCCCGAGGCCGGCTGGCGCCGCTGTAGTTTCCAAAAAAAGGAGCCCGAACAACTAACATTATATTGCTAACGCCTTCCTCGTACACGGATATTTAGTGCGAGTCTTCAATACGGATGCTACACCCATCGAGTATATAAGACGGTAAAACGAAAGACATCCTTTCCTAGTTCTATCGGCAGATTTTTGAGCAATACTTGACCAGCTGGAACATATCTCCCACTTATACATGCAAAACTGCACATACTTAGATGTTTGCTTTTGTCTGAAGTACTCGAATATGTGCTTTATTTTTAATTTTTAGTGCTGTGGTACTATTCGATGCCATCTGTATTTGGTACGTTTTTCTACATTAAGACTATGTGTGTGAAATATAGCCATATGTTCCTATTATCATCATTCATGCCGTTCATAATTATATTATCGTTACCAAGGAATGAAACGCTGAAGTGAGATTGTGTGGAAATGCTCTGGCAGACTGATCGGACAACAAGCTAATCTCAGAAGCACTCCATACAATAGATATCAACTTCTGGCACATGTCTTTAACCCTGAAACATCACGACATTTCAAAGTATACGCATCTCTAATAAGCCTCTTTTAGGAGATTTTCAAGATCACCGTTAGGCTAGAAAGCTGGTTGCCAGCACCTTTCCTACTTCAACTACCGAATATTGAACTATGGCTGTTGCGCCGACTCATAGCACACATCGTTCTTATGAGGGCTTGGCGAGCTAGGCAGCTCATATTACGATGGGCGAAAATCCTTGTTAAACGTCCATTGTGATGGAACTGGTTGCATATTTTCTTGGGACGCCGGTGGCGGTATTGTCTGGCTGTGCGAAGCCTTGCGTTTTCGCCGGAAGTACAAGGCTGCCAGGCATATAATCACTATTATAAGCGTCTCAACAAAGACGCCTACAGTAATTGACACGGTTAAGCCTGTTCCTATGCTAACATCCGGGCTTTGCGTAGCTTGAGCTAATATGGTTGAGAGGCTGTAGATGCTACAAAACTGGTAACTTGCAATTGTGTCGATTATGCAGTTGTCTCGAAAGCTATAGTCTGGCCGACTATAGAGGGCATGGACGAATGGTCTGTAGTTGTGGTTGAACGTATAGCCGTTGAGAAGGTCGCGGTTATGCCACTGGTAGTCAGAGCAGTTGGTGACCGTGATTCCCATCAGTTGACAAACCTAGGTGTGTGCTAATGGGAAGCCAAACCTCGGAAACTTAAAATGATGACTTTATGACCACAGTCAATATTGTAAATCTTGCCGTCAATACAATAGTATACATCCTCGGTAGTATTGTCACATTTTGTGATTCCCATTCCGCCACTTAGTAGGTCATTGCTTGGTAACTCCCCGCTAACGCAGACCAAAAGACAAGATGAGCTTCGCGAGTCTTCATCAGTACAACTCCCACGCGTATATAGAGAGGCGCCCGAGTGTTGGATCTCGTCACCTGTTGCCATACAGAAATTGTTTGAGAGACACGCACAGACTTACCCACAACATGTGGACTCGACTGATTCGTCTGAACACTACAGAATTTGGACTTCATGAGTAATTTTTCATGATGTACCAGGGTCTTCGGGAGTATTGTGAAACGGTCGCAAAGAGACAGTTGCCTCCGATGAGATTTCTTTTCTTTTTCTTTTGGCTCCGTAGACATGCAAGAAACGGTAGAACGTGTGTCTGAAAATTGCTCACGGGTGTCTCTTACGGTGCTGTCAAACAGTCTGGATACTGACAAATAGCGTCTGATAACTTTACAAAAGAAATACAAGAGTAGGGTAGAATGAGATCGCTTTCACTCGTTCATCTCTGCTGTCGATAATACCGAGAAGTGAAAAGAACGCGGGCGAGTGCGGCTTCTTGCAGCAATGATGTGAGACTGCCCGAACGAATTTAAAGCCGATGGATGGAATATCAAGGATCTCTTCATGCCTCCTTACCGGATGTGATGATACCACAGTATTCATGTATAAGTCTGGAAAAACTCCCAACGCCTACTTAAGCGCCCATGTGCCATATGCTAGGTCGTCGATTTGGGCTGCCTGGTCGCAAATATCAGGACACTTGCAATATCTCAATACTTGCTGTTGGCTATACCGCTGGGCTGCAATATAAATACCGGGCCGCGCACATGGATGTCATATGCCATATATACAGAGGCGGCTCCAAGGTCGTAACACATTCCCGGACCGGTGCAGTACCACCTTTCGTTAACTCAAACTCACATTTTTGCACTTCATATGGCTTATACCGACTCAAATAATATCCATTTGGTTCTTGATGCATCACGGCCATCGAAGGTTTTGCTACAAGCAACCTCAAACCTTGACGTCAGGACGGTACAGGGCTAGGCTATCAACCTGTTGAAATCACCAGGTATGGCACAAAGCCTCCCAGGAACAACTCAACCTTTCGATGCACTAATGCAGTCGGTTTCGGGAAACGACTATGACGTAAATGACATACAATCGGAGCTCCGTACAGAGGTGAAAGGATTTCCATCAGCTGGTGGTCGTTGTGTGCCTAGGCGCCAGGAAACTTTGAGAACCGAAGAAAAGAAGGAAAAAGAAAAGAAGAAAAGGTCCTAATGCGAGCTTTGCACATTACCGTGCTCATCAATTCCACGCAGCATGAAGAGTGAACGGCGTCTGAAACCCACTGGCTCTGTCTCAAGATTGCCGACAATATGGGAAATGGCCCTATTTTGGAAGGGGCACAGAGTTCACCCACCAATTGCATACCTGCATACGCCCCAACCTTACTGGGGGGTAGGACAGGGAGTGACACCTCCCACTCCGAACCGAATCGGAAGGACATCTTAACGGGATTTTCTATGATACTGCAATACCTCCGCGCGGCTTGTTCTGCTGCCTTTTGCGATTAACTCGTCATTCGTTCTCTCGTCACTCGCATTCGATTAACTCCGCCCAAACCGGCGACAACGACGACAAGATGCTGGGAGGAAGGCGCAGGTTTATTTCTCCAATCTGCTTGGGATTCTTCATTCTCTTCTTGGGCTATAACTTCTCGTTTCGGGAGACTCCATCAAACTTCTGGCCAACGACAAAACATGGCCAAGAGATCGACTCCAAAGTGCTCAATGATGAGGCGTACTTCTGGCGACAGGTATCTACCCACTACCCAGTACGGTCTATACGACCATTGCCGACAGGCAAACCGGTGAACCTGCCAAAAATTCAGATTGATTTTCCCCTGGAGACAACGGGAGAGCGTCAACTCCGATTGAGGAGGCAAGCTTCCGTCAGGGCAGCCTTCCGACGTTGTTGGAGCGCTTATAAAAATAATGCCTGGCTTCAGGATGAAGTGACACCAGTGAGCGGTTCTTCCAGAAATCCCTTTGGAGGATGGGGAGCGACCTTGGTAGATAGTCTGGATACTCTGTGGATTATGGGCTTCAAGCAAGAATTTGAGGAAGCTGTGACAGCTGCAGCCACCATCAGTTTCAATTCGAGCTCGCTGGTTGAGATCAACGCCTTTGAGACAACGATTCGCTATCTCGGAGGCTTCCTTTCAGCATACGACCTGAGCGGAGACCTGCGGCTTTTACAGAAAGCCAGAGAGGTGGGAGACATGCTGTATGTGGCATTTGACACGCCCAATCATATGCCCATCACTCGCTGGGAACTAAGTCGTGCCATCTCAGGAGAGAAACAGACGGCTCCAGAATGGGCTCTCGTGGCTGAGATTGGTTCTCTCTGTGTAGAGTTCACAAGGCTGTCCCTGATTACTGGGAACCCTAAGTGGTTCGATGCTACCGAAAGGATTACGCTGGCTTTGCAGCGACAGCAAATGAAAACCCGGCTCCCTGGATTGTGGCCGATTGGTGTAAACCCTCGCGACATGAAGTTCACCGAAGACAACACCTTCAGTTTAGGTGCAATGGCCGACTCGGTTTTCGAGTATCTCCCAAAAATGGTGGCTTTGACTGGAGGACTGTTGCCTCACTATGGGGACATGTACAAGGAGGCAATGAAGACTGCCATCAAGTTCAACATGTTCAGACCGATGGTCCCTGACTCCGCAGACATTTTGCTTTCGGGTATCGTTCGCACTTCAAAGGAGAACGGCAAAATAAAACCTACACTCGAATGTCAAGGTCAGCATCTTGTCTGTTTTGCAGGCGGAATGCTTGCAGTCGGCGGGAAACTGCTCGATATCCCCGAGCATTTGTCGACCGCACGGAAGCTTGTCGATGGTTGTATATGGACCAACAAGAACATGCCTTTGGGCATTATGCCAGAAGTATTTTGGATGGCTCCGTGTGACTCGGACACAGACTGTCCATGGGATGAGACGAAGTGGAAGCAGGCCATCCTAGAGAGAGCTGGTGCGGATAAGGACGATTTAGAGACTGCGTCACAGATTATCAAGGAGCGTAGGTTACCACAGGGTTTCGTCGATATACCTGATAAACGTTACATACTTCGTCCGGAAGCGATAGAAAGCATCTTCATTATGTATCGGACGACTGGCGACCCGAAATTACTGCAAGCCGCCGCGGATATGTTCGACGCTGTACAGACCAACACCAAGACGGACATTGCAAACTCGGCAATTGCGGACATCACGGTCACAAGTCCCATAGATGTTCAGCAGACGGATTCCATGGAGAGCTTTTGGATGGGTGAGACGCTGAAATATTTCTATCTGATATTCAGTGAGCCAGATCTCATATCGTTAGATGAATGGGTGTTCAACACCGAAGCGCACCCCCTTCGGCGGCTGGTTTAGTGAAGGCGCCACAATGTTCACGTATTCTAGCACGCCAGGTGCATGGTGAGCGGAAAGGGAGCTCGGCTGGCTGCTGGCTGCTGGCGTGCCCACTACAGTCCCGTAACATAGTAATGAATGATTCAAGCGTTTAGTTTCCTTTTCCTCTCTCATGCCATTTGTTGTGGCAAGTTGAAGACAGTGAAGATGATTAGTTCAAAGGCTTATTCACAATGGTCGCTACACCAGCAGACCTGCAGTTCTCGTCTTCAAAATGCATGAGGTAATACAGGCGAGTCATGGAAGCTTCGCAGAAGCTCTTATCCAGTAGCGTGTTCAATGATTCCACCAGATGAGTGGACGGGAGTTAGCTTTGCCCCACTATAATCCTTTGACTTGACGGGATTCGGCAGGTTGAAGCTCCTTACAATAGATATTGTATGTAAGTAAGGCAACGTTAGTACGTAAGGTATGTTGGCATTCCGTAGCTACGGTTCAGCGCGGCCGTCCCCCCCCCCCCCCCCCCAGCCTGAAAGTCAACCTGGGGGAGAACGTGCAGTTTTTTTATCATTGCGGAGATTGACACCAGATAGAGAACCCTGAATTGTCAGCTCTGGCATCCAACATCTACTCCCCAAGAAAAACCGATTGTTGGGAATCAATTGCGCAACGGCTTGTTCTTCATCACGATCATTGATTTTTGACCGTACCGGACTCCGCATATACCGAGAGATCCAGCGCATAGCACGCGTCTTCGACGACATCTCTCAGACGTAGCGCTTCCTGTACAGGACCAGCTATAAGAATCGCCCACCATGAGCGGACTCATAAAAGTCGACCACAACAAGACCACGACGTCTAAGAACTACCGCGGCTCGAGCTCCTTCGCGACCTTTCTCATAATCGGCCGTAAGTTCTCTTCACCAGGCCCTCGTGCACTTGTGGTCCTAACTCTGACACAACAAATCCTCAACAGCAACATGTTTCTTCCTCGGCATCCTCTTCGCGCAGTTCCCCTATGACTTCCCCCTCCTCTGGACCACGGAGACGGTCCTGCCGTCCTACCTTGACCAGCTCGAGGCACACCTCAAGTTTATCCACGCGACGCCCCCCCTGATCGCGCGCATTTTGCACATCATGGTCGGCACCGGCTTCCTGGGCTTCTTCGTCAAGCTGTTCCGGCCCTCGGAGGCCAACATGCTGTTCGACGGCGCCGGCCTGATCCTCTACGTCATCGGCGTCGGCATCTACCTCACCAACATCGTCAAGGGCCTGCGCACCGTCAGCGCTGGCATCTGGGACGCCGCCGGCAACGCCAGGGAGGCGCCCATCTCGGGCGAGCTCATCCTGGGGCGCGAGGACAGCCTCAAGGTCCTGGCTGCCAGCAACACCATCTTGGCCTTGGTCCTGCTCGGTGTTCTTGTCCTACAGGCAGGCCAGTGGTATGCCGAGCGCAAGGAAAGGGAAGAGACGGAGAAACTGGACAGGGATGAGCAGGAAAAGAAGGCGCAGGCTGGCGGCGGCAGCTCCAAGAAGAAGCAGTAGATTGCCTTTGCTCAAGGAATCTGCCATTTGCGCACGTGTGCCTTGTTGAATCTGGGGGATATGATCGGCGTCAATTTCGAACTCTCGTGGATATTTGAAGAGGCAGAGTCGCATTCGGCGCGCAACATATGTATATCAAAACTGGTGGCAGTGGTAGTTAGTGCTGCAATTGATGCATTACGAAGAAAACAGTGCCCTTGTCTAGCTGGTTACCTTCTAGAATGATACTAGAAGGCAAGCCCTTCGAGACCACGATGGTCAAAATCGGTTCTCAGCGAGGAGAAATCCAGATACGGTACTGAGTCGGACCGAGTGGACTGTGAGAAACGGTGTTGCGGTCAATACGAATGCCGGTTTAATATTATCTGCACAAGAGTGCTCTGTAGTTCCAAGAGGGATCAACCCTATGTATTTATAACTCCAAACTCCAACGCTTTCCTTGTCCCATGGTATCATCCTTGTAGCCCAAGCTCTATGTTCGATTCTCAATTATCACGTGGCCAAAAACGCCTGCAAATGCATTCAAACCCGCGCCTTAGGCCGTTCGTCCCCATACAACGTAATCCGGGCCGCGATTCTATCTACGACCACCGGCTGCTGGGTGCGCTCCCGGCCACTGCGTCAAGGTTGTATCCCTGGATAGGTTGCGACGTGGGTCTATTATTCCAGGCACTGCGAGGTGGGTGTCCAGAGCGATGTCGACATACTCGCCAAGACTGCCTTGCGAATCGTCGCTCGCCTGTCTTTCAACTTGAGGCCTTGCCTCCGTCGCCAACCCTTGTACCATGGCTGAATGGTGCAGGCTGCGCGCGTCGTAACTGACATAAGAGCCCCTGCTGTTCACCGATTTGGTACGGACAAACGCCCCCTGCGCTTGAGACGGTGTGGAGTTTGCTGACGAGTATGACTTGGCTGCGATGAAGTCGCTTCTCCCTTGGGGAAAGTCCCCATTGGGAAAGGGGCCAGAGATCTTCTCGATCCTGCGGGCATCCGACGAGACGAGGGAGTGGCTGCTAGCCCGCCTTCGCTGTTGATCCTTTCGGTGCCGGTAGACGAGGTAGACGATGCCGACGACGACAGCAAGCAGCAGGAGCACACCACCCACGACCCCACCGACGATCGCAGACGTGTTGGCACCCTCCTTGTGAGCCTCGTCAGGATTGCCTTGGCCCTCTGCCGATCCTCCCTCCGGCGCGGCCGTCGCGGTGATGCCACCGTCGCTTGAGCTGGCGGATGATGTACTTGGTGCTGCCGTCGAGGCTTGACCTGTGCTTGCCGCCGTCGAGGTTGGCAAGGCTGCTGTAGAGCTCGCATCTACCGCACCATCCGGTTTTTTTGTCTGGTCTTCGTTCTTCACGCAGTTCTGGTCGTTGTCGCATGTATATCCGAACGGGCAGCAATTGCTTCCGCACTTTGGTAGTTCACTCGTCAGTGCTGTAGTTTTGACGCCGGCCTGCGGGTTTGTGCTTGCGTCCTGGAGCTGTATGTTGCATACTATGGGTGCGATAACAGCGCAGTCGTCGCCATCAGGGCAACACAGTATTGTGGTGTTTCCTGCTAGAGATATGCAGGATGTCCCCGGCTTGCAACAGAAGTTGTCTGGGAATCCGGCCTGCGGACATTTGCTGTATGTTGTGTCGCCGCATGTGTTGTCTCTTGCAAATAGTGCGCGCGCTGGGACGGACACCGCTGTGGTCGTCCCAATCGCAAGCGCTGCTGCGAGCAGCCAGGCTCGCAGCGCACCTGTAGATGTCGTCATAACTTTGACTTCCAGTGTGGTGGGTATGTGTGTCAGTCTTGGTATGAATGTAGATTTCGGAGCAGGCCTAGTAATTCGGAGAAGAATTAATCGAGTCGAGAAGAAATCGAAGTGTATGTTCTACTTTGGCGCGGCCAAATGTTCATTCAGACGAGAAACATATAGAAACACGGCGGCAAGGGTGCAGGGGGTCACTCTTAAAGAGGTACTAGAAAAGGCGAGTCACGAAGGGACAAGGACTTGTTTCTTTTCGTTTGAGTCCCAACAAGAGGTGTGTAAGAGAACGGGGACCGAACAAAGTGAGGGTGCATCACCATATGACAAACGAGTCGTGAAGGAACCGTGATTGCAGATGTCCATTACGTCTCGTTGTTTCCACCTTGTTCGAGCATTGTTCATTCTTCGGCTGGGCTTTGATCGTTTTGACAGTGCCGAAGTCATTTGACTAGACAGATGCAGTCTCTGACCCAATACATCGGCCAGAAGACGCGATCATGCTCACACGGTCCAGCGAGATTGCTGTGAAATTCACTATACCGACTGGACATCTTCAGCCCAATATCTTGATGGGTAGATTGGGGTTTGGATCCACTTAGCCGCAACAGACGACGAAGGACGGGTCGAAAGCGCCCACCAGGTACGAGGTGAGGCAGTGCAGGTCTTGAACATTCTTGCCGCCATGGAAACGAGAGGCCGTCGTGAAGCGCTTCGGATGGGCGGTTACAGAGTGGACGTTGAAGTTCTGGAAATGGAGGAGCACCAAGAGATCGGTGGGCCAATTGTTTGCTTCCTTTGTTCTTCAAATCAGGCGCATCTGGGCGTGGTTAGTGGCCATGATTGGCCGCCGGTCTTTAGCGCAGGAAGCCGTCGTTTCCAACAATTGCCTGATTAGGTACTGTGCCTGGAAGTACATTCTTGAAGAGCAATTGCTAAGTTAGCGGGAACTTTTAGGCCTACTTGGCTGTTGACCATGAACTCATGGCCCGATAATCGAGTCATCTTCGGTCAATACTCCTCGGCATATTGAATTGGGCTAACCGTCGTCTGGCTGGCGACCGTGGTCCCGATGCCTTGGTTCGAGATTCGAGGTTCGAAGGACAATGAGGCGGCCTCGCGATCGTCAAGGCCGCAAAACGTCACCCGCGGGGGCCCAACGAGTGCTAGACTAGACTAACCTAGTTAAATGTCGGCCAGCATCAAAATCAGGGTCTCGCTCAGCTCGTCAAGGGCGACGAAACGCCCAGTCACACGTCACGACACGACACCGCTATTCTGGAAACATATGTACCAAAGATATTAGAATAAAACAAGACACGTCCAAGGCTTTGGTCACGAGACAACGAAAATTTGTCGGCTTTCCTGATTCATTCTACATGGTCGATCGTGGCTGTTGTCGCCGATATAGGTAACCCGTAGTCTCGGGCCAGACAGTCTAGTACTACCTACTGCTAGGGGTTACCTGTGTGCGCCTCACCATCCAGCTGAGTCCGGCTTGAAGTGCATCGAATCATCCCAGTTTGAATCCTGGCTGCACGTATGAATGGACGGTGACTTGCGTATGAGATAGTTTCCTAGTAATTGACAATTCGGTGCCTTTGCCTCGCTTCGAATTGTTGAGTCACCATTCGCTGGCGTCGGGCACATGACCATGATGATCTGGACCTGCGAGGAGCTGCGAGGGCATTCACCGCTCTAGCGAACCCCGGCCTCGCTCCATGATTCGCCCATCGCCCATACGACACGGCATTTTAGCGTAGTATTCAATATGGTCTTTGCAAGCTATCGAGGAAACTGGGCAAATTCATGGAATAGCGATAACTTGACTTCGCATATTTGCACACATTGAGGATGGCAGGCAAGGGGGCAGATGAAGGACGTTGAAGTAATTTGAATAATTTCTTTAATTTGGGTATAATGTTATTACATAACTTGATCTCGGAGTATTCTCGACGAGATTTGGTATAATTTGGAGCTATCATAGCGGAGCTCCCCCAGGGACTTATCCCGTTCCAGGCCATTCAGGCCATGCTCATCGAACCCAAAATGGTATATCCCTCCCTAAAACTCCAGCCGAATGCATGCATTGGTTTGTAGAAGAAGAAAAATGGCCGAAGCCGAAGTGCAAAATGTGCAAATTTCAGTAGAAGGCAGTTGGTCATCCTCTCGTAAACCATCCTCCATAATCATCCGTGCCACATGACAGCCCAGCCCAGCTGCCCGTGATGTTACCATATCCTGGTGTCGTCCCACTGTGCCTTGCGGCAACCTATCTGTAGTGTCTTCTCTTCGGAGACAGTAAGTTATAATCAAAGATGAAGGAGAAGAAGAAATAAAGAAAATAATAATCGAAGCTGCATCATCCGCGGGAAGGCCGGTGCAAGATGGAGGTCAGGAGTTTGCTCATCTAGCATCCGCGTTCTTCAGACCAGCCGGAGATTTTGGAGCCTAGATCAACAAATAGTCCCAACCTCTCATCCGCATCGTATCTCTCCAGGAGATGTATGGGATCTCTGTTGATCCCGAAACACCGGGGCTCGGCTGGAAGCTGTCGGCTTGTTGCCAGACGTCCTGAAGGATGGAAACAACACCGCCGAAGCTACCGTAGTTTGAAGCATCACCGAGTTGAGTAATACGATCGTGGAAGAATTGGCGGAAGGAAGATGAGGCGCCGCTGACAGATCCGCCCATCAGGTAAACCCAGGCAAGACTACGGTCGAAGCCGCCAGGGCCAGACGGGATGTGGTGCAGCACGTTTGTCAATTTCTCCACGAGACCGATACAGCTAGCTTGGCTGGGCGAGAAGCCAGGAATCAAGCTGCAAAGGTAGATACGGGCTGCCAGACGGAATGCGCTGGTGATGTTGCGGCTTAGTTGCTTGGGGCTTAGAGAGCCGTTAGCATTAAAAGGCATCTTGGGGCCAGTTTCGCCCATCTCAGTTAGACCAATCTGGTCTCCCAGAGCATGGATGTGGTGACAAAGGGTGATGTCGTCCATCCCTTCGTTTCTGAGTGCTTCCAGACAAGCAATCTCTGAGATCAGGTACATGATGCGGTCGTCGCAGCCCATCAACTCGCGCAGACCAAGCGAGGTATTGGCGCTAGACATCATCTTCTCCCTGTACGTGTGAGCGAAGACGGGTGCGTGACCTTGCATCGTAGCTCCTAGAATGTCAATCCAAGCGGTGAGAGTCATGTTGAACGGCGTCTGGGAAAGCTGCCCCGAAGACTCGGAAACTAGACGAGGAAGGTCAAGCTTGGTAACCAGAGAGTTCACGGCTTGGAAGTGCTGGTGCCATGGAATGTCAGGAAGCGAGTCGTCATAGCGTCCAACGCAGCTTTGGAAGAAGATAAGCCCCAGAGTTGCCTCTAGAATCTGCTGGTGGTTCTCGTCGCGATTCAGTGCATCGCAAAGAGCCAAGATTGTCGCATGCCGATGTCGCATGATGTCGTTGTCAATCTCGTCAGACTGGACGTTCATTGTTGCCTTGTAGTGCTGAGCAGCAACCATCAAGCAGCAGTGAAGGTAGCCCTTGTTATTCTGCAAAGCAGGGAGAATTAGATCCGAGCCGACGGATCCATGTTGGTTGGACTCGAGAATGGGAAAGATGGTCGGCAGCACATATTGGATGAAGTGGTCCAGTAGGCGCTGATCACTCTCTTCTAGCTCAATGTCCACTTGTCTCGATGTCGTAGCCGGTCCATGTGCAAAGTCGAAGAAGTGAGTGTTTAGGCTCTCCTCACTCAACGACTCGCGCCTTTCCGAGTAAACTTGTTCAGTCCACTCGCCCTCGAAGGGGTACGAAGACAGAACAGTACCGGGTGGCGGCGGGGTGTGGTAAGTGCTGAAGGTAGAGATTGTCGACTCCTTGATCGTCGGGACATCATTCACAAACATTTGCCGCTGTCTTGACATCGATTTCATATGGCGACATGGTGAACATGTAGTCTGGGTGAGTGTGGTGAATCTGGGGGTTGTATGCGCCATAGTCCGGAACGTTTGGGGAGCTGTTGAAGTTGAAGGCGAATTGTGAATCAATAGAGGCAGATCTGGTACGATCAAGTGGATCGGAGAAAGTTGCAGAGGTAGGCAGAGAATGGGAAAGACCCGGTGGTGAGCCAATGGAGCCTACGGAGGTCGAGATGGTGTGAGAGGACTTCTCTGTGAGCTTCTTGCGCTTGATGATCATCTTGATGTCGTCCTTGTGTTGTCTTCTCGCTTCATTGTTGCCCCACCACATCGGTCGCTTGTATTCGCAAGAAAGTCCAAGATGTTTGCATGCTGTGCACGTGGGAGTGCCCTCGTCGCACTTCTTTCGCCGTAATCTGCAAGTATAGCAGCCTATAGAAAAGGTTGTGTTAGCACCAGGCTCGACCGAGTGTTTTTATCCACAGCCCTTAGGCGGACTAGGGGGCTGCCGTGTAAGTGGGCGAGGGACAGCTGGGAGGGGAGGGGTGACAAACCTGTCCTTGAACGGCGGTGCATCTGTGCCTTTGATTTTTGGGATGCATTGTTGCTGGCTTTCGAAGCTGCCTTCGACTTGACAGGTTGGGCGACTGCCATGTTGTTTACTGATGTTGACCTCGACATGTCTCCTCGAGGGTTGGGGGGTAGTGTTGACATTTGTATCTATGGCTACTAGTTGAGGTGTGTACCCTTGCGTTTAGGTACCCTGCGCTGAACTGCAAGCAATTGGCGGGGGGGTCGGGTGCTAGGTGCAAGGTGCAAGGTGCTAGTCCACAAGCCGAGCGAAAGCGGGAGGAGGCTAGCTGAACAAGGGTCAAGGTGTCTAGCCTAGGCCGATATGCCAGGATCGATTCGAGAGAACCCGAGATATACACCTGCTAACTGAAAATCCTCGCAAGTCGAATACTCTCCAGTATTGGGGGGGGGGGGGGGGGGGGGGGGTTTATTTCTTTCTTTTTTTTTTTTTGGTCCTTCAAGTCGGATCGACGGGCACGCCCAGTCGGTTGTCGTAGATCAAGATATTATGGTAGATTAATTAAGTTTCTCGTCGAATGAATGACAGGATCCAAGCAAGTCCGGCTTGCCTTTCACGTTGAATTGAGTTGTCGGATAGGAGAAGGTATGAAAAGGGAGGAAGGAGAAGAGTTTGAAGGACACCACCGACACTTTGAATCTTTTTGCTTTGCTTTGCTTCTCAACTCAAGATCCAGACTGGTCTTGGAGGTGTTGAACACTTATATCGTGGCCGCCTTCTAGTCGACCACGACCACCCGGCCGCACGAACTACTGTATGATGATGGCTGCTTCTATTTTTACCACAAGAATAATTTGGGGTAATTCTTTTTTAGCCCAGTTACATGCGGGACTAATTAGCAACACACATGCAGCCTGTGCAGACACACGTAGGATCTTGACTTCCAAAACGGGACTGCTGGAGTGGATATGCGCTTACAGGTCCCAATGAGATTTGGCCCTTGAGTGGGCCCGGGTCGAGTCACCTTGACTGGGGCCAGAACGGCACCAACCACTCCTCATCGGAACAGCGACAAGGTACAAAAGCATTGTGCCACTCGGTCACACTCGCGGATGCAAGAGTAGACAAGGGTTTGCATACCAGGGTCGACCATATTGAGGCACTAACGGACAACTCTCGCACTTGTGGCTGACCAGCTACGGCGACCAACAGCCACCCCTTCACCGCGCTGGTCAATCAGCATAACCATAACTTCACAGGACCCTGTCGCTCCTTGCATTAGCTGTGTTCTGTCCTGACCAAGCCGTTCACAGCATGATGCTGTTGAAGCTATAAGATGTAGTGAAGAGTCACGCCCGACTAGGACGAACGCATACGGACGTAAGCAAGTTAGTTCACTAGAAGCGTGAACGCAAAGTGGCAGGCAGTTGACAAGTGGATGTAAACTTCTTAGCATCAACACTATGGATAGTAAAAACAAAGCGACATTTCATGTCGGTCTCATACACCTCGTGGTATCAGTGGTATCACTCGTGGCCAACCTCGTGGTCACTGCGGAATCTGACTTCTGCAGCCGGGCTGAGTGGCCCAGCCTAATATGCTGCGTTGGCCCACGCAACAACCCATTAGCTTGAATGAATCTATTGAGCTTGGACAGAAGCCTCAAGTTATTGCTGTGAGATCTACGATAAGAAAGGCATGAATTCTCCCCACAAGCTACATAGGTATGAGGTGGTGTGCACCCTATCTCCAGGGGGCCAACGGGTTCTATCCAACCCTTGCATCGATCATTACCTTTCATGCAGCATTGGTGATATTGATTGCTAACCTGCATGTCAGAGTTGTGGCCGGCACATTACGTAGTTGACCCAGCCAATCATCCATTGCGTCTTACTGCATCTGGATAACATTTCGTCGCAACGCGGGAAACAGCAGAAGAGGAGCAGAATGAACACGCATTAGGGGTCCGAAATCTGCAAGTTGGATGAGCGATTTCGAGAAAGGGGAAGAGAAGGTCTAGAATAGAACATGACTCTTCAATGTAGCGTCTGCCACCGATTGCTCCCACACTAAGGGTCCTTACGAAAGGATTGGTCGTCGCAAGAACCAGTTGCTTCACAGTCAAGAGTCAAGACCTCTATTCTCCCCGGTAGGACCCATAGTACCCACAATGGGCTCGAGGTTAGATTTATGGGGGAGGACTTCTTCAGGGATCTGATTGTGGACCACAATGCCCACATCGCAATACTATGCGAAAAGGGTGTGTAACGCTGATAGGAGGAAGTATTCCCATTCGCATTGAGTGGTATGACCACATGTTCAAGGTATCAATGCCTCCGGCATGGCGTTCTGTGCTACCAGCAAGGCACGGAAGTCGTAAAGTAGCACCAAAACGCTTAGGGATTGGTCGCTTCGTCCAGTCTCGTGAGAAAATGGCATTCAGAGGTGATGATTCGAGCTTTCCTGATATTGTCCAATGCATTAGCGCCTGGGACGGGACCAACCGAGTCCTTAGCTTGCAGTGGAGAATGTGATGAAGAGCTGGATGAAGCCGACGATTGGCTCGTGGCCAGTAGTCATGAACTGGGGTGAGTCTTGATGGAGGGTATACTCAACCCAATCAGCATGCGGGCATGGAAAGGTCTTCACTAGCGCCAACTTGGTATCCCAGCTACATATTTGCTTTCTATACCCCTGCCGCCAACCAAATGTCGAATCTTGTTAACCGAGTTTGCGCAGTCTTCACGCACTGGCACAACGGATCAGCAAGGACAAATTCTCCCGTTGCCCCAAGCCTCCCAAGCCTTCCATACTGGGGGCCGTGTAATTTTGTGGCTCAAGCTCTTTTGCAGCTATGCATGCCGGATGTTAACGATCATCGGATGACGAATATTGTGTTATGGGCTAATTTAGAAATTAGCCCACCGGCACGCGTACTAGGCTAATCATCCGGATAGACTATTGAATTACATGCATAGTGGACGCGCTACAGAATCATCCTCATCAACGCTCTGCAACATCGTTCAATAATGTGCTATTTTTGAATTTGCCCAAGTTCTCAATGGGCTAATTATGCCGGAGAATATGCTTTTCCCTTCTCAACGGTCTTGGTACCAAATGCTTTTAGCTCCATGTCAATGCTGCACATCATTCACAGGCCCTGAAGATTGGGCACGGACAAATTGAACTTGATTCTCTATATGATCCACGCCACGAACCCTATAGACTTCAATAGCACTGCACCTAACCAGATATCGAGTTTATGTGTTAGTGTTCGACTAAAGAAAGTAAAAGGGAGGTAAGAGGGTGGCCGACTTCTCGCATATATGCAAACATGCATTCAACGGAGTCGTCGTAACGGTTTTAGCCATAAGCAAATTTCGGAAAATCAACAATGGCACTGATCGTCATGAAGAAGCATATTTTGACATCGGCAAGGGCATGACATTAGCCTCCTGGAGGCACCCTGGTCGTAACGGGCCGGAGACGCATTGACGAGAGTACGAATGCACATCATCTCAAAATCAGCTCGCCAAGCTCAAAAGGCTCATCGTGTCCTGGTCCGTCATCCTGGTGGCACATTCCAACAACCCTCGTCCATCACAAGTGATAAGTGGAGACTGGGCCATTGTGATATTGATCAAATCAAATCTAATCTGCAAACATGCTAGACCATCGTAGCTGATGGCACGATCAATGCTAGTTGTGAAGTTTTTCGGCCCCGGTTCCTCATTCTGCGGAAATGCTCGCGACAAACTTCTCTATTTCGCGAGGCGTGCATCATCAACACTTGGTCCAAGAATGCTCAGCAGCCGGTCGCATTCAATTCAGTGATGCTACAGGTCAATTCACTGTGTCGTTTCATTTACGCCACGCCCTCGTGCAAGTTAACTTCCACATCCATATGTGCTAGTGGCAGATGGAAATCTCTGGGTGGACATGTTGAGACCATGTCTTTAGAGCCTCATTGGACAATGTCTGTGTTCGCTTAAGTGAAGTGATTCGTACTCAGACCTGTTAGCAAGCTATTGCTTCCGAGACATTATCACGATGAAGGAACCAAGTCCGATAGGGGCTCCGGGATGTGGCTCGTGATAAATGCTACAGGAGACTGAAATGAGAGCGGGTGATTCCAACGGCGATCATCGTTGTCCAACCAGTCCACAAAGCTTTGACAACTTCTCAATATCTAATATCCACGCTTCTAAAGTCGGTGTCTGCTTGAGGCCACGTTGAGGTAAGACACTGCAACGGTGACACAGCTTAGTTTTCGCTTCAGTTTAACGACATGAAAAGCAATTTGTCACAATGCGAGAAACTTTTATTCAATCACCGGTGTAGTTTTAAGTTATGTTGACAAACTGGATACTATTCCTTACAAGTTCACACCCTGTCGCGGGGATAATACTATAGTACTACTCAGCTGCTGCAAAGGCGGGATCACGCTGCATCTACATATGCACACCAATGCAGATGAGCTACCTGCCATCCCCAATCTAACCACTCGTGGAGCTCTTCGCCCGCCAACGCTTTCTCAGCATCTGAAGGCTTCTGGCGTTCACGTTGGGTGATGGCTTCAAGAAAGGCGAGCAAGTCTTCTCGAATGCATGGAATCATTCAAGTCATTAAGCCATCAAGCTGTGCATATAGAAGTCTGCGCGATTACTTCAACATCTACCCTCCTAAATGTGGCCATCCACATTATCCCATATTAAATGCTCCGTATAGTGCTGGGTTTCCACTCATACTAAATACTCAAATCTAACGATTATTCCAGTCGTTCCATATTGTACCCATAACTGCCCCTCTGGTAAGTAAATGCCATCGTGAAAATGTGTACACATCACTTGCCTATCTAAACACACGCAGTCTCGATTACGTGCTGGACACGGATTGTAGTGGCTTCTGACATGCTGTTGAGAGATCCATAACTTTAGTCATATTAGCAAGAATATACAATGGATTCGTTGGTTCCGCCAAGGCAACTTTAGCCTTTGGGAAAACTCGTGACCTGAAGAGCGGTATAAGTAATTGCTCAAAAGGGCCGCCAATCGGGCCGCTGCTTTCTCAACCTCGAAGGTCCGAGGCTTGATTTCATTGTCAGGTGGACTGTTCCGTGTCTACAGATGGGGCCTATAGCTATGCGAGACAGCTGTCTTTGATGCTGATTCCATGCGAGACCGGACATTTGGACGACGAGATGCTTCACGTTCCTAAATTTCAAAATCCCGTGCAACGAGTAGCTAACCAATCCACTTGCATGTGCAAGGTCTCAACAGAGAGGGGTAAGTTTGAATTTGAATGCCCCGTCTCCGACCTCCGACCCTCGACTCTAGCTCCACAATGGGCCGCATGAAAAGAAAAGTGTACATGCACTTGAGTACAGCGTTGCGGCAACGGCAACGTGGTCAGCAGAAGAGAAGATCTCCAGCAAACTTTACCTAGTGGGCTAGCAGTAAGGTACCCACACTTTGTGGGAAGGTGGAGACGGCACTACATATGTACATGCATCGCCAGGTATCGTAGTAAAGGGACCCCTTGTTGTGGAAGGTGTGACTTTCTCTCTTTGCGCCGTTGAAATGTGTGTTGCACCCGACAAGATCCGGTCGGCCTGTCTCTGTTGGCCGGCAAAAGGCTTTTCTGCCATGACCCTGTCTCCACGATACTTCCTTGCAGGGCAGTAAGTGACGATTTACATTGTTGCTTGTGTAGTTTATGTGAGTACGAATGGCGAGGCGGTAATCCTCTACTGATTCATCGTCGTCCTGGTTATACTTCTCTCAAGTGTGAGCCATCCAGTACATTAGTGCGAACTGCTGCTATGTCGGTTTCTTAGTAGACTAACCTTAGCTGAGTACAGTATAGCAGTATAGAGATGGGTAAGGCATACCCCACGGTGACCAGTGTTGACCAATTGGCACGGGAAAACTATCCATTGAAGGTTGTCGCAGTTCCATGCAGCACCTTAAGCAACCATCACGGGTGGTCAACGTTAGCATTCATGTCCAGACTGTTGTCTAGACACAAGCCACGAGGAATCGTAGCTCTAGGGTGTGCAAGTGACATGGTATTCCTTGGTTTAGCAAAGTCGGCGCTTAAAAACGACTATCCCCAGGGTGTCGAAAATTGAGTAGCCAATCACCACACAGAATCGTGCTGAACACTGCATTTCCTTTTGTCCAACCAGCCACTCCATTGTAGCCCAATTACCGCTCGGGCATGCTGCGATGGTACGATCCGCTTGTACAGTTTGCCTGGACAATGCTATTCTTAGAGGGGAGACCACTAAAGCTGTGGCCGGTACTGTTTTTCCCACGCTGCAGAATGCAGTGAACGTGATATGTGAGGAAGGCCGAGGAAACAAATCACATCTTGCCAATACCCGACTCTGCAACTCACTATCCACATTGTCACATTATCTACTCTGTACTCCTGCATGGAAGAGATGCTGTGAACCTCACTATACACCATATCTAATACATATACCATCAGCAAGCGGCCGCGCTTGCTTCTCCAGACCCCTCTTTCCTCTTTTTGCGACGTCGACTCCTTTTTCCAACTATACCCAGCTTTCCTTTTGTATTCGTATATCTCCTATAGCATCAAATCTAGAAAGCAGTCAGCCGGCGACGGCTAGGTACGAAAACTCACACGAATCCCGTCTCCGTTTTGTTCATTATGGTGAGCCGAACCCCATACTCCATGATAATATTGTGTGAAAAATGTCTTGAGCGGTTACTGATATTTCTGCGTAGTATGCACAATACTCACACAGAACAACTGAGCGGTCGCACCGGGAGATGCAGCAAAAATCTCGTATGCACGATTCGTTCTTTGGTCCCAGAGCTTCGGAGTTTAGACCAGATTCAGTTGCTACAGAAATTGTAGACACAGAATGGGACGAAGACACCAGTGATATTGAAGACGATGATTCCAACTCGCCCAGAGCGAGTCTTAATTCGGTGAGCGCGCTTATATACAACTATTTTTTCTCAAATGTGCTATATACTCATAATACAAGCTACAGTCCGGTCAACAGAGTGTGACTACACTCTCGTCCTATGAAGAAGCACAAACGCCGAGGTCGAGCAGGACTCGTAACGCGTTCCCATTCGAGTTTGAAGTAGTGAAGTCAGTGGAAGGACCGAGGGGGCCGCATCTGTTCCGAACGTCCAGCACATCAACATATTCATACGAACTTGATGAGGCACTCTCGCTTTCACCGATCACACCCAAGGCTCCCCGACCCGCAGAAACTGAGTTTCGCTTCCACCTTGCACAAGACCCATTACCAATTCGATCGAGGAGCAGTCCCTTCCAGTTCTCCCATGAGAATCTAAGTCAATATGATTTGCCCGAGTGGTCCCCTGAGATGGTCGCGCAATGGATGCTCAACGCCGGCGTTGAGCCTACGGTCGCCGGGAAATTCATTGAGAACGATATTAACGGACAGATCCTAATGACTTTGAAGTCTGAGGATATGAAGGAACTTAATATTCAATCTTTCGGCATCAGAACGGCGGTGTGGAGCCACATCTGTGAGCTCATCAAGTCAAAGCCTGAGTCGCCTCGACCGGAGACCCCCATCGAGGACGAAGAGTGCAAAGAGGTCAGGAGGGAGCGCAGGAAACTTGAAAAGTGCGAAGAAGAGGACGTGCGCCCAAGGCGAGGGTTGAGTAAGAAGCATCTAAACAGACCTTCTCATGAGGACATTATTTCTCCGCTTGAATCGGTTTCGATTGTGGGCATTGAACAGGTTATGCCAAAGCCTCACAAGTGCTCTAAGGGAGACAACTGTAAAACGTACAGGAGACAACAACGCCTGATCGAGCAGTTCATGAAGGAGCATCCGTTTGCGGATACCAATGGTGGTGTCATTTTAGTCGCAGGCGATCCCGGAAACGCAGCCACTGCACCAGCTCTCAATCGCCAACCCTCAACGGAAGCAATGAGGCCCTTCTCTGATGTTGTACCATCGGTAGTTGCATCGTCAGATGTTCTCGGGCCTGGAGCCGGCATTGGACCTTTCCAGTATCTGCAGGAAGCGACTCTTCGCAGCGTACAACAGCGAGACCCTCAAGACAATGTCCGGCAATTTCTCGAATTCCAACAAGGTGCTTCAGGCACAAGTGAAGTACCGCCAACTCCCCCCTTTGAGATGTGCCCGCAACCTCAAGCGCCCCATGAGGGTCTACGCAGCCTGCCAAAGCTATCTATCCCTGGGCGACGACCTTCGTTGAAGACACACGATCGGCGCCCATCAGGCCTGCAACAGTCGTTCGTACCCTACCAAATGGACAAGGCGGAAGCTCTATCCCCAGACCTGCAGACCCCTGTTGCACCTTACCGATTTGGTACACCATTCTCTGATATGGATGTGCCTGTTACTGCCGTTGCACTAGGACCTGTTGCTCGCGATGCCTCCCAATCAGTGCCACCTGACATGGGCTACCGAGCTGGCCCAGCTGCCGTGCCAGTTCGATCTCTTTCGCGTGCATCCCGCCGGCCATCCTTCCAAGTCACGATGGCCCCGTTGCAGGAAAACATTGCCAGTTCAATAGTACCCCGAGCGCCTTCGACTCCCTCCCCCACACGTTCTTCCACGCACTCTTCACCACAGAAGACTCCCCCCAAGGCTACCACCCGCCCTGCTCAACAGCCTCTGCAGGCACCTCCCCGGGCACAGTACCCCTGGTCCACAAACCAATATTCCGGCCGCTCCAACAGCTTTGACAGCACTATAAAGGATGCAGAAGGTATCGCCTACCAAGGACCCGTCCGCAAGCGCAAGACAAAGATGCTGCGGCACGAGTGGCACGACCAGTACGCAACACTAAAGGGCACCCGCCTGGCGCTGCACAAGGACGCCCAGGCGCGGGACCGTACACTCGAGTACATTGACGTCGACGACTACGCCATCGCGTGCTCCAGTCTAGCCTCCAGCAAGCTAAATGCAGCCTTCAAGGCCATAAGCATTTCGCGGGGTTCCAAGGACAAGGATGACACCGTCGCGGCCTTCAGCTTCCAGCTGATTCCGCAGGGCAAGGAAAGTATCGGTGCACGCTTGAAGAAGAGAGAGAGTGGCTTTGGATCGAGTGCTCTGGCCGCCGGCCCTGAGGGGGCCAACGGCACAGGCAAGACACATCACTTCGCCGTCAAGAGCCGCGATGAAAGAATTGACTGGATGAGAGAGCTCATGCTTGCTAAGGCCTTGAAGCAGAAGGGTGAGGGGTTCGAAGTCAGTGTCAACGGCAACATGATTTAGTACTTTTTCTTTTATTTTATTTTTCCTTTTATTTTTTCCTGCTCTTCGCTTTATATAGTTTTGGTCGCTAGGCCTAAAGATACCCGTCCCCTACGGACGTCATGACTGTTTAGTTTGCGTGCCTGGAAGGATACGTTTGATACCACGTCTGGAAATGATGATTTGCTTTGATTTTGGTTAACACAAGCGGGCATGGGCATTTGGGGCGCGGAATGAGACTCAGGGCATCTACACTCCTTATTAAAAAAAGCGTATATCAAAGTGCTATTGCTTCTGAGTGACAACCATAGCAATCACTTCGAACTCGCAGGCCGGTCATGCTCGTAATGCTATTTTAGACCGTAGAAAGAAAACTCGCTGGGAGTAAAGAGCCATCACAAAGGGACGACATATGACATAAGACGGGATGACCAGGAATCAACCAATGTAGAACAGCACTGAGCTATAGCCAGTGAATACAGAACCACAGTATGTTAGAGATATAAAGACGTGTATGCTTTAGTGAAGTTATGAAATTAAGATAACATTATAGATCCTGCTCCGAACACTCGGCCATGTGATAATTTCGACCCCAATCAGGTTCCATACCTACAGCCGAGACTCATGAATATGGGTATGGCTGTCTTTTCACCATCGATGACTTCCTAATTACAACAGGTCGTACTCTATCATGTCCAGAAGAGAAACTTGGACAAGCCACAAGAATTACCAGAACATAAGAAAAGTCTGCTCAAGAAAGGTGGACATAGTCAGGTACGTGTGCTGGAGGGTCATAGTAAGGGGCACACGCGTTCATCATCTTGTGTCCACAAGCTGTGCCTACCTCCGAGGCCATACCTCGGTACTTACTCAAGATACTCGCGCTGAGGTGGATCTCTGCTTGTTCACTTCAGCACCGCGTCGAAAAGTCCTCGGGACCCCAGCTCCCTCCACGTCCCGGCAGCGGCTCCGTCGACTCCAGGCTGGTCCAGGCAGCCGGCTCCATCGGCCTGATGACCCGGCGTCTTGGCCTGTTCCGCAGAAGACGAGGCAGATGCGCGCTGAAGCCGGCGACGGAGCTCGTCCTCGAAGAGACAGACGAGAGCACTGAGCGACCCGTCGATGACGCCGGTGAAGATAAATATGAGTGCCAGTTGCGGTGTCCTGGCCAGGCTCCGGCGCGTCTCGCAAGCCCTTCGCCGACCCGTCTCGTTAGTGCATGCCGTTGAAGGGCCGACTGGTAACCCTTCTTAAAAGCGTGATGGGGGTATGAGCATGGCTGGCGTGGTATGGGTTGTAGTCTGCGGTTGACGGGCGGCAACCCCTTGCGGACGGGTCGCATGGGTGGAACAATACAGGGCCGGTGAGCCGGTCGGCGGGCATGAGAGTTAGAAGAAGGATCTTCAGACAACTCAGAGGAAGCTTTGTAGCCGGAGTCAGATGAGGAGCTAGGGATGACGACAATGGAGACAGGAGACGTGGAGTGTAGCGTGGTGGACGTCCTAGATCGTCCACTCATTCCTCGTCGGAAATGACTGGTGTCGTGCATTGAAGTTGCAGTCATGAATTAAAGTTGTCATCGAATGCTGTACAGAATCCCAGTAGCCTACCGAAGTCTTGTCATTTGGATATCATATATTGCCTGGGCAATTAAGATATGTTATGGAACGCGGATATGAAACAAAGACTTTATGTGACATGGCGGCGTACTTGTTTGCAACAAGGTATCTCAACAATTTATTTGTGTTCGCCTTCAGGTTTAGGGTTCATCAAAGAGCGATGAGTTGAACCATACCCTTGAAATCTTTTTTGGGTTTTAAGGCTTCCAAGATACCTCCCTAGGATTGCAATCGAGCACAAGGATTTTAAAGGATTATAGAGACCGCGTCAAACACAGGCTGCGAGTAAGCGTACAGGATGAATTGCAGAAGTGTGTTCTGTCATAGTACAGTAATAGTACACATTTCTTTATATCCACAGAGCCATAGAAGCCCACTTGTGCCGATTTTGCACATGCCTATCTTACAATTCCTCATCCAACAATCGGGGTACTTATTGGTTCTTCAGAGATATGTTGAGCTGGGCGTGTTCCATGACGTTCTCCCAGTTGATACAATGCCACCAGTTGTCAACGTACTGTCTCTTTCCACCAAAACCGCCGGCACCGACTCCATAGTCTCTCAGCCACACGTGCTCCCAGGTATTCAGACAGAGGATAGGGGTGACATCGATTCCACCTGGCGCGTTGTTTTTTGACCATACGGAGCCGTTGTCGGCACCAGCGCCCAGCTGGGTACGCCCGAAAAACTCAGATGCAAAGCCGGTCCTCTCGGCAGAAGAGGGGCCGTCGATGGTGTTGGTATCGACAGGTTGGCGGCGCCAGTGAGCGTCAGGGAAGGGCGAACCGGCAAGGTAGGTGGTAAGGATGCGGAACTCGTTGAGCTTGCGGATCTTGACAAGCCAGACAAAGCCAGGGCCGAACATGGCGTTGGCAATGCCGCTCATCTCGAGGCGCAACGTGTCCATGGAGCTGAAGGAAGACTCGAGAGCAATCTTGAGCTTTTCAGGAACGGGGTTGACTGCCTCTGTCCCGTCTGGCTGGGCCTCTTCTCTGTGCTTCAAGTTCTCGAAAAAGAAGTGGGTGTTGAAGGCCATGGATGCATAGTTGAAAATGGGGGCTTGCGAGGGCTCTCGGGCTGTTTTGCTGATGATCTGTCTCGTGGGTACCTGCTCGAGTTCGGTGCCTACTGGAGGTTAATGGTTGCTCGACGGGGAGAAGGACCTGGGCATGACACTGCCAGTCTCGATCCCGCTTGACTGACCTGCTGTGAGAGCGTTGAGCTTCTCGGTCGCGAACTGCATATACTGCGTGTAGGCCAGGTTGAAACCGTCTGCTGATAGCAGGCCCCCAACGCCCTCTGTCTCTGGCGAACCCTGAATATGGTGATGCGGCACCTCGTGCAGGTAGCGGCGGAAGACAGGAGCCTGGCGCTGCCGAGGCAGGCTCACTCGGGGTATCCTTAATCTGGGCTTGAACATTGTGTGTATGTGGATTGAGCTGAAGAATACCGTCGTCCTTCGTCAATCTCCAAGCTGATGTCGGCGCGAGAGCTTGAACTTTTTTCAAACGGCAGACCCGCGACCCGAGCGCCAATTGATTGGCTATGCCTCTGCTCCCTACCCCGTAATTGGTGCAGGTCGACTAGCGGTAGAAGCTCGGGGCTTCTTTCAAAGGGGCCCCCTACAGCAAGCACATAGGCATCCAAGAAAGCTTCACGTGAACAAAGAGGACAACGTTCTTTTGTGTTTGCCTCTTACCGCGTTCAATACCCCCAACTTCTGACTATCCCTTGAGGTCGGCAATGTTCTATCTCGTCGTAGTTGGGCGTAGTGCACGACAGAAGGCCGACAAAATGTACATGTATATGGTATAGCTGTGTTAGACTAACTTAATGGCACAGGCACCGAGTCACCAACGGGGCTCATCTCAATGTTGCTGGAAGCAATTGCTTTGTGATCTCCACGAGCATACGCCTGTCTAGGTGGGAAAGGCATCCTGGGGAGCCCAGCAGGTGTATCTGGACTACTGCCCCCTCCCCAGGACTATGCTCATGATTAGCAACTCTATAGTTTTAGAACAAGTATCGCCAGTTGAGCCTCTTCAAACAAATCTACGATGCTGCATATTATATGTGGCGACATACCATCCAGTCCACTCCCGAATTAGCATTACCTCATGACCATGCGGCCTCCTTTCGTCCATGAGAAACGCCGTCCCTACAACAGTCCAACAAGAGCAGTAGCAGCAAAGACTAACACGCATCCCATCAGCGCTCCTCTCTCACCCCCAATCCTGGCGCCGCTGTTCTTCCCACTCGTTGTCGTCGTCGTGACATTATACAAACTCAGCCTCAATGCCCCCCGCAGGCCTCCGTCGTGTTCCCGTCGCACTGCGTGTCACATGCCGCATCCTCGAGCCTCGTGCTCAGGCTGCTTATCCGGTTGGCGCACCAGCACTGCCGGCTGTACTCGAGACCGGCATACTTATATGCCGAGCTCTGGTTGTGCGCGCAGAAGTCCAGGCAGGTCTCGACGGTCATGGTGCCCGGTTGTTCCAGCGAGCGGTCCGGCAGCGCACGCGCCCCGGACGTACCCGCGATGCCGGTGGTCTCGTTCCAGCACCCGACGTAGTGGTAGGTGGCGGACGAGTTGTAGATTAGGAGCGCGGGTGTGTCGGATGTCTGGCCGGATGCCATGACCGCAAACAGAGCGAACAGGAGGCCGAGCAGGCATGAGCCCAGAGGCTTCGTGACGCTCATGTTGAACTGGGTCTGTGTATTTGTAGAAGGGGTTTTTTTGGTTGCCCAGAGATAGAGAGCCGATAACCAGGCGGTTTCTTCAGCACGAGCCGCGATCAGCAGAGTTGAAGTTACCTGGTTGCGCTGGGGTTCACCTCGCCGCTGTGCTTGACGCTTCTTTTATACTTCTTCTCTTGAGCACGGTCAAATATCCGACCCTTAAGCTCTAAAGTTGAGTCCAAATTAGGAATGCCTTTCTGTTGTTGCCGTCGAGCCACAGCTTGACCAAGATGCGAAACAAATCGCACTTTAACTATTCTCTGCCTTGCCTCAGACACCCGAAAGATCCGTTTGATGATCGTATTGACCTTGGGATAGCAAACACCGGCTCTGCGCGTCGCAATCCAAGTTCGCACTTTCGAAATCTAGGCAAAGGTTAAAAAAAGTAAGCTTAAAAATAAAACGGCCCAAAAATGCACATCATCCATCACACACCAAGCTCAGAGAAACCACGCCGTCTCGCTCGGCCATAATAAGAACGGCTCCCGTTTTGGCATGTTGGCTGGCGCCTTGCATGTGCAATAATCAATGGTATGCAGGCTGCAAGCCCGTAATCCTGTAGTGCCGCTGAAAGGGGCCTAGCGAGCCACGAAATATCCAAGACTGGCTCACTGGGGGGGGGGCGATCAGAGCTATTTCTAGCCCAAAAAGTCTGAGCGATCGGGGGCCAGGACTGTGGGATGCGTGCGCGCAGCAGGAAGATATGGCTGCAACCGATGCATACATGCAGTAATATGTTGTCCAACGAGGCACAGGATTTCCGATCCCTGACCTAAGTTTGTGGCCAGCTCGTCCCTGGTTCAAGTTAGGGTAGTGGCTGAACTTCATCCGACCAACATCTTTGATGTGTTTTGCTCGACAGGATGCCTTCCACAGTTGCATGGGGTATCAATGGTTTTATATTCATCTATGGTGTCCACCTCAACGGATGTCCACCACATACATGCAGCTGCATGTCACATACAAATTCTACACAGCAAATCTACATGGCAGGGCTAGATATCGAGACTCATGGTTGCTTAGTCGTAACGACCATCCTTGGCGCCCCAGCTTCCAACCAGGGCCATGGCTTTCTCGTCACCTCTGGCCAGACGTTCATCCTGCAACGCATCAGAAAGACACCTCCAGGGGTCACGACTGCCGCCCCATTTCAAGAGATTCTCCTTCAGGCGTTCGCCGTTAGCTCTGTCCAGAGCACCGGCGTTCTGGCCACCCGAGAAAACCACTCTCCAGACACGCTCTGACAGTGTTTGATCGAAAAGGTAGCTGTAATATGTACTACCGTAGCCAAACAGGTGCCCAAAGAAGCCCTGCCATCTGGTGCCGGGAGTATCTGGTGGCAATCTGCCATGCTCACGCTGAAGATTATGGTAAATGGCGGTGGAATCGAAACCTGCCTGTCCAGGCTTCGAAGAATGATATTCCTGGTCCAACATGGCCAGAATGATCTGGTTCTCACGTTCCGATGCCTCGAAACGCTTGAAGACGCGGAGCTTTTCCGCAACTAGCTCATATGGTAAGGGCTCGTCTGTCTCGTAATGTCGGGCAAACAGACCCAGGACCGTAGGGTCTGAACAAAAATGTTCCATCAATGTTGATGGCAACTCGGCAAAGTCTGTTGCACACCTCGTCCCCGAGACATTCTGGAGAGATGTCCTGGCCAGGACTGAATGGATAGCATGTCCCATTTCATGGAAAAGAGTTTCCATCTGATAGTAATCCAAAAGCGCCGGCTTGTTTAATGCATCGCTGGCGTGGTGGAAATCGCATACCAAAGCGATCGTAGGCAGTTGCTTGACGGTACCGGATTGCTGTGAGACATGCATTCCATCATTGGCCGCATCGATCGCCTCTTCTAGGGTGGTGGCCTCCGTTTCCGCTCCCGCCTCTCTGATCTCCTCTTCCGAAAGTTCTCTCGAACAGCGGACGGTGAAATGCGCCGGGTTTGGTGACTTGTCAGGTCGGTAGAATAGGTCGACGTATAACACTGCCACATGGCCGTCCGTGTCAGAGACCACGTCCAAACGTCTGACGTCTTGGTGCCAGGTCTCCCCGGGTAGTGTATCGCGAGGGATTAGCTTGATGCCATACAAGCGGGTGAATAATCTTGATAAACCTTGCATAACGGTTCCTAATGAGAAGTACGAGGACAGCGTATCGCTATCTCGCCGCCGCGATCGCAAGCCTCTCCTTATACCCTCCATGTAGAAATCTTTGTCCCAAGGGTGCAGCGTCTCCGTATTTGACCCATGAAACAGTTGGCTCTTGGCAGCTAGTAGATCTCCAACTTCCTGCTCCACGAACTGCCCATTAGACTTGGCCAGAGAACCCAGGAATTGTTGTACAGATTCGGGTGATTTGGCCATCATCCTATCCCTGAGCGCCATTTGGCCATAACTTTCGAAGCCCGCGAGTTCGGCGAGTTCGGCGCGTAAGGTCAACAGCGTCTCCAGGCACTTGATGGATCTACTTGATGCCGTCCTGGTGGCTTGGTAGATCTCCTTTCTGGTGTCTTCGTCCAGAACACTACGTAGAGCAACAGTGGCTTCCGGTGACATTGTCGGCAGGTGCACACGCCCTAGCCGCGAATATTTCCGGGCCAGTCGCGGGTCCATACCTTGGAATCGACTGCTGGGCAACCTGATGACATCCCTCTCAGGAGTCATATGGTCGACGAAAGTCGAGCCCAGTTCGCTGATGTCTTGGGACAAAGTCACGAACCTATCCCTCGACTCTTTCGGAAGATGTATAGCCGACTTGAGAAAGTCCTGCCGGAGCAGCTGCGCAACAGTCTCTTCCTCCTCTGTCCAGCTCGACCGTACTTCGGGGGTATCCAATGCTTTCCCGAGTTGGTCGCACAATCCCGTCGTTGTGTTCAGTTCGTTCATGTACTGATAGACGTATGCCCATGCTTGCGAAGCGGCGTTTTGAATCTTTTCGTCCGGGTGCGTTACTCTGACAAAGTCGGAGACGTCCAGTACCCTACAAAGCAAGTCGCTGAGCCTATCGAGGTCACGGACAACGGTTTTGTATTCCTCAACTGTGGATGCCCGGAGGACCTTATCTACTAGCTTTTGCGCCTTCTGTAGGTTGTCGTGGGCGAAAGTCAGGAAGCCTTGGGGCGATGTCAGGTATCTGTTCCTGAAGAGCCCGACATTCCCTCCGTTGAGTGCTCGGCCCGAGGGCGGCGCAAAGTCCTTGAAGGTCTGGGGCGAATCGAACAGTTGGCGCAAAAGAGCGTCATCGTATTTGGCGCCGGGAGAGCCATGGTCAACTGGTATGCTCGCGGCATCGAAGCGTTGCTGCGGAGCGGCGCCGGAGGCCACTGTAAGCCAGCGGCGGCGCGGCGGGCTTAGGGGCTTTCGCGATGCCTGTCGAATGCTTCTGGAACAAGTCCTGGCCCAGAGACCCGATCTTGCGGTTTTGATCATGTTATGAAATAGGCTTAAAGTTCACATACTTGGAATTCCGAGTTAGGGAAATAAACACATGAATATTAGAGAGCTTAGAGAAGCAGTATGAGGGCAGAGAAAGTATAAACAAATAGAACTAAGAACAAAAATAGAAACAAAATAAAAATCTGCCTTTACAAAAAGTTTGAACAGGCGGACGTGATGTGATGTGATGTAAGGCGAATTCGGTAGGGAGAGTACCTATGCGTGGAGCTTGCCCCAGAAAAAATACATCCGAACCCGGGATTAGCCGTGAAAAAAGTGACTTTCAACGAGCTTGTAAAGTGCGTAACTTAGATGCTGTTCTTGCTTAGGTACTACAGCAGACTAGGTCAGCTAGGCTATATCACAGGCTCAGGACTGAAGCCTTTCCGTTGGTTTTAGTTTGGACTGCTCTGACGTCCGCCTTCCGGAACGACGACCAACCCATTTTTTGAACCAGCAATTGAGCGCAACATGGCTGCCAGAGTGCTGTTGCGACGGGTACGGACTATCATGTGTCAATCAATTGAGCTGGTACCATGCTAACTGTGCTTTTCAGCGTGCCGCCGCGCCTTTCATGGCTGCAACTCTTGCCGCAGGAGCTCTAATTCCCTCGGTGGCCTTCGCAGAGGCGCCAGAAGATCTGGTATGGCCACTCCCACTCAATCTGCATCCATCTGCACGAACGCGCACTCACCCCAGCGTTCCCACAGTCCAAGAAGCCCATCTACGATGACTTCGAGATCCCCATCCCCAAGGGCAGCGGCCCCACGCCCTCGCCCTTCTCAGACACAATCCCGCGTGCCTCGTCGCCAGAGTCGCCCGCATCAGAGATCAAGCCCAACCCCAGCCGGGGCCCGACACCCACAGACCGCCTCGCCGTGCAGATCGGCCGCGCACGCCTGTTCCTCTACGAGCACGCCACGCGCGCCGAGGACGCCGTCAACGCCGGCATGGACCGGGCGTTCAACCTCGAGAAGTCCTTCACCCAGACCATCGCCTCCCTGGCGCCGCCCCGCGAGACCGGCGAGAAGCTGATGCCCGGCCTCGTCTACGTCCTGGTCGCCGGCATGGCGGGAAGCATCGTCAGCCGCAACCGCAACGTCCTGCTCCGCGCCACCGTGCCCCTGGCCCTGGGCATCGGCGCCGGCTGGCTCGTCATCCCCGTCACCATGAACAACGTCAGCGGCCTGCTCTGGCAGTACGAGCAGAAGTTCCCCGCCGTCGCGCAGGCCCATATCCAGACGAGGGAGAGCCTGTTCAAGACCGTGGAGTTCGCCAGGGTCCACTCCCAGATCGGCAAGCAATACGTTGATGAGAAGGTGACGAGCGCTCGGGATACCGTCGAGGGATGGGTCGCCAAGGGTAAATAAAAGGAGATCAAAATAACCGGGGTTTGAATGGTGCAGCTGTGATGATAGAGAGTAGAGGCCCAACCGGCCTTGTATCATAGCGAATAGAGCTTATGTCATAACTAGATTGCATTGCAAGGTCTGGCCCAATCCCTTGCGACGTTGAAGGTGCTTCGGCTCAGATGAGATAAGTCATGTCAGTGTGTGCATTCGCAGGCCCCAGATCCTTGAGCGTGTAAAATCCGAACAAGTCGCACCAACAGGTTGTCCTATCGCCAACTACCTCATGACCAAACGACTCGAAACAAGTGCCTCTTGTCTAGCCTATGGCAACAGGGAGCACAACAACTCACGGACGAGGCTGGTGGCTTCACTCATCACATCCGGGACGACCGCCAACTCTGTGCAATTCCTAGAGACGGTCAGAAGACCCCCTTCTGCTTGAGGGAAATCTCTCGAAAAAGTTTAGAGAGAATTTTCTCAGGGGCTGGAGCTCAACTGCCGGCAGTCAAAACGCTCAGTTTCGGGCTTCGTTATTCGGATCATGATGGCTGGCGCAGGCTCGCAATGTTGACAAGTGAGTTCCCGTACATGGGCTGAAGCTGCTACTGACATGAGAGATTGAGGCCGCGGCTTGTCCTTACCTACTCAAGACCTTTGAGGGATACGAAATCAGCGTTCCTGGCCGGACGTGGCAGTGTCCTCAAGATCTTTTAGTATAGGTAGGCATATATGTTGATTGGGCGGCTTGATCCCGATCAATAGAAATTGTTTCGCAGGTCCCTCATACCAAGTTCTGTTCGAAAATCATCGCGTGCTGCTCATCTCGGGAGTAGCAATTCTCTGAACTCGTCAAATTTTGATGTCTAATTCAAGCTGTTGCTCATTGCTGAGATATATACTGGGCACAACTGAGGGTCTGGGTTCTGTGCCGAGTCTGGGTCTATGCATTCTGTTTATCCCCTCCGCCGACTGTTTTCCCAATCAGGATGTTCAATACCCGCTCATATGTCCAAACCGTAACCGCACTCGCTGGTGCTGCCTTCAACAGGCTGACCGTCAAGCCTCTATACAAGCCCCTGAAGCCTTCTCTAGCAACAATGGTCTTGATTGCCTTTACCGTACCCATATCATACACTGGTATGTTCTTATGCACATACTTTGCCCTTGTTGGTCCCTGGACCTGTATCCTTTTCCGAACAAGATCCAGCGGGAAGACGCCGGTTTTCGCAACGACACTAGCAATCACGCCTGCGGTGGCATCACCACCTCCGAACGGGAGGTTGAACTGAGACAATGGAAGACGGAGCGACTCGTAGATAGCAAAGAAGAGCCCCATGAACGGCACGATCTGCGCAAGCCCGGGCCCCAGTCCGCGGAAAAACCCTCTGGTCCCTTCATCGCGTCTGATGTCCCGCACAGCCCTGAACAGAGAAGTATATACCCTCTCGGTGCCTTGCGCTGCGAATCTGGTGCGCAGGAGGTCCAGCGGGTACGTAGCCGTGGTCGCTGTCGCTCCTGCGCCAGCTCCAGCTATGAAACTCTCCACGCTCTTGTTCAGGCCCTTCTCGCCGGAAATGCTGCTCAGGGCCATACTGATGCTCCGATACGTAGTGAACTGTAATGCAGCATAGCTCACATACATGAGCTCAGCGGGGACGTTGCCCTTCCAAAGTCCTGTGATGCCTTCATTCTGTAGGATATGCCGGGCGGTGGACAATGCGCCTTTGTAGACTGGGGCGCCGCTCGTGGGATCTGAGAGGGAGTGCGATTGGAGTTGCAGACGAATCTTGACGACATCAAGGGGCGCAATCACGAATCGTGAGATCAGGCCTGCTGTTGCGCCTGCTATGACGACTTGTAGTCGGGAGCCCTGGAAGGTTCAATCATGAGTTACCATATAAAAATGTGTATATGTGATGGTGGACAACAGTTGCAGATGTGCGCCATGCAGATCAACGATGCAGCAGGACCGCGAATACGAGCTTACCTCATCTTGAAGGCGTTGACCACTCTTCGACATACATCCGCAGATGCCCTTCCCGGGACTAGGTGGATTGATCTACCCGCGAAAATGTTGGTAATGTTGCACTTGGCCACGACAGATTGCACGTGAAGGTTTTGCCTCACGCCCCAGACTGGGAGGCTCGGGACCGCTCGCTGCAAAGAGTCGACGGATCCAACGTAGCTGTGGTGGCGTCTCAAGCTTATCAGGAGTGCCGCAGTTTGGCGGCTTGGATCGGACAAATGATGTACCCTGGTAATCCGTACTTTCGGATGTGGGACTTAAGTTATTTGCCAGTGACGCAGAAAGTAAGCCGAAGATCGAAGCAGCAGGCGGTGCTGATGAGTTCGCAAGAAGTCTGTTGTTGCTATGCAACTTCTGAGCTCGAACGATTGATCGTAGCAACATCACAAATACGCCTTGTCGTTGGTGCTCTCATTGTCCCGGCACAACTGAAGACAGTACTCGCTCGGTCGACCATGGCGCTTCTTCGCGGGGGAGCCCTTGAACGTGACGTACATAGCGTGCTCCAGGTCCCCGGAAGCTGTGCAGTGCATGTCGCCAGATTGCCTGGGTTCGCTGGCCCAACGGGAGTTATAGTAAGTTGCGGATCTTGCCGCAGATCAGAGTGAAGACGCAGCTGATGGTATTGAGAAAATAAATAAATACCCCGTGAAGAAGGACATACATATACAATGCGGCTGAGAATCTACAACCTGATTTTATGTTTATAGACGCTTGTCCCTCAGCCGCACGAGATCAGAGACAGGCATGCATGAGATCCAATCGCAGAGAATGGCGACGTTCGCATCTCCTCGTTGCCGGTTACTGATAAAAGCACTCGGACATTCCTTTTGCGACGTGACACAAGCAACTTCCTTCTGGCCGAAAGTTACATTGCGCAGGATTGGGATTGGTTACATTGGCCCAGAGTGGGCTGGGCCGGCCGTCAGATACGCTAATACTACTACTAATAATAATATTGGGTTGGGTGGTTGCAGGGACCGTTTCGCGCTGCTCTCGTCCAAAGATGAGGGGCCCCAATAGTCGTCGACTTTCAATCTACTAACCTAGACTACTCTATGTATGCCTCGACCATGATCTTCTTTTTCCTCACGGTAGTGCCTACTTGCTCAAACTTCCTTCCTTCCTCCCCTCGACCTGCCAGTCAGTGACCTCTAGAAATCCCACCTGTGGTTGCCAAGTACCAGCAAGCCGTCTTACTTTCGCATTGCGGGAGACACTTTTATAGTGCACCGGCTGAGTCAGGTGCTTACTTCACGGGGCTACGTCTTGTATTTTGTTGCATGTGATTTTCCGTGCCTCACGACCACAAAGCCCATTGACAAGTACAACATTTGCTTGTCAGGAAGCGACAAATTTCTTCCAGGAACCACAACTGCTGCACGGGTAACAGCCATGGTGCCCGCGAATATCAAAACCCCGGATCTACGCGAGATCCTAGGTCCTGTCTTGCAATCGCTACCACCTGCGGCACTCGCAACACAGCCGGCTGAGAACGTTCTTGATTACCTCACCCCAATTCTCAAGCAGCGTGTTCAACTCTTGTCGTCCTCCAGCACAGAACCATGGATCAGATTATTATGTTACGATACCGCGAAAGCTGCCAGGCTTGCCGAAATCGCCCAAAGTGATCGTCTGGAGCCGCACCCTGTCAGCGGCGAGGTCGAGATCGATTGGGACTACGATTCCGAGATTCGTTACCGAAGGCTGGATGAGGAGACGCTGCAATCATTTGTCGTCCTGCAAGAGAAGGAGCTCTCTTTCCGTCTGGACTACTGCACTGGCGATGTTGACGGTTGGAGAGTAGGTGAAATCAGCGTGCCTGATGCGTCTCTGCCCTTCTCGTCGTTCGGAGGAGTCTCGGCAATTGTGGAAGCCGATCGCCAATTTCGGGAAGAGCAGTCAAAGAAGAAGAATCCCCAAGCAGCATCGAACAGCTTCCCCAATGGCGGCGAACTGGTAGAAGACGAGGATGACGACGACGATTACTGGGCAAGGTACGACGCCACTCCTGCGCGTACTCCAGCAGCCAAACGGTCCCCCGCTCCGGCCTCAACAAGAAGCGGTACCGGTCCGCGCGGAGCAGGTGACGACGATGACTACTACGCGCAGTACGATTCGGTACAGCCTGCGATGGATCCCCACGACCCTGACGAGGAGGTGGACATGCAGGACATCTCTCCTCCACTAGGGTTAGCCGCACCGAGGCCCACGCATGCGACGATGAACAGCGGCAGCCAGGAAGAACTCGAGCTCAACGAGACTAATGGTGCGTGGACGATAGCCGAGCCGCCCAGATCGCCTTCTGCCGGCTCGAGGAGTGGTGATGATCCGAACATGGCTCATCCCCGGCCGGCATCCAGTGCAGGGTCGCATGCATCGGTCGCAAAACTCGAGGCAGCGGCAGAGAACTTTGGCGTGCAACAACACATCTCTCGAAGTATCAAGAGTCTTTTCATGCTCGGACGCGCATCCGGTATTGATCGCGAAGAGTTTGATGGCATCGTCAAGAGAGAGCTTGAGATGTTGCGGCTAATGGAAGAGTAGGCCATGTCTTACAACAAGTGTGGTATCTTACACTGCTGTCGCAAGTACAACGTCCTATAGGTTCTGTTAGGTTTGGTGGGGGGGTATCTTCGGAGTCCGGACTTTCTGGGATAATGATTGCATCTAAGGCGCATTGGGGGGCGGGGGCCATTCTTTTTTTTTGGGGGGGTATTGGTTTGATAGTCTACTGCGCATAAAACCAGGTATCACGCATTTAGCAAAATTCAGAATGTCGGAAAACACAAACAACACCCCCGAGAGATGAAAATGAGAAAGAGTGCAGACGATTAAAATGGTTCTGGGGTATGGCACTGGAGTGCAAACCACGACCCCCGCCCCCCAATTGGCAGTCCAGGTTGTACTTATTTATTTATCTAGAGGTACATGCATGCATTGGGTACATATCTCAGGGGTTCTGCCCGAGATGCCCCGCGATATGTGCCCTGTGAGAGATGCCCCGCGGTCGGGTCGAGGTACTTACCTGACTTGACCCTGGATGGAAATTTACCCCTCTATGACTCAAAAAAGGGCCATTCGACGGGATTGGTTGATTAATTCGACTCTAACAGCAATTAATTCTTGCCCGGTCGACTCTTATTTTTCGAGGACCCTGAAAATCTACACCTGATCTTCCTACCTCATCAGAATCTATTCCGTCTTCTGCATCGCCTATTTTCGCCAACCAAATTCCAGCAACATGACCCCCGAGGAGTCCTTCGCTCTGGTCAAGGCCAACCTGGCCGAGGTCCTCAACCCCGAGATCATCGAGAAGGTTATCCTACAAGAGAAGCGCCCCTTGAAGGTCTACTGGGGCACTGCCACCACCGGAAAGCCTCACTGCGGCTACTTCGTCCCCATCGTCAAGATTGCCGAGCTGCTTGAGGCCGGATGCCACGTCAAGATCCTCCTCGCCGACATCCATGCCTACCTCGACAACATGAAGGCCCCGCTCGAGCTGGTCGAGCAGCGCTGCAAGTACTACGAGTTCATAATCAAGAGTCTGCTCAAGGCAGTCGGTGTCGACATCTCCAGGCTCGAGTTCGTCAAGGGAAGCTCCTACCAACTGAACAAGGAGTACACAATGGATCGCTTCAAGCTTGAGGGTATCACCAGGATATCTCAGGCGCAGAAGGCCGGCGCCGAGGTCGTCAAGCAGACAGACGACCCCGCTCTGGGCGGTCTCATTTACCCCCTCATGCAGGCGCTGGACGAGGAATACCTCGACGTGGATGTGCAGATCGGTGGTGTTGATCAACGGAAGATCTTCACATTCGCCCTGGAGAACCTGCCCAAGATTGGCTACAAGGTCCGCGCACATCTGATGAACACCATGGTTCCCGGTCTTGGCCAGGCACAGAAGATGAGCTCCAGCGAGCCCGACTCCAAGATTGATCTTCTGGATGCCCCCGAAGTGGTGGCGAAGAAGCTGAAGAAGGCACACTGCGCCCCCAAGGAGATCGAAGGCAACGGTGTCGTCGCATTCGTCGAGCACGTCATTTTCCGCGTGCAAGCAATCAAGTCTGGAGGCAAGCCCCAGTTTGTCGTCAAGAGAGAGCGCGATGGTTTGGAGCCGTTGGTCTACCAGGACATCGCAGTGATGAAGTCCGACTTCGAGAAGGATGTTGTAAGTCGGACCTGCAGCAGACCAGACCCCAATTTCCGCTAACACATGTCTAGTTGACCCCCCAGCTACTCAAGGCTGCCCTTATTGAGGCACTTAACGAGCTGTTGGCCCCTATCCGAGCTGAGTACGAGGCCTCGGAGGAATGGCAAAAGACCACCGAGCTGGCTTACCCTGCCGAGGTCAAGGCTGCGAACCCGAAGAAGGAGAAGAAGGCAAAAGGAGGTGATCCGGCACTACGTGCAAAGGCGGAGGCAGAGAGAGCCGCGAGGGCAGCGGCCCAGGCAGAAAAGAGTGCCCCCGCTGACGCTTCGCACGGCATCGAGACACTAAAGATCGATGCGCAGACGAAGACAGTTCCCGAGTAAACACAGGATATACCCTTTCCCTTTTTCAAATGTCATGACCTGCTAAAAAGAAATGTGCATTGGCCGGAGTTGGTTGAATTGCGAGACATAGATCTCCGTGGGCACATATCCAAAGAAGATCTGTTAGAAGGTAGCTAGCTGCACATGTGGCCGACTCAAAAAATATAAGTCAGACAGCTACGAGGCAGAGAATATCATTGCTTTCATAGCATTCGCTACATATACTATTGTGTTCATCGACATGAGCTCAGACTGAGTAGACCGACCGTAAATGCCCTTGGGGGGGGGGGTGGTTAACACAAAAACCCCCCAAAAAAGAATGATAATACTTCCTCTGGTAGAAGTTCCGAGCAGCTTTCCGAAGAGCCTTCCGAGGGCAGGAAACCGGGTGATATGCAGCACAACGCATCAAATAGCTGTCCATGTTTTTATTTACTCTTCTTAAAAAAAAATTCTAGTTTTTATTTTATTTTTCTTGCTTTGAAGAAGGGTGCTGCTTTTGAGATTTGGAGAAAATATGCCTTTTAGCAATTTCCGTCCTTCTGGATACACCGGTATAGTGCTATATAGCTTCCCGCATTGTATACCCTATATTCGGTGGTCCGTGCGCGGAATGCCAGGATATACTCTCGAAAACAGAAGGAGAAAAGCTAGTTCTACTGATTGTCATATCGAGTTACCTTTTGGTCTTTTTCACTTGTTCATTTACATTCGTATCTCATCACTGGTATTAGTTCATTCTGTTTACATATCCAGAGGTCCCAGACCTCTTTGTCTGGCCGCTTTCTGAACCTCGCTCTTGACACTTCGTACTACACCGCGCCAACTTGTCTTGCCGCTGGAATCCGTTTCGTTTTCCTCGACGATGTAGTCAAGCCACTGGACGAGCTTCTTGGCTTTGTCCATGTCTCTCTCCTCCAGGACCACCCTGACGAGGTAGGTCCCCAGCATTTCGACATCCCGTTGGTGCGGCCCCTCGGTAGCCGTTTCCTTGTGCCAGACATTGAGCATATCTCGTATGTCCGACAACGAAGTCAGTTCTGCATTCGTGAAGGCAACCTTGGCAGGTAGTGCGTTGAACTGCAGCTTTATTTCGTCCTCATCCTCGTCTCCATCCTCGTCCCGGTCCCGGTCCTCTAGCTCTCGCTGGCGCTTATTTGATATCCTCAGGTCCAGACCAGCGCGCTGTGCTCTTCTGCGCCGATGATCGTCTATGACTTCTTTCCGCACTGATTCAGGTAGCCCCGCGAGAAATTCTGCGTCTAGCTCTTCCATATCACCGTCGCCTGCATCTTCACCTGGGTTGAAGGCGAGCGATGTTTGAACAACTTTGTTTTGCGCATCGGCATGCCGCTCTCGAGCATTGGCAAAGAGTCCCGGGCCACGCTTTTTAGTGGGCGTACTCTTCTTCGTCTGCTGGATGATGCGGTCTTTGCGTGGAGATTGAGGCAGTGGGCGAGCTTTGCGTGGAGACTGCGGTAGAAGATGTTGTCCTGCCCTTGGTCTATACGAAGCCAGTATCTCAGCCTTCAAATCATCGGGGAGAGCAGCAAAGACCTCAGGGTCGATGTCCGGCGGAATCTCATCCACCAATGCAGGACTTTGGGCTCTTGATCTCACAGCTGGTGGGGGTTTTCTGCTTTCGAATTTGGGCTTTGACTGGGCAAGCAGTTTGTTTCGAATATCCGGGGGCAACTCAGCAAGAACGGCCGGGTCAGGGTTGGCTGGCAGGACAAACTGCGTTCCACCAATATTCAAGGGTGTGTTAGCTTTGGCATCATTTTCGCAGGCTTTAGATATGGCAAGTGCCGCGTGTATGGTGCTGTGCTTCGGTTTCCTCGGAGTCAATGGGTCGTCATCGATGGGATCTTTGCCCTCGCTATGACCCGGTGTTGGACTTGGTTTGACTGGGCTGTCTACCTCCTGGATAAGATCTTCGGTGGGCTTCTTCGCCGACGCCGGCGTTCTAAAGCCACCAAAGTTGAGTTTCTTCTGGCTGCTTTCAGGTCCGCCAGATATCGAGATTTTAACGGGCTCCAACTTGGTGAGTTGTATGCCGAGTCCGCGAAGGTCGCCTGGGCTAAAATTGTAAGACCGCAAAATGGACACGGCTTCCTTGCCGATGACCCGATGGTTATGCGTAGCAATGCCAAATACGATACTCTTGTTAAAGGTGTCACATTTTCCATGACCGAGATGTTTTGGCGGATCTAGAGGTGCATCCAGTGATCGCCTCATGATTTTCATCGTCAATTGCTTGCCTTTAACCTGTTCGTTTACGAGACGTCGCTCCAGCTCCTTGCACAAGTTGAAGATGAACTCTTCAGCTTCTTCCTGGTTGATGAAGCGTATTCCCCAGTTGACCTCTGCCGAGACTGATTTTCTGATTGGCTGATCACCGACTTCAACACGATCGATGCCGCGAGCATATTCAAACAGCTTTTCCCCTGTCTTCGGGCCAAGCGCAGTGACGAGGCGCTCTTTTGACACCTCTCGAACGTCTTTGACGTATACAATCCCTATCTCCTGAAGTTTGCCGGTGATGCTGTATGCAACACCGGGGAGATCATCCGCCTTGAGATCCCCCAGAAAACTCAATACAGCCTCCGGTTTCAACTGAAACTGTCCAGCTGGTTTTGCTTTTCTCAGAGCGACTTTAGCTAGCAAAATATTGTCGCCGATGCCAATAGATACAGCGCAACCAGTCTTACTCTTGATCCTATCTCGAAGATCCTGTGCGATCTGGTCCGCTTTCTCCTGTTCTCTCCAAATGCTCCCTTCATCGACCCCACCTCCTTGTGAGCCCACGGCAGCGAAGATGAGGGAGCTCACGTCTATCAGGGCTTCATCGATACTGACACTCTGGACGACGCCACCAACCTCCAATATTGCCTCGTAGAAAAGCTGGCTAGCCGCTTCATAAGCCGGGAAATCATAAGGTAGCACTTTGAGATCCGGGCAAAGCTCTTTGGCTTTCTTCATCCACATGCCGTTCTTGACTCCGAACTTTCTTGCAGGGTAATTGCAGCTTGCGATTTCCGATCCAGTGCCACTGCCATGAGCTACGACTGCTGGTTTGTCGACGAATTCGGGTGCGCTTTTCAATGATACAGCGCAGAAGAAACTATCAAAATCGACATGCATGATATACCGCCTTGTTCCCGGCTTCCTTTTGGCTGGCCTTGCCTGGAGTCCTTTCTCCGCGGCCAATTTTTGCATTCGCGACTTCAGATCGGCTTTCCAAGTTGACAGATGATGGAGACGGCTTTCTGAGTAGTATTGTTGAATAAAGTCCGGATTAGCCGTTGACGATTTTCGCATCCTTGGATCTTGGAGTAACAACGCATTGTGTTCCTCCGAGGTCATTTCTCCGAGCGGCTTGTTGGGGGGCCTTGGCGACGAAGGAAAATCCTCCGGCTTGTTGTCGGAAGCCATATCCAGATCTCCGACAGCAGCTTCATCCAGTTCTGCTAGGTCCATAGAAACATGGACAGCGACCTCGACCAGCTTTCTCGGCGGTAGCGTGGCATCGTTAGCAAACAAGGGACTACTCCTGCCTCTCGGAGGTTCAAATGTTGGTGGTGTTTGATTTGTAGTGGGTGTCTGATGCCTAGTCTGCTTGCCATCGATTTTCTCAGCAATGTCCTTTAGCTGACTCGTGTAGAAGCTGTTGTCAGTCTGCTCCCGATATCTCAGCAGAGACGATTGTTGCGTATTTGACTGGGAAGACACCACACCACCGTCGAATTTGAGAGTCTTTTGCCTTGGGGTCTCTCCGATCACCCTATAATTTGACCATGGCAAAAGTTTCCCTGCTTGGATGGAATCGGTAACCCATGCTGGCTTGACAATCCTATACTTGTTAAAATCAACCATTTTTTTGGGCGGAAGGGTCGAAGCGATGATGTGAGTCGCCATGGTCTTCGAGTCTAGGTACTGGATGAAGGCAGCGCCATGCTCTACCAAGTCCTTGTGTAGAACGTGAAGCGGCGGCTGAGTGTACCCAGTGACGTGGGCGACTATACCCTTGAATATCTGGGGTTTGGTGGTAGAAGCACGTATCTCGGCATCAAGATTCTGGAGCTTGATCTTCTTCCGGCGGAAGTAGTCCGGGAAACCGCCAAAAGCGCTGGGCTCATATTCCTCGCCACCCTCGTCCGTGAATGAGTGGCTTTCGATGCGTTTCCGCACTTGGTTCGAATTCTTCTCCAAGCGGCTCCCCATGTTGGAGATTTAGAGGAGTTCTATCACAGCGTCACGGACAGCGTTGAGAGTAGGCCACTGTCCCTGCCAACCGCTGGACATGGTGCTACCAAGACGTGACCAGCTTCAGTGAGCGAAAAATAGCATCTGGTTCCTGAGCATCGTCATGTCGAAAGTATCAATAGATTTAGACCAACTCTCCTTTGTGCAAACGTGACTCAAGCCATGCTCGCAACGTCGCTCATGCTCGAGCTCTGGGTCTGGGACATGATAAAGTAAAGGCGATGATGGTTGTGGTAGGCTAAAACTGGAAGTGGCACTAGAACGCGTTGAACGCGGTGGCCATGTACGCGCCGTGCCATCACTGCTGCAAGCTCTTAAGCTGGGTTAACCTAGTCTAGTCTAAAGGACAAGTCTACGTACAGTGGTTGGACTGCTGTAAAGGTTCCCCGGCACCACATTTTAGGGAATCCGGCTCCCCAACTTAGCGCCTATCCAATCCTGGCCCTTGAAGCTGGAAACCGCGGGACTGAAAGAGCCATTGGGAGGTATTTTGCATTGCATTCAATTCCTACCAACTATGTTCACCGTCCAACACTGGACCGAAGTTGTTCCAGGGTTCTGTCACGATGAACAATGATCAGTTTCGCAAGCTCATAGCAGCAAATACTCCGAAGGACTCACCAAACAGTCATGGCGCATCGTCAGCCACGCCTCGCGCCGTTGCACTTGGGTCCAGACAGAAATCCAGCATGCCGATGACGCCGCGGTCCGTGGGCTTTACCCGTTCGGACTTTCAGCGTCAGTTGTCCGAGCAAAACAGACCGCAGAGGCCCCAGAAGAAGTTCAAGTCTTCCGCACCGAAAGGAGTCAAGCTCGCCGAAGGCTACACGGACCGCGCCAAGACCAGAGAGGATGAGGAAGAAGACGAGAGGGCCGCGAGGTTAAAGGCGCTCGAAGAGTCCTTCAAGAAGGAAGAAATCGACCAGGCGACATACGACAGCCTACGAAGTCGAATCGCGGGTGGCGACCTCTCGAGTACGCATCTTGTGAAAGGCCTGGACTTCAAACTGCTTGAGAGGATACGAAAAGGGGAGGACGTGTACGGCAACAAGATATCAGATGGCGCCGGCGATGATCATGATGATAATCATGACGACGACAATGAGGATTCTGTCGACGTGGATAATGCCTTTGAAGAGCTGGAGGACACGAGTATCGATACCATCAAGAGGGAAGCTGCCAGCAAAAAGGGCCTTGTTGCGACCAACACACTTAAGCCCGGCCAGAAGCGTTCAAGAGCCATGATTCTAGCCGATATGAAGGCCACGCGCGAGGCTGCAAAGGCAAAGGAAGAGTCCGCACTTGGCTCACGATTCAAGAAAATCGGCGACAGAACTCCAGGCTCGCGCATCGAAAAGGACAGTCAAGGCAGGGAGGTTCTTATCATAGTTGACCAAGACGGCAATGAGAAGCGCAAAGTCAGGAAACTCCAGGCGTCAGAAGGCTCACGGGAGGAAGAAAGAACAAGGGCCTTGATGATGCCGGATCAAAATGCGAAGCCTCTAGGCATGGAGGTTCCAGAAATCTACAGGCAGAAGGTAGAGGAGCCAGAAGACGAGGATGTGGACATATTCGATGGCGTAGGAGATGACTATGACCCTCTGGCTGGACTGGGAGAAGACTCCGATGACGACTCGGAGGCAGAGGAGAAGCCTAGCAAGCCACTGGCAGACGAAGTTCCGGGAGACCGCACAATGATGCCGCCGCCGCCACCACCGAAACCAGCATCTTCAACGGGACAGCGGAATTACTTCAAAGATTCAAAGACTGAGTTGGCCTCTGCCCAAACATTGCAGGCGCCATCAATGTCAGATCCAGCTATTCAGGCCGCCTTCAAGAGAGCAGCAGCGCTTAATCACAGATCGGCAGATGATGACGACGATGAGGCCAAAGCCAAGGCAGAACGACGGAAAAAGATGCTGGAAACTGTCGATCGTGATGCCGAAGACATGGATATGGGCTTTGGCACCAGCAGGTTTGAGGACGAGGCTGACTTTGACGAGTCCGACGTCAAACTCTCACGGTGGGGCGGTAACGACGACGACGACGACGGCCAAGGTGGTGGGACAGGCAAACCTAAGAGAAAGAGAGGTGGCAAGAAGCGTAAGGGAGACGCCAACAATGCCGACGATGTTATGCGCGTACTGGAGCAGCGAAAGGCTGCAAAATAGAAGAAAGCAATTGACACCAATCAAATGTACTTTGACAACTTTGTGATAAGTGATTACTTGTAGGAACAATGTCAATAACGTCAAGACATAAGACAGCCATGCTCGGCGTCTAAGAAAAGGTACACTATATATGGCAAAGGACCATCCAGATGTCGTGTTTACAAAATACGACTCCTATGCTTTTGTTGTTTTGTAACAGAAATCCGTTGTGAAGCTCCGACATTCCGGTCTTTATTATTAGGGCCCACCCATTACGAACCGACGGTGTCCGGCTGTGGCTGAGTTATCTTTCTCGCATCAAAACTCCGAACTCATAGAAAAGGGGAGAGAAAGGCAATTCAGCGCATTTTCGAGTACGTTCTCTACCATAGTGACAAAAGCCAGTCCCGTTAATTTTAGCAAAGCTACCACTGAAAGCGCGGGTGTTACTGTAGTCATGGCAGCACCAGTTCCTGTTTGGCTGGACTGCGATCCAGGTCATGATGTGAGTAGACTACTTCAATGGTTTCGTCCTTACATTTCAGCTATGAATGTGCCAGCTACTCCACGCTGTTTTAACCTTGGTTTGTTCAACTCCGGTATCACGGTATCGCGGAGGGCTGATGTTGGGCGGCCGGGAATGGGTCCTTCTGCCGTGCCCCTCCCCTCCCGATCCCCGATGCGACCTCGTTCTGCGTCCCATGTCGCTAACCACAACCACAGGACGTGTTTGCGATTCTTCTGGCCGCCTATCATCCCGGCATCAGGCTGCTCAACATCAGCACGGTCCACGGGAACGCATCGTTGGATAAGACAACAAACAATGCGCTGTCCGTCCTGAAGGCCATCGGCAAGCACCAGGAGGTGACCGTCTACCCGGGCCATGCTCATGCGCTTCGGCGCGCCCCTATCCACGCGCCCACGGACATCCACGGCGAGTCTGGCCTCGACGGGACGGATCTCCTGCCGAAGCCTGCAACGCAGGCGGACCGCTCCGTGGATGCCATCGACGCCATGGCCGAGGCATTGTGGGCCACGGAGCCCGGTACCGCATGGCTCGTGGCCACCGGCGGCCTGACGAATGCGGGCGATCTTTTCATCAGATATCCCGACCTGGCCGGTCACGTCAAAGGCGTCAGCATCATGGGCGGCAGTCTGGGCGGCGGCTTCACGCCCGCGCCGCTGGGCAAGGTGGACGGCGTGGAGCGGATCGGGAATTACACGAAATGGGCCGAGTTCAATGTTCTCATCGACCCCGAGGCCGCAGCCGCCTTGTTTGAGAATGAGGTCTTGAAGGGCAAGATCACACTCATCCCGCTCGATCTGACGCATCTCGTGCTGGCGACAAGCGAGGTGCAAGATACGATCTTGTATGGACCGGGATACGAGGGGGAGAAGAGCGGCAAGGGGAAGACGCAACTGAGGACTATGTTGGTGGAATTGTTGAACTTCTTTGCTGCGACTTATAGGTTCGGGTGGCCGCTTCCATTGCAAAATTGAACTCTCACAGCTAATCATGTTTAGGGATGTGTTCGGCATCGTGGAGGGCCCTCCCCTACACGACCCACTGGCCGTCGCAGCGGCTCTTGCTGGTACGCAATGGGAGATTCCTTTCTATGACTTCGACCCAAAAAGCGCCGAAGGCGATAGACGCCCCGAACGTTTCGACGTCGAGGTTGTCACCGAGGGCACCCTTGAGGAAGCTTTGAATGGTGCGCAGACAGGACGCACAATTGCGAAGTTACTTGAGCCTGGTGTGCCTGGAGTGCGAATACCCAGAGGTTTGGATATGGTGTTGTTCTGGAAGACTATTGAGGAATGCTGTCAAAGAGCCGACGACGCAAACGCGAAGCACTTGGCTGGGGCATAGATTTTCTAGTAGACACTACGCTTCGGTGGACGTCTACTGATCATTAGGGATGATTCAGATTATAAATCACTATAGACTACAAGATCTACAAAGATTACAGCCACAGTTCAGCTTGTTACATTCTTTTCTATCCCGTGCCAAAGTCATGTAGTATACAGTTGCTTGCAGTGGGCCTCACCGGCCACAAGGGGGTATTTTGACTTCATGACTTTCCCAGCCGAAACGCCATCCAACCTAATCAATCACTGTCCTCAGTCAGATCTATTACAGTAGTCGCTTTGCGCTTCATCCCCGCAAGTGATGGTACTGGAGGCAACCGCGAGGGACCTGTGTAAATGGTTGTTGTACTACGGCGCCGGTTCGGAGACGACCGCCTCCTTACGGCAGACGTGAGAGCGGTGCCGGTATTTGATACACTGCTGACGGGCTGGACAGTGCTATACCCCAGCTCTGCCCGTGGCGAAGACATAACGGAGGACAATGGAACTCCAGTATATCCCGCAGCCCTGCCGGTAGTTGGTGGTGATGGCCTAGGTCTAGACGACGGTAATTCTGTTCCCCCTGCTTTGGCGATTTCATCCTGTAGTCGTGCTAGCTCGTCGTGAACATTGCCGGAAATAGGAGCCAGAGGTTTGCGCTGTCGTGTGGTTGTCGGAGAGAATGACGATATGGTTGGGGTAAGATAATTAAATGGCAGGTAATGAGGCCAATCTGAAGCGTCGAGTTTGTTGAAAGACGTCACGTTATCATAGTGGCCCTGCAAAAGCACGCGTAGTTTTTCCTGGTTAAAAATCGAAATGTTGTTTTCTGCCTCCAGTCTTCGCTGTATCCAAGTTGGATTGAAATGGTGCTGGCTGTTCTTCGTAACGAGTAGTGTGGAAGGACTGCTGTGTTCGAGGATCTTGCATGTACAGTCGGCTTTCGAATCGTCAAGCATGTTTCGGAGATGTTCTCTTCGGGCCCGACCCAGAGTGAAACGACCGCTGGCTTCTATTGGGTTTTCAAGGAACCTATTCATTGATGCACACGCCAAACAATTACATGGTACTCGATCATGTTTCCAGGTCAATCCGGATGGCTTGGTAACAAACCTGATGATGTAGGCTCGGAGGAGTGTCTGGTACAGTTGTTGATACCGTGGAGTTGCCAAACTGATTTTATGCTCTTCGAGTAGCGCAATAAGATCCTGGAGCAATGGAATATATAATCGGTTCAGCTCAGCAGGTCGCATAGTTGTAGCGTGAGCACACAGGTGTTTCGCTAGCAGCTCGACGTCTGAAGTAAGACCCATTTTGAACAAGCCTACCACGAACTGGGAGAGCGCATCATAATCCACGAATTTAGTGAACGCGTTGGATGTAATGTCTGGTAAAGTAGAGTGAGTTGTGGATCTTTGCCACGCACCACCAGTAGAGCCGGCAGGATTGAATGACACTGGGGGGCCGCTATTGGGACCCATGGTCTGAACGCTCAAAACCTTTATAGTAGTCCTGGCTAGCTGTTTGTAAACAGCCAGATACTCGGTTCGTAGATGTTGGTTGCGGTTTATGTTTTGCCGCATTATCTTTGTAAGTTCCAGCATGAAGGGAGCAGATACGCAATTTTCGAGCAAGGGTGCAAGTCTGCATCATGTGAGCATTTCCTAGTTATACACTTATTCTATAGAGATTATTAAGAACTCACCTCGATGTAAGATACGCAAAGTCCATGTAACAGTTCACAAGATCAAAGACGACAGCAGCATCGCCTTTGTGGAGTAAGATTGTCCCACAATTCTCTAATGCTGCTTCTGCCCCAAGTGATAGAAGCGATCGCATATCGTCGGAGATCTCTTCTACATCAGAGCTAAAGGCCTCAATAGCAGCCAGCTTCCCGCTCATAGTTTTCCGTGCACTAATGCTCGAAAGTATACTGTCCAAAATACTCAGTCACTTGTTCATCCTTAACGAAAGACATACTCAAAACTTACATAGTCCTGAGCTTCCCGTAGGGTACCCTCCCTGTATCGACTTCTGAGCCCGCCCATATTAAGAAGTGTATTGAGACAGGTGCATCAGCCGTTGCGCAAAGATCTAGAAGGTCCTGCTGGTCGTGTAGAATAGCCACTTTCATAATACTGCATACTAGCTGGTCATTGATCGGAGCACCTGAATTGGTGCGTCTTCTGTGTGTAAATATTTGTCGACACAGTTGATTCAATATCGTCAACCAGTGGCCCGAGACTCGTGGGTAGAGACATAGCCCCGCATAATATTCGGTCAGCGTGCTTAAAGAATGGTAGGACATGCTATCATTACAGCCGCCGTAGGCTCTATCACTCAAGGCTTTCAAGAGGAAGGGATATGTGCCCATTGTTGGCACAATAACCAAAGCCTGTATCAGAATTAGCCCTGGGAATTTGTCTTGGCTTAGTCCAGAGCTGGACTGGCACTCACTGATCGATTGTACCAATGCTTGAGACTCCATAGATCTCCACGTGGATGCCTTTCTACTTCTTCCTTGTCGGGCTTATCAACGAAAGGAACAATAGACTGGAGAACATCCCCGTTCGGTATTTGAATGGTGGAAACAATTTGTTTACCATCTAGACTAAAGACAGCCTTTGTGGAATATTCGAAGCTAAATAATTCATCTACTGAGCAGAACTGGCTTTTGTGCCTCGAAGAAAGGGAATTGTGTCCATATTCTCCAGGGAGACACCTGCCGTCGTTGTACGCATAGCTTGTATGATCGGGCTTAGTTGCGCCCAGTTCTATTTTTAAGAGATCTGCAAAGAAAAGATCGAAGCTTAACTCGCTGAGCAAATCCCGAAGTCGTTGCACGATGTGTTTGTCCCTGGTTTTTAGTGTCCTAAACGATGTATTTGTCCCGTCAAATTTGTGATCCATGACAAAGAATAGCGGAGCCGGCGGACGGCAACCATTAATGATCTCGTAGTGCCAGGTTTCCAAGACTTTTTGTAATTTTTTGCTGTCTTCTCCTATCAACGCAGCAGAAGGGGTTCGTTCGAAAGTGTTTACAGCAAGACTGTAGGCCAAAGCGAACCGGTAACCTTCCTTGATAGGAAGAACATCGTGATGTGCATCTTCATACCTAGATTTTTGGTCAGTCTTTAACATCAAACGATGATCTTACACATACCAGCCAACCCATGAAAGCTTTGCTGCTGAGATTCCGAAGCACTTCTTGACGCCATCATGACTGGTAACGATATCTCCACCTACGTGGCGAGAAGGTAGATTGATCAAGAGGGTTGCAAAATGTTTGGAGTTTTTGTCCGTGTTCCTCGTCTAAATCAGCCTAGGTGCCTGATGAATTGGCACGGAAATCCGCTTACAGGGAGCATATCTCACCGGCGGGCCCCTTTCCTTGTAACAGCACTGCTTTTAGCTTTGCTGATACCGGCTCTGATACACCGAGTTCCTGGGCAACATGAGGCACCACAGTCTGTTCGAGAAACGTGTCCCATTCGACTGAGTTTTTGATGCTAAAGCCATCGGTGTTGAGACGCCAATGACCTCGAGGCGAATTGGCAGCGGAAGCACTTTGTGTGTTTGATATTTGATGTATCTTAGTTTCGAGCAGTTGAGCCTGTACTATATCAAGGGGTAGGCATATTGTGCCCACGTCTTTGACCACAATTTGGGGTAGGACGTCAGGCTGGATAGCTGCAAAGAAAGCAAAACTACCGGGAGCTTCAATGGTATTTAGAGCTTCAGAGAGGTCTGCTTTTAGATCCCAAGGACTAGTAATCCGTATTGAGGCTGCATTGTCGGGGTGAGGTGCTGAGAAAGAAGGTGGGTCTCCCCGAAGCATTCCTGAATGATTGGTACCGTAGAGAGCCATCCCATCATTGCTGAGACTGTCTTTGTTGATGTCGAATTACAGCTATCGATAAAGCATATCCAATGCGGTGGTACAATAGAATCCGGTTTGTTAGTTAGCTATGCATCCCATGATACAAAGCTCGGAGGCCTTGGAGTTGGCACAGCAGTGAAAGTGGAGGATGAACACGCAGATGCTTCAATTATACAGAAACCCGCTCCTTTGCAAAACGCGCCTCAACTGGACGCGACGCTCCACCACTTTACTGGTGGGGCCTCCTTCGAGCCATGGAATATGTACCCCGCAGCACAAGATTTAGTGCTAGACTAGGTTGGGCACAAACGTCGTTCTGAAAAATACTGTTGTTCAAACAGGATACTTTCTCCACGCGGCTAATCACAAGGACTAATTAAGTAAATAACGAAGAAAATATGTCAATTGAATTAAGTAAAGTCTCCCGCCGGGTTCTCCTCAAATTATGCATATATATATATTGAATAATAATAAAATGGATAGCGTTTCCTACCGACAAACTAGACTCCAATAATGTCAAGCCCAAACAGAAGGTATTATTTCACGAAACCGTAGTATACACCAACAGCCCAAAGTCGAGTAGACGTGAGGATCTCTGTGTAATCATGATGGTGTTAGTATCATTAAACCGGCCCGAATAATTCACTGCATCTTAGCATCCGGCTACAAGTCAACACTGTATCGCTTTATGCTGAGGAAACAAAAGTTCCTGAGCCGTATCCTAGTCCCGAGATGTCATTGCGAGAGCAACCTCAGGTCTAATCTGGCGCTACGCATAACTGGCCCGAAAGAGTGGCTCAGGGCCAGAGCTCAACACTCAAGTCTGAGGCCAATCAACTCTGCCAGAGCGAGCCCCTGCATACAATTTGGTGTTAATTAGTACGGGCATCAACGACGACGTACATATCCATAAAATAAAGCAACTTCGGAATTATTCCCAAATTATTCATATTCCATACTGAATATCAAAGAAAATGGGAACAGTATCCTGAACTTATAAGTTACTGCTACACACAATGTTCGGGCGGTTGCTCTTCCAAATCACCACTTGGTCTGATCCAAGCATTCGGGCAGGCTGTCCTTTCACGGACAAGACCGCGGAGGTTAACTAGCTGCCCCAAGATAGCTCATCTGTGAATCCAGACATTCTGCAATTCAAGGCCACTGCAGCTATTCCGCAGGCCAGCTTCCCCCGACATGAGTCTGAATCCTGGAGATGCGCACCCAATTTTATCATCACGGGCTCAATGCGTTACCCTAGGCTGTGTGACCATGAAACCAATCCTCCTCACCAAACTCGGCCATAGTCTTGTACACTCTGAAGATGCTCAGTTTTCTGCCCTCGAGGAGCTTCTCAGTCCATGGCGAGGCGGCGAGCTTTTTTATCTCAAGCAGATCTGGGCTTTCAACCGCAAATTCATGGATCGCTAGCCAAGCAGGAGCGTGTGCTGCAGATTCGCCTGTAGTAGAGATATTCCGAGCAACATTAAGCTTAAATCGCGTCGTGCGCAGATACCCAGTGGCTCCGGCTACGCGACCGAGATGCTGGCGGCAGATCAGCAACTAGCCATCACCGTCACAAGTTTGGGGATACGCACTTCCTCTCTGTACCACTTGTCAAATTCCTCCGCATCTGCCTCTTCCTTGAGCTCAATTTGGGCCGATATAATAGATCTTGTGTGACCTTCTGGGCATCAGCGTCGGCGTTTGGTTCAAAACGGCCACCTCTGCGTAATAGGACTCACCTGTCCCCCTCTGTGTTGGATCGTACACCTGAATCAAGCTGTCGATCCGATTACTGAAGTCAGCCAGCTCGGTTATGTCCCCAGTACCAGGCAACAAGTCGCTCTTGATTGTGTAATGTTTGAACTCCTCACTACCCAAGAAAGCAATATCCTTCAACGGATATATAGCTAAATAAGGCTTATCTGCATCCGGATTGATGTCCTTAAATCTGCGAGCCGACTTTATTCCTGTCATTTGAATGATTTCAGGAATGTGAACCTCGTCATACCATTTGAGATAGGTTGTCTCATCTAGAATCTTCGGATTGGCGATCTTGGACTCTACATAGAGACTGCCCGGTCCGCTGAGCTCTTTCGCCATGTCTGAAACTTTTGAAAAAAAAATTTAAAAATTTAAATTTTTTAACTCCCGGCAGGTTGCTGGATATAACGAAAAACCGCAGTTGTTGAGGAGAAGAGAAGAACGATTGCATCTGCACCATGATAAGAGGCAATTCAAACACAGCACGCGCATGTGGTTACCTATATCACCGGTCCGGAGGCGGGGCATTAGTCATTAGGCTGTTGGCGGGTCCGGTGCCCAGTGAGCTGTCGTGTCCACAATAACATAACATGAGTTGCTCCAAACGAAAATATACGTTTATACCGCACTTCCCCAATACCAAGTCCTTGAACACTGGGATTTGATCTGTGCGCTTTGCCCTTGTTTGTATAACGATCCCTGTGCGGAGTGCTGCTTAATCTTCACCTGTCAGATCAACCACATCTTCCAGGTTGGTCATGCAATGATCGTTCGTAGTTGCTTGGTTCACCTTGTTGGGATATGTAAGTTGGCCGTCAAACTTTCTCTTCGTATTCGCAGCAGGTTGTTGGTTCTGAAAATTTGGGGTCATTGGAATGCGTATTCCGGAATCTGGAGGGCAACAAGGAACCATTGAGGCGTTACACGTGGTCTCTGCACGCTGTGAAACTCGGTACATAGATCTCGGAGCCGAAAACATCACCGGAGGCGCATTTTGGGGACCGTTTAATATACTAGGCGTAGGTTGTGTGGCCTGCGTTGTCGAATGCTGCGCATACTGATTCACATCGCTGCCATAGCCAGGGATGCCTGGTTGCTCCGTTACCAAGTTCTGTGGAATTGATATGGATGAGTCGGCATGACAAGCTTGTGGGGGCACACCAACAAGACTCTGATAATGCCTCCCAAGCAGCTTCGCCAGGTGATATTGGTTCAGTTCTCGCAGAATCGATTGAATACGAGAGCCACAACTCTCCCATGATTTTATATCCATTTGGTAGTCAGATGTTCGCTTTGTGATGTGGTATTGCTTTCCGGTATCCTGGTAATCTAGGCAGTCGCCCAGTGAAGCAAGCATTTTACACAAATGAGCCTTATTCCCCGTGCTGGCATGATTGCTCATGGTAAGTTTGTTCTTGTTTTTGTCGAGCAAGAATCCGTCCAGTGTCAAGCACACACGGCAGCCATGTTTGGTCTCTCTGCTTTTTAGGCCCCAATGCATTTGAGGTCTTGCGTTTTTATGCTTTTCCCAGTACTCTCCAATCAGCCCGACGAAAAGTTTTTGATATTTTGGTTCAGTAAAAGAAGTTCCTGGGAGCTTCTCTAGCATGAGGAACAGATCACGTAGAACTGGTATGTAGAGATTGAACAATTCTTGCTCCGGCATGAGTTGTCGCTGTGTTATCAGTGAATCCGATAGAATCATAAGCTCATTTTCCATGCCAAGCTCGACCATGACGGTTAGGAAATTCGTGAGAGTTGCGATTTTAGCTGGAGCTGGAAGAGAAGGCAAGATTTGAACTATGCTTTGTCCCGTTTTAGAATGCAACGTTGCACGTTTCCTAGACTCGTGAAGCCAATAGGCCATACTCACGAGCTGTGAAACACGAAATGACCTGGCAACTGATTCTGCAGTTGAGCGCACAATAACCAAAGCCGCTTCCTTTGGAAACACCTCTTGCAAGGCACTCGTGTAGAGATTCCAGATAAAGCCCAGTACGAATGCGGCACATTCTTGCTTCTTCTGGACGATGGGGATTGCACTTTACATGTCAGTGATAGAACAATTATGGGGCTCGAAGTGGCACTCACATTTTGCATAGCCAATCGAAATCTCTTTCATTCCGAGCTATGGACACGAGACGTTCGCCATCCTGCTGGGTCAATAACTCCAGTTCGCAGCGGCGGACCGATTCATCCAGTGCATCATCAGCCATTCGTCGAAGTCTGTTGCACACGTTTCCTTGATTGAGGGTACTGATTGCGGTATACCTTTCTTCCAGGGTAGGAATAGCTGTGATGACTTGAATCAACCTATTGTGTGTGAGAAGATGCTTAAGTAGATAGATTGAAAAGCTTTACCGTAATCTAAATGTGTCAAGACAAAGTGTCGTACTCTGGACAATCTCGCTAATTTCCTTTAGGTAATGCACGTGTTGGAGCTTATCGCACACAGAGTCGAACAACTCCTGGTTCCCATACTTCATCGCGACTCGCAAGAGGTCCATAGTCAGTTCACGGGGTAAACGTGACTCTCGAACGGCGACCCAAAGATTCTGCTTGCGTATTCCGGACCAGGTTGTCCATACAGAGCAAACAGTTTGAAGCATTTGGAAGTCTTCTATATCTGCGGAAGACATCAGACACCTAGAAGTAAAGTAATGCAGTATTTGAGCAGATTGATCGCCTTGGTCTTTCTCAAAAACCTGGGAGAAGAAGTGATGTGTGGAGCTCTCGGGGATGATGGCCATAGCCTGTCACGGATCAGAACAAGCTCTTTATATCAGGAATTTTGTTCGTACCAGTGCCCTATATTCACGGATTTGGCGAGCACCCTGAGAGAGTCAGCAAATATTCGTTTTATTGGGTGATAACTACTCACCAGGCGAATGTCGTTGCAGTCATCGTCAATTTCTTCGTTGTCCGGATCACCAAGATCGAAAAAAAGGTCACCTTGTGCTATATTCGTTGGGTCCAAAGGTAGCTCCACAGTAGTATCTCCAGTAAGAAGGATTTGGACTGTCCATCTTGTCTCACGTTCCTCTTCATCAGACGCTACCATACCATCTCTATTTTGGCAAGCTTGCGGATTTCCCACACTTTGATCTGCATTATTAGCCAGGTAAACGTTTTCGCCCACCTCTGATTCATCCCTATCCTCATCTTCATCTCCCTCTTCCTCTTCCATGGCATAAGGGTCTTCATCATACTGATCAGTAACTCCTTCGTCCGTCCTTTGCAATCGGGCTAAGTAGACTTTGAAAGACAACTCCGAGACCAGCGACTGCACAGCCTCGAGTTTTCTCGCGTCTGCTCCGCCAAGTTTCATGGCACTCAAGGTATCATTGCAACACCAATCCTCGAAGTGATAATACACAGGTTGAATCTCTTCATCGCCAATGTTGTGGCCAGGCCGAGACCATTGAGTAAGTACATTCCGAAGGCTTCGTCTCAAAGCCTCTGGATTGTTATGCGCACAGCTGGGTAAAGTCAACTCGAGGCATTCGCGACACACGTCATGTCCAATGTTGTCCAGGACGCGCACAATATCCTGCTTCAACTGATGTATAGTTGCCATAGTTTATCGAGTAGCACCGATGCGGCCGAATTTGACTGATACAATGTTGAGCTTCCCGATCTCAGCCAGATCCAAAATACGGCTAAGATACAATAAGGTCCGGATCGTAGCTATTTGGCGTACAAAACATTGCCGACGGCTGTCGAGCTGGGATAAATATTTGAAATGCTAAAGTCTAGTGGAGCCACGCCACTCGGACACGATTAGCAAGGATCGTGCTCAACATCGCATAGTGGTTTGATTGCATTTTCCAGTATTTTCCAATGACTAAGTACTTCTATGTGAAATTTGATCCATTGCGAGTTTTATTCTACCTTACGCACTGCTATGTCTAGCTTGCAAAGAAGTCATGGACGTTCACTTTTGCTTGGGGGTTTTTGCATTCGCGCTTGTCGTCATACAGTGCAGATTGTATAGATGTGTGCACTGAGTCATATTACAACACATCTGGCAGTGATGCACTCGAGACTTGGTATCCCTTCTGCCATGTACTAACAAAAATATTGTGTGAAATGGCCCCGAGGTGATAGGCTGTCGCAAACAATAGTTAGAGTCATGAGGATGAAACGAGCCCTTATGGGATAATACCACCCACAACAGTACCCAGAGCTGGTACTTACTCAGTGCGTCTTTTAACACGGTACATGCTCACAACTGGGGAACGACGTTGAGACTGTTATCAGAAATCTTAGTTTAAATGTTTTGAGCCGAGAAGGCTACCATCCTATACAAACAGCGTCTTGATTTCATTTTCTGACCTGGTTGTACTGCTTGGGAAAACGTGCCATGTCATTGCTTTGACTTAATGTTGTCGTTATTCTTCCGAAAACCTTTCGTATGCGGTTGCCCGATGGTGCCGTGCGATATCAAAATGATTGCTTACTATAAGCAAGCCAGCTTATCTCGGTCCATCAGTCCTCGAGCTCATTGACATCGTTATCCCCGGTTGCCGCATTGGTCGGCAGGCTCTGATGATGTCCTCATCAACCGACGAGCTCCGTTCTCTTTTGAGGCCACGAAGAAGTTTTGGTGTCATGGCGGCTTGGGAGTATGACTGTGTTGACTCATTAGTAGATATTCGTTTATTCTAAGTACTCCGTTGAGGTGCTTCACGCTGAGGCGTGGGGCCTGGTGACGGAGGCTAGAATAACTGAGTCGTTGTTTGGGGCGCTGCAAAGTATTGTAACGTGTGCATATTGCCTGTAGTGGACATGTCAGCCGATGTCAGCTTGCCCAGTCCTTCATGAGTCCTTTTCTCAAAATTTGAGATATGCGAGTTCAATTGCGGTTTGTCAACGGCTTGGCAGCAGTGAGCACTGCGTGTATAATATCGAGGCTCATTCTTTTTGTCTTAATTGCGCCATAGTAACTCAGGGTAGACCGTAGGGAGTGCCGTTTTGTTCGTTGGGCCTTATTTGTGCCGTCGCAGCATGCGCCAACGCACTTATACCATCCTGGCTGACCTCCTAGATCTTTGTCATCAACGGTTCCTCAGTCAGTGAATTCCCAGTCAACGGCTACATGTAGTCGTCACGACTGTCTTGAAAAACTAGATCTAGAAGTGGAAATTTTATATCGGCCGGTAGGGGTATTTTATAAGTGAAGAATGCAGTTATGCGCAGTTAGCAGCAAATTACATGAGATGAACACATGTTATTCTACCATATCAGCACAATTCTTCCAGACACAATGTTTCGGGTTCTTCATCACCGCTCAGCTCATCATACCAGATCAGGGCTTGTTAGGAGCAGAAGATTCTTGGCAGTTACGGCACCTCATACCGAAAAGTCAAGTTATTTTGAAATGTTCAAACTGCCACGTTTCTAACAATTGAGCGAATTGATTCACCTCCGGAACGCAGATACTAGCGTTGAAGTCTGCTGGTTATTTATAACAGAACTGCTGGCTCTTTCCAAGCAAGGTCTCTTCGTAAGATAATAATACGTACGGCCTGGCGCAGAGGCATGACTGTTCAGGACGGCTTTAAATTCGTGGAGCCTGCTATTTCGTCCCCAACATTACACTCAAGCCGTTCTGCCTGATTTGAAGCACAAAATTTTTTTTGGGAAACCTTGTCCTTTCACTCCTCCTAAGCCTCCTTCTGACTTTCGTATCTGGATATTATCTTCGTTACTGCGCAGGAACTAGACTCGACATACTTCATAGTACGTGACAATACACAATCAATATTCATCATGAGAATGACACCTTCAAAATGATGGCAGTCCGATCAAATGCATCATACAGGCTCTCCTTTAGCTTCTTGATGACGCCAGTGCTAATTCATCTCTGGCTTGGCAATTGTCAGACGGAATACGAGAAGCGTAGCTCACTGTTATGATTACCAAGGATCAAGTCTCCGAGGTTGGTTGGTAAGACTACGCTGGTGTTGAGATGTGAAGTACGTAGACTGGTCATGGAAAGCAGTTCTGAACTATATCATGACGCGGCCCATGTCAGTGGGTGGGGGACTCAGGAAATATTTGTTCCTCTAGAGTATATTTAAACACAATACATATATGTAGTCCCGAGTCACACCTTCATAGAACTAAACAAGTTTTCATATATTCCCGAAATCCATGGTGATCGTGACTTGTGTAGTCGACACAAATGCTAGGTTATTGAATGCAACATCCGCCCGTCCTGGCCGATGACATGATCGGCCAACTAAATTGTGCGCAACCCCCAGAAGGAACATAATGGATCCGACCATGGCTCGAATATTACAATCCTGCAGCGAGAGCTGGCGGCCCACAATCGAGTCGTGACCTTGGTGGCAAGCTCAGTCTCGTCCATGATTCGCACCCAAGCATTTAGCTGCTTTCATAACATACAACTTTGATGACTTGAACAGCAAGCTATGAGCAACAGGAGGCTAATCACTCAGCGAAGCGGGAAAATCGGTACGCAAACCTTGCGATCCCTAGTAGGCGGAGCCGAACACAGCCTAACGTATTATTGAAGGTAGACACTTCATTGGGGTGATAGCCGCCACCAACGTTCCCATCATCCACCACGACCAACAACACCCCTGAAATCCACCGGAGGGAGAAAAAAAGATTTTCAATAAGATTTCTGCGGACTGTGGCAAGGTAATTGTAGCGGCAGAATGGATAATTTTCTTTTTCTTTTTTGGCCCTCCCTTCGACGGGTTCGGAACGTGACCCTTTGACTTTTCAATGTCACTTGGAAACTTTCGTTCGAGAGACTATCCTACACTTCTACCCGTTGACCACTAGACCTTCGAATGTCCGCAGGCGAATATACTCAGGCTTTTTGGGCTCTATAAAGTCAACTTCTCGAGCCCAATTTTGGGGTGCTGGGGGAGGAGAGGCTGGTGGGTTGCTGGTCAGCGTCGCCAGGGACGCATTTTATGCTTGCCATAAGATACACTGTGAAGGCTGCACTTCCCGGCCAAATGTTCAAGTTCATGCTTATGCAAGTCGACGTCAATGTTTGCCGGCTTCCTAGTCGACGAAGGGCATTTACACCTGGAGTGTTGACGTGATTTGACGACCAAGCGCCAGGTGAATGAGGACTTTCGGTGAGAAACCCAGCAGTGAGTGTGAACTGCATTTCAACCTTCCTTCTTGGTGTCGGTATCTTGGGCTGGGCAATTGGTAGCCTTTGGCTCGCCCTCGGCATCAAAGCCGAGAGCTTCAAGTTCCCTGATAAGCTCGTTTATCTTGATGACTTTGGCGATTTGCTCGGGCAGCAGAGACTGGCCTTCGTCCTTCTTACTCTTCAAGTCCTTGGCCTGCTTCAGCTTCTTCTTGAGGTTACGGGCCTTCTTCTCCTTTTCGGCTTCAGGGTCCAGCTCTTCGGCAGGTTCGTCCCTGGGCTTGTCATCGGCTGCATCGCCCTGGCCTTCTTTGGCCTTTTTCCGTGCCTCGCGACGCTTGGCATTCTTGTTGCTTGCAGCAGAAGGCAGCTCGGTCTTCTGGCCATTCAGAGCGTCAGCGCCGAGAACACCAGCTTTACCGCGGCTCCTGAAGCCTTCGGCAGTGCGGTTCTTGTAAAGCTCCACATCCTCGGGAGGACGGTAACCGGGTTTGATCTTGATGGCCTTTCTGGTGGTGCCGTCTGGACGAACTGACTCTGGAATGTGGCGCTCGCCGCTGTTCGCGTCGGTGACGATGCCTGCATTGGACGGTTGTGAAGGCATGGTCATGTAATGTCATGTATTGTATTGGAATAGGATGGGGGCGGCGGGGTAGGATTGCACTGCAGCTTTTCGCACTCGCAGCTTCACTGCACTTGAAAATAATTATACAAAGTGATTGAAACAAGCCCGTGCATGTAGTGTAGGATGCCCATTGGTAGCACCACACAGAGTTGTTTCCAAAACTGCGAGGAAGCAATAATCGCTTCGGGGAAGGCTGTTGAAGTGAAAAGTGGGAAGTGGAAAGCTGATAATGATGATAGTAACAACAACAATTAATGGGGCATCTGACTACGCACTTACTCCGTAGTGTCGTCTCGTCTCGTCTCGAAATGGGATTGGACTTGGAGCTCAAGTGAGCGAGTTGAGTGAGCGAGTGAGTGAGTGAGCGGTAGCTTGACTGATGGACTGTGCAGGTGGACGGACATGCGTGAAAGGTGGACCGCACGGCTGTGGAAGCTCCCACCTCTCACCTCTCACCTCTCACTGGCCAATCGGAATTAGCCAATTCCCAAAATCCATCTCAGCAACAAGTTCGAGTCTGTAAATCGACCGAGAATTGACTTGGTTCCAACAACGCCATCAACCGAGCCACCTCAACCACCCCAAACCCTCGCATCTGCATCTCTCCCTCCCACATCGATTGACTACTCTCAATTGTCACAATGGTATGTTCCAAACCCGACTCATACCGCTTGGCCGGCTCTCGATACTAATCGCGCAACAGGCCGGCTTCTCTCCCCTCTACAAGTCCGTCCTCCCGCTCCCGTCCACGAGCTTCTCGAATCCGTATTGACTGCCATTGTTTAGCGCTCTGTTCCGAAGGAACGCCCAGATGCTTGGTGTCGTCTTTGGTGCCGGTTTCGCCTTTGAGCTGTACGTACACTCGTACCCTACTCAGCGTGCACGCACAAGAATCAGACCAGCTGACCATGTTATAGCATCTACAACCAAGGCATGAACAAGTTGTGGGACAACTTGAACCGAGGAGTACGTACGCGAACTGACACCCGAGATGCCACTACTGACAAAGCGATAGCGCCAATGGCAGGACATCCGCAGCCGCTACGTCGAGGACGCCGAGGAATAGATGGTTGTGTACGTGCGACAATGGATACCAGAGTTTCCCCTGTACTTCTGTACATTATAGACGGTCAAATTACATTTTGTTGAAAAGAGCCGCCCTGCGTCACCACGCCTTCGCCTTCCCTCGATACCTACCGCCAAGTCATATACTTGGGATATCGATCCGAACTCATGGTCCCGTGCCCACTTACTGCAGTTCCGCGCAGAGCCAGGGCGCGTCTTCATGCTGCTAGTGATGTGATGAACTGCCAATAGAGGAATTAAGGATGTGACAGGATGGCTCCTAAGGGGTTTCCTGTAATGATGCGCGCCAAGCAACAACCTACATGCGGGAGGCCAAAATGGGTCTGTCTCACGGTCACTTCCCATACTCTTAACTTGATTCTTCTGCTTCTGGGAAGAAGAAACCCCACAGGCTCGCATCTGATCTGCAAAGGCGTGTTATCCCGTGAATTCATTCAATCATTCATTTCCCGAGTTGTTTATGCATGGAAAAGGAGTTCTGGTCCTACCGCCCATAAGTCGCCGCTCTAGTTGTTGGTTGCCCCTCCATGCCTTGACGTTAGCTCTTGATTTTCCCAAAACAAAAGTGATTAGCAACTCTCTGAACGCTGACCCCCTGAACCTCCGCGACAAACCATTCACGCTGCACTTCGTTGCCCCAGTCGGATCTGGAGTTGAGACCTATAATACGCCTCCGGCAGGAGAGAAAGGCTACTGGCTGTCCATTCCTGTACTCTGACGCGTGGTTGGCTCTTATGTCATTGAGACCCCACCATCAGCTGCCAACGAAGGTATCCAAACGTGACGACCAATCTACAAGTTTCAACATCGAGCATCCCCCAAACATCGCGACACGCCACCTTGTCCCGAAATCCACTTCCATCTTGACCGAGACGACCCCCGAATCGCGAATCGACGACTACGGCTAGACTGAGCCCAGTTGAACCCCGCGTGGTTCTAGGATGAGTCAACGTAGACCCTCATGATGGAGCCGACCTTGTCGACACAAGAGCTACAGCTCTGCCAGCATCTCAGAGAGCTTCCGAGGCAGCATGGATACCGCTTTAGCGATGGTGCTTCCGGAGATCTTTTATACAATCTCTTCTGGTCTATGGCTGGCGGAAGGCCCGAATATATGCGCCTGTTCTTCCCAGATGGCAGGATCACACCCCAAAGCACATTGAAGCTCAGAGATGCCCAAGGAGCCGTCGAAGGCGCAGAGTACACAGAGGCCGCAAGGGGCAAGGCGTGTGGACACATCTTCCGCGCCGGAGAAGCTTCCTACGGTTGTCGCACCTGCAGCGCCGACGAGACCTGCGTCCTCTGCAGCAAATGCTTCGATGCCACAGATCACGAAGGACACATGGTCAAGATCGCCATCTCTCCAGGAAATAGTGGCTGCTGTGACTGCGGCGATCCAGAAGCATGGAGAAAGCCCATCTATTGTACAATACATTCTGAGGTCCATGGAGACCGCTCCAAAGGCAAAGGTAAGGAGGCAGCTGGCCTACCCGCCGATCTGGTCAATAATATCCGAATGACCATCGCGCGAGTGATGGACTTTATTTGCGACGTCATCTCCTGTGCCCCCGAGCAGCTGAGGCAGCCTAAGACCAGGGACTCAATCGAGCAGGACGAGAAATCGTCCCGCTTGAACTCGGTATATAGCGGCGGAGACGTCGATTCGCCTGGCGAGTGGGCAGTCCTCCTCTGGAACGACGAGAAACATACTGTCGACGAGGTTCAATCGCAAGTCGCAAGAGCTTGTCGGACTACCATGGCAGATGGCTACAAGCGGGCTCTGGAGACGGACAGCATTGGACGCAGCATCCTGATGTATAGCAATGATATTGACCATCTTCTCCATGTGGCCAAGATCCTCGAGCAAATCAAAGTCACTGTTACTATACGATCCTCCAGAGACACGTTCCGCGAGCAAATGTGCGGGACCATGATTGGCTGGTTGAATGACATTGCTGGCTGCTTTGTTGGATCCGACGGCAGTTTACTTAGGCAAATTGTCTGTGAGGAGCTTCTGAGACCATGGAGGAAAGGCAGTCTTGCCGTTCATGCTGGCAGTCTCCCTGCAATCGAGGATGAGGAGTTGATCGAGCAGATGCACGAGCAAAACGAGACCGCACGATATTTTATGAGACGAGCGCGCATTCTCGCCCGCTTGAATGCCGGTGGAGCTCAGATGACCACTACCACGCTGGCTGACATGCTGGACAATTCCGATGACGATGACGAGGGTAATCAGACCCCTGGCAGCGATGACGAAGACAACGATAATGATGAGGATGATGACGATGATATGGAAGGCGATGTTATGATGATTGATACTGGACCTGCTGAAGATATCAACATGTCTGGTTGGGGTAACAACGACCCGCCTGGAGACGCACTCGAGGAAGAGGAGGCCACAATGGCAGGCTACCCACCTCCTCCACCACCTCCGCCTCCTCTACCGAGACGCACCACGAGAGACCGCGAGCTCACACCTTCGGACTCGGATACGGCTGAGCCCTTGATAGCACCAAGTGTCTACAACAAGGTCAACGTTGAAGTACCCAAAACACCAGGGCAAAACAAAGGCGACACCTTGGATCCTCCGCGGCCAGGAAAGTACTGGGTCGAGGTTCCAGCAGCCTATTTGGAGCCTGCCAAAGAGCATACTTTCGAGGACGTTTTTGAGCGTGTGCGTCTAGATTGGTTGATTCTGTTTGATCTGAGGATGTGGAAGAAAGTCCGCCAAGATCTCCGTTCCCTCTATATTTCCACAGTTGTCACCATTCCAGACTTTAAGCGGATCCTAGGTCTTCGATTTGCGGCGTTGTATACCACGCTCGCACAACTTTATCTGATCGGAGATCGAGAACCCGATCATTCCATCATTAATATCTCCCTTCAGATGCTTACAACGCCGTCCATCACGGCTGAGGTGGTCGAACGAGGCAACTTCCTGACCAATCTTCTCGCCATTCTCTACACTTTCCTGACTACCAGGCAAGTTGGACACCCATGGGAGGTGTCTTCTAGCGCGGTCCTTGGTTTTGATACTGGTTCTGTTACTAATCGGCGGATGTATCACTTTTATGTCGATATCAAGTACTTGTTTGGATCCCCTCATGTGCAAGAGCGAATGAGGACCGAGGAAAGATATCTTCTGCAGTTCCTTGATTTGGTCAAACTTCACCAAGGAATATGTCCGAATACTAGGGCTGTCGGCGAGCACGTGGAGTACGAAACCGACAGCTGGATCGGCGCTTCGCTTATGACACGAGAAATCAACCAGCTTTGCAGATTACTTGCAGACTCTTTCCGAGACCTACCCGAAGATGATTCCCAGTACGTCTCGAAAGCCATTAGACTCGTCGCTAAGAACGTCATCATAAATTCCATCGGAGCGGAGCGTGCCAGATTCACGCAGGCAGAGATCAAGGATGAGATCCGCTTCAAAACGCTCAGTGACTTTGAGTTTGCTGGAGAGTCGATGAAATATGATGTGGTCAAATTCACTGTTGAAGAGCAACCGATCAGTTTCCATCATGCGCTCCATTATACGTTGTCATGGTTGATCGAATGTGCAAAACACATGTCAACTCAGCAACTTATGTCTGTCTTGAGCTTTACAGCCCAAGAATTGAAGGTGAAGCCCAAATCTATGGGCCGCAAAGCCATGCCCAAACGAGATTACGCACCAGAAGACTACTTGGTGGCTGCTTTTGACTATCCCCTGCGAGTTTGCGCCTGGCTTGCTCAAATAAAAGCCAACATGTGGATCCGTAATGGCATCAGCCTTCGGCACCAAGCTGTTACCTACCGAAACCAACTCCACAGGAACCATACGCATCATCGAGACATCTTCTTACTGCAAACTGCCATGGTGGTCTGCGACCCGAGCCGTATTCTGGCGTCGATGGTGGACCGGTATGGCATGGAGAAGTGGGTGAAGGGGTTCTTTGAGCAAACTACCGAAGGTCAAGATGAAAGTCAACATATCGACGTCATAGAGGACATGATTCATCTTCTGATCGTCCTCTTGAGCGATAGAACATCTTTGATACCGACGCGAGACAAGCACGAAACACATCTTTTGGCTATGCGCCGGGATGTCACGCATGTTCTTTGCTTCCGGCCTTTGTCCTTCAACGAAATTTGTGGCAAGCTCCCTGACAGATTCCACGAACAGGAAAATTTTCAACAAGTTCTCGATGAGGTGGCCACCTATAAAGCTCCCGACGGCGTCTCCGATGTTGGAACGTTTGAATTGCGACCACAGTTCATCGAGGACATCGATCCGTACATAGCGCACTACAACAAGAATCAGAGAGAGGAGTCAGAAGCTGCGTACCGCAAATTGTTAGCAAAGAAGACCGGTCAGCTCCCGGAGGATGTTGTGTACGAACCCAAATTAAAGCCTATCCAATCCGGAGCTTTTGTCGGCTTGGGTAACTTCACCAGCACTGGAATGTTCGCACAGATCATCTACTACTGCCTGCTCTACCCTTTGGTAGCAGCCAGACTAACGCCTGCCGTCCCATTCACTCGGGTCGAGGTTTTCCTGCAAGTTGTGCTTCATCTGGTTCTGATTGCCATTGCTGAAGACAGAACCGGCGAGAAAAGCACCGAGGATAGCTCATTTGTATACATTGCTCTTAACACTCAGGGACGCAGCAACTTTTTGCAAAACTCGCCGGACGCAAAGACTATCGTGTCTCTTTTAGAGCTGATATCCACCAAAGAGGAGCTCAAGGCATGTCATCCCAAGATTACCTTGATTCTGAAAAGGATGCGCCAAAAGAAGCCGACACACTTTGACTCGGCCTACTTGCGCCTCGGCATACCTATCGACAGGCTGGATACCGCGTCCCCAGCCAGCTCACAACATGCCGACGAGGAAAGAGAACGGAAGAAACAGGCCGCGCTGGCCCGTCAAGCCAAGGTAATGGCTCAGTTCCAACAACAACAAAAGAGCTTCTTGGAGATGCAAGGCGATGTTGACTGGGGTGATGAAGATCTAGACGACATTGAGGATGCGCCACTCGTGGAGGAGCAAAAGAATTTCTGGAAATACCCTGCGGGTACTTGCATCCTTTGCCAGGAAGAGGCCGACGATGGGCGGTTGTACGGCACATTTGGGCTTTTTCTTGAAAGTCACGTACTACGCCAAACTGATTTCCAAGATCCCGATTTCGTCCGCGAAGCTGCCAACACCCCTCTCAATCTTGACAGATCAGCTGAGCCCATCCGGCCGTTTGGTCTGGCTCATGAGAACCGCAAGACGGTGGAAAAGATTAATGCTGCAGGCGAATTTTTTCCAGCTGAGAAACAGGCTCTTGGGAAAGGTTTTCCTGCAAACCTATGTCGGCAGGGGCCCGTTGCGGTGTCTTGTGGCCACATTATGCATTACAACTGCTTTGAGACGTATATCGAGGCAACGTCACGTCGGCACGTACACCAGATTGCACGCCACCATCCCGAGTCTTTGGAGCGGAAGGAGTTTGTATGCCCACTATGCAAGGCTCTGGGCAATGCTTTCTTGCCCATCACTTGGGACGGCAAGGAGGAATCGTACCCTGGCGTATTACAACACCCGCCAGATCTCTCTTCATTCTTGAACACGCCAAGGCTCGTTGACCCCGCGGACTTTTTCAATGTCGGGCAGATTGCTTTCACAGAGTATATCAAAGCCAAGATGCCCGGTGCTCTTGATGACATTGCCTCACAGCAGGGCACCTCGGAAGCTTCTTGGGATGCTATCACGTCGACGTCGTCTGGGGGGATTGGGACACCCTTCAGCGACTCTTTCTCAGCAGTGGCAACTCCAGATTCCAGCACTCGATCCAGAAGTCCCGAAACACCGCATGATAAAGTCCTCAGGCGAGCTTACCAACGACTGAGAGAGACGCTGCAGAGCAATAAACTATTGAACAGGTCCGATTCGGATGTAAAGGATGACAATCTTGGTGGAAATCGAGCGTTGGCGCAAGCCGTTGGTTTCTCTATTTCCGCAACGGAGATTACCCAAAGAGGCATCGAGGCGCAGTACGGAATGACTTTGGTTGAGAAGATTCCAGAGCAAACATTGATTCAGCTGCGTATCCTTTCAGAAACTGTTGCATCGTATATTTGCATCGGTGGTCTACGATATGGCGGTGAAAACCGGATCAGCTCTGAGTATCAGAGAGACGCAGAGCGTCAGTTTTGCCAGCTCTTTATTTCCGACCTGTTCAACCATGAAACCAGCAGCGGCCGTCCAGCAATTGACGCTTTCTCGCCTATACTCAGTCAAGACCCTTTCATTCTCATGTGTGAAAGTGTTTTCGGTATGGGCATGGCTCAGTTCATGGACATCAACAATCTCGTCAGAATATACTACCTTGCTGAAATTGTCAAGACAGTGTTTCATATTTCCCGCAACATGCCGATAGGGAAGTGGTTGGAACATATGGTAAATCGAGACCCCGAGGATACTGCCATGGCCAACTTCGCCACGTTCTGCAATGCAATCACGTTGGCTGGCATAAAGTACAGTGAAGAGGTCCATGAGATACCAGACGATATGCCGAACCTTGGCTTCGAGCAGCCGTGCATGAACAATCTTGAGGACTTCTACGGTTTTGTCAAAAAATACGCCCTCATTTTCCTTCGCAAGACCACGGTTCTTCTGCACGTCCACTACGGAGTTGACTTCAACAGCCACGTTCCGACAGCTCCTGAAGAGGATGAGCTCTCCCGCCTGACAGCAGCTCTGCGTCTTCCGACGTTTGACGAAATGTGCGCAGCATTAACTCAACATGCGCCAAACTGTGGCTGGCCCTCACGCTCCGAGGCAGTTGTTCACGGTTGGATTAAACACCAGGTCTACTATCCGTCACAGCCTCCTCCAACTAGACGAGAAGGCCCCCATATGCTTCCTAGCTCTGCGCAGGTCAGTCATCCAGGCATCTATGAGCTGGTGGGTCTGCCCAAAAAGTACGACACTTTGATCGAACAATGTGCTCAGCATCGGTGCCCAAGCACCGGCAAGGACCTTGCAGACCCCATCGTATGTCTATTCTGCGGTGACATTTTCTGCGGACAAACCATATGCTGTATCATGGACTACAGGGAGGACGGTCGGGACGATAAGCCCACGATGAAGATTGGCGGTGCTAGTCAACACATGCTCTTCAAGTAAGTGATTTGACGTCCTTGCAATTAATTAAATTTTTTTTCTTTTTTCTAAAAATCAAATTTTGAAAGCAAGGTTTACTAATGTTTCTGACAACAGGTGCCATCGTAATATCGGTCTCTTCATTAACATCCGCAAGTGCTCCATCTTCTATCTTCACCGCGTCAGCGGCTCCTTCAGCAATGCACCCTATATCGATCGCTACGGTGAGGTGGACGTCGGCCTGCGCCACGGCCGCCTGCTGTACCTAAACCAGAAGCGCTACGATGCTTTGAGGAACATTTGGCTCTCGCACGGCATCCCTAGCTTCATCAGTCGGAAACTAGAGGCGGACATAAATAATGGCGGGTGGGAGACTATCTAGGTAGCTTACATCGGACGGCGAAACTGAAGCGTCAGAAAGGAGTCGCAGGGAAACCCCGACAGACGGACCAGCAAGAAACAAAGTCGTGGCGCTCAGGGCATCAATGCCTCCTCTCTTGTTCACGATCATCTCATTATACTACTATGCATATTGTAGGAGTCTTTGTGGAGTTACGGTCAGTTACGTATACACAATATACAATGCCCTTCCCCAAGATTGGCGCTGTCGGTGTTCCTCGACGATAATCTTGACTTCGTGTGCATGTTACCGCGGCTGAGTGCTACCGCTGCACGATATAAATTAAAAATTATGAATTAGAGAAAGTATAGACGTCATAAATATCCACTTGCGATACCATAATTCGTGGGCCGATCCCGCATCCAACACCCACGGTGGCCACATTCCAACCACCTCGGACTGGCGTGAATCTTCACCACTTGTTCTCCCGACTGCCCTCCCTGCTGCTGCCGTGCGTCTCGTCCTCGAATCCCGGCCCACCAGCGCCGGTCGCAGTGGCCTTCGCGTTCATGACTTCCCACTCGAACTCCCTCAGTGCTCTCATCTCACTGTTGACAAACAGAAGCGCGATCAGCCCATCCACCACGCCGGCCGCCAGGCCGAGACTCGAAAGCAGCATCAAGATGAATGCCACGTAGGGCGGCGTCCACCATACGCCGATATAGCAGACTATGGCCACGACGAGCCAGGTCCCAAAGTGGATACCGCGCCACCGCTGTTGAAAGCCTTGGCGGGTTTGGTATTTGCGGATCTCGTCTAGGATCTCGTCGTATGTGCTGGACGGAAGATATGAGACAGAGTGCGAGGCCGTCTCGAGCTGTGCTGAGTAGGAAGAGCTCGAGGGTGCATTGGGATCACGTGGACGCGGTGCGGGCAGGGGCAGATTTGTCTCGGACGCCTCAGGCGATTGTAGGTATACTCCATTTTCGAGTTGAGGAGTTGGAATCTCGGTGTTGCGAGTCTCGGCCAGGGAGGCAGCAGCGGTGGGGAAGGGAATGGAACTGCGACTCCGGTTCACCGATCTGCTTCGGTGATGGCTGAGGGACGAGGAGGGGGGCACAGTTTCGGTTCGATGCAGAACAAGTGTCGCCTCGACGGAGAAGTGATCCGAAAGGCTGCACCCTAACTCGGGGTGCCGGTCCATCATACCCACCCGGGCATCGTGGACGACCCAACTCCAGCCAGCGGTTTCGCCTTCTATCAGACCAGACGACGCAAAGATGTAGTCAAGACGTTTGCCCTTTGGGTCGAGAGTATCAGCAGCTACCGTTGGCCAGTCGCTTTCGCGACCCGCACCAAGCAACTTCTGTTGTGGCTTTGGCCACCTCCATGTGTTATATACGTTGTTGCTTGTCGCACCGTTCTCCTCAATATTGAACTGTGCTGTTGGTATGGGCCGCCGCCGGTTGCGCTCCAGGTCTTCCTCGGCTGCCCCAAGCGAGGACTCGGGATGCAGTACACGCCAGACATCGCGGACGGGAGAGTGGGAGGTGATGATGCGGTGCATCATGGACAATGGCTCGGTGTTGAAGTCACCCAGTGCCAAGACAAGATGGCCACGAGCTGCAGCGCCACGGAGGAGCTTTGCGAGTTCCCATGCTTGTGAGAGCCGGTGTGCCGTATACGAGCAACTGCTTCCGTGTTCGTAGTTGGGATGGGTCTTGAAATAGGCATAAGCACGTCGGATTTACGGCTGTTATCACTTGGAAAGGTGTCGGCGGCTCACATGTGTGTTGAAGACCTCCACCACCTCCCGAGGGGCTTTTCCAAAGCGGATCTTTGCACAGGCGACGCCTTTTCCCACAAACCAATCGCCGCGGAAGAAAGCAGTCGGGCGACCGTTGAGAGGGTACTGGTACATGGAACTCTCCTCGATGGGCCATTTGGACAGGATTGCCAGGCCGCCGCCAAATACTCCGCTGTGATAGAACTTGCCGTAGGGCAGTATAAAGCGGGTTGCCCGTCGTATTGACTGATAGTCCTCCTGCGTCCAGCACTCCTGCAATGCGACGATATGGGGCGCGGGTGTCGATGAAGCAATTGCGCGGCCTATCTCTTGTAGGCGAACGGCGCGCTGGGCAGACAGGTACAGTAGGCCCCAGCAGTTCAAGGTCAGAATATTGAGTTCCGCCAGGTCCGGGTGCACTGCATCCATTTTGCTCGTTGTTCGCGTGGTGCGTGAGATGCGTGAGGTACGCATTGCAAATATCGAACCTACCGTAATCTTAGTGTAATTCCCGGTGTTGGTATGAGCAGGGTCCCTGGAGTGCTACGGAACCCACTGCAGTGATGTCAGGCAGCCAGGTCAGTCTAGCAGTAGCGTCATGCGTCGCCAATTGATATCCCCAGTAAGCAGACGGTTGTCTTGTGAGCACAAGCAAATGCCCGCTGCGCTACATAACGAGAGGCGAGAGCAGAAAACCTCTGTCATGGAAGTATGCAGAATGCAGTTGATATACCCCATTCAGCCAGTCGATTGGCCCAGCGCCCAGTGCCAGTGTGAGCAACCCGGAAGGCCAGGAGATTAGAAGAGAGACAGGGGGGTCGGCAGTTAACTTGGCTAAACCGCTGTCACACCTTCCTTCGGCGGTAATTCAAGCAGTCTAGACTAGTGCATGGCTTCCATGGGCGTGAAGCGAAGCGAAGTGCAGTGTTGAGGGGGAACGTGAAAAGCTGCAGGTGGTGTGGGCTTTGCCGAGAACACTTTATTCAAGACAGTTGCAAACATCATCATCTCATGCTCGGGGTACAGTTGCAGTTGGCAGAAACAGAGGTGGTGGTACTGAAAAGGATCCACGGCTCGAAAGGATCAAACTACGTGTGGGATGCATTTGATGCAATGCAACCAGCCGATACGACACGAACGATAGGATGCTTCCAAGTGTAAAAAGGATAGGATAAACCCAAACAAAACAAAACAAAATAAAACCAGGAAAGGGACAGAGGTGGTTGATCAACTTGGACGTAGCTGACTTCACAAGCACAATATCTAGTCTCGACTAACCTAGGTTACATGAAATAAGGTACAGTAGGGAGCCCTGCTAGCCTTGCAGGCAGCCCCCACATGTCAACGGGGGGCCCCCGCTACGATGAGTCCGGTCTAGTCTCCCCTACTTAACCTAGTCTGGTTAGAAGAAGTTCAACCATGTCCTAAATATTTGACTTGATTAATTAATTCAGCCTTGTCGCAAACCATCCATCTAACCGCAGTGACGAGAACTGAAGATACGCTCAGTGTGTGTGTTTTCCTTTCAATCAATCTCGTCGTCAGTTTCTTCTGCAAGCTCATTCACTCTCACCCACTCGGACTGCCTTGGGCACATGCGCTCTCACAAAGTAAATGTGAAGTGACCTCCTTGCGACCCGCCCAGTTCCAGATCCGACAAGACTCCCTCGCCCCGTTGACACCCGGTCACCCATACCCTTACGGGGTGTAGCCCTCATATGCGCCCAATGTGCAGCAGGTAGCACTCCTCTATAGCTACAATGTCGGACGTCGACACCAATATGCAGGACGCGGCAGCCCCTCAGCCTCCCTCCAAGCGGCGGAGGGTTCTTGACGACAGCGCAGAACCCACCTCTCGATATGATACGCCCGACGAGGGCACCGACAAGCCTTCGCTCCAGGTATCAATACGCGAAAGGCCAGAAGAGAGCAGGTCAGCCACTCACAGTCCGGGTCGGAGCCGAAGCCGCAGTCGCAGCCCGAGTAGAAGGCGGAGCAGAAGCCGCGCATACAGCGACCGCAGCACATCACGAAGCCTGTCGCCTTCACGGTCGAGGTCAAGTTCGAGATCAAGGTCAAGATCGCGCTCGAATTCCATATCGAAATCAAGATCGAGGTCGACGTCGCACTTAGACTCGCCATCTGCCTCGAGGTCCCCTACCCCTGTTTCACTTGGCCCAACCCCGTTGGAAACGCCGCATCAAGGTACTGCCACCACACCTCTGCCCGAGGAAAGGATAAGACCAAACTTCAAACCCCGTCTCGCACTGGGCGGCCATACGAAACCGATATCTCAGGTGCGCATATCTCCCGACGGGCGGTGGATAGCCTCGGCATCAGCCGACGGCACCATCAAGATCTGGGAGGTCTCGACCGGAAAACACATGGACACCCTGGTCGGTCACATCGCCGGGGTCTCGACGGTCGCCTGGTCGCCAGACTCCAAAGTCCTCGCATCCGGTTCCGACGACAAGGCTATCCGTCTGTGGGATAGAGTCACGGGCAGGCCCAAAAGGTCACGACCGCTGCTGGGCCACCACAACTATGTGTACTGTCTGGCATTCTCGCCCAAAGGCAACATCCTGGCGAGTGGTAGCTACGACGAGGCCGTCTTCTTATGGGACGTACGGGCAGGCAGGTTGATGAGGAGCTTGCCCGCGCATAGCGATCCGGTCAGCGGCATAGATTTCAGCCTGGATGGGACATTGGTTGTCAGCTGCAGTACCGACGGGTTGACGTGAGTTTCACCCTCTCCCTCTTCCTCCTGGGACCAACCTTTTCCTACGATACCCGGGACTAACACAAGACATCCCACAGCCGAGTATGGGACACCCTCTCCGGCCAATGTCTCCGCACCATGGTGCACGAGGATAACCCACCCGTCACGTCAGTCTGCTTCGCGCCCAATGGTCGATACATCCTCGCCTTCAGCATGGACTCGTGCCTGCGCCTGTGGGACTACGTGTCCGCTCCGGGCCACGTCAAGAAGACATACCAGGGACATCTGAACAAGGGTTTCAGCATAGGTGGTTGCTTCGGGTCCGTCGACCGCGACCAGAACGCCTTCATCGCCGCCGCCAGCGAAGACGGCGACATTGTGCTTTGGGACGTCAAGACCAAGGAGATCGTGCAGAGGATCGAAAAGGTCCACGACGGCGTGTGCTTCTGGGTCGACGTGCATGGAGACACCATGGTCAGCTGCGGACAAGATGGCACAATCAAGGTCCTGCGCCACGAGGGTCCTCGGGTACTACCGAATGGCGCTGCCGACGGAATCGTCGCTGAAACCGAGCAAACACATGATCAGGTAAGCATGCCTGTGGTGGAGGGAGAGCAGGATGCTGCCGACAAAACACCGGCGCAAGACCAAGTTGCGATCAAGGAGGAGCAATGACACGTCCTGTGCCATCATACAATCACAGTTTCAAGTGTGGCAGGCACATCCTATGCTACTCAGATCTATACAAATTAACATGGGCATACGAGCCTACAGAATTCACCAGTACACAAGAAAATGGAGCCTCAATGCTCAAAATAATGATGTCTATTCAATACGACTTATTACTAATTCTCGTCGCGGACACCACAACCATCGTCTCAATCACTGGCCTCCCAACCAGCACTTTGATTGCCTTCCCTAGGTCATGGTTCCCAATCCAAGCTTTAATTATAACCTTCCACCTTCCAGCACCTGACGTTTGCCTCCACAATATATCTTTTCTAGTCTGCCCCTTATTTATACGGACAAGGACCTGCATGATTACCTAATCCAGTCTTGTCACACCGTGCCAAAGGCGCTGCCACAACCGCGCACCCCTCGTTCGCTTTCACGGACACGGGTTCTAGCCCACAACTTTCCGTTGCTATGGGTCCCAACATCCCCCTCGACAACTCTCGACCCTTCATCCTCGTCCATGTATAGCCCAGGAAGGCACTCTGCTTCCGAATTTCTAGAACCGTGCCTTTTGTTTGACGATCTCTGAGCAGCCGGTCACGCGGTCGCTTCTTCTCCTTTCTTCCATAGTTCCGCACAAACTCTTTCAGGGCTTCTACTCCTTTCCCATCTGGTGACATGTGCTCGATCTCGCGGTGGATGCGCTTCAAGCGCATGGAGTCATACGGCACGTTCACATACTGTGACATGACCTTTCGAACAGGCTTGGGATAAGTCGCCAGTATTGCGTGCATGTCGGCCATCTTCTGAGGGCTCATGCGAGCTGCCAAGCTTGGTCGAACGGGTGGCACTACTGACATGGCTGGCACGCCTGGAGCAATCATGGCGAGTGGGTTCGGATCCACTACCATGCCGTCCACCTGGGATGTATAGCTTGGTAGTGCTGTGCTGCTCTCGTTCTCGATCTCCGTTTCTGTTCCGGGTTGCGACTCGGACCAATCAGAGATGGGCTCTTCCTCTTCGAAGTAGTGCGCATCCTCCAAACTGGATATCTGTGGCTCGAAAGGTGGTGGGACAAGATGAAGACGGTTCCATGGGATTTCCCGGAGCCACTTGTGTGTTTTAATGTCTTCCCCGTCGTGCGGGTAGACGAAGCGTCCCATGAAATCCTGATGGCGATGTCTCGCGGCATGCGACGTAGAAGATGACGTTCGTAGCTGGTCATTTGTCTGATAGCGCTTCGAGCAGAGCCGTGATTCCTTCTCGCATATCAGCCGGGACATGATGTCCATGCAGCGATTGGACACCAGTGGCCGCGTTGGAAAAGCAAATGTCTGCCTGTGATTGACAATGTTGCGTTTGGTCTCCTGGCGCCCGCCCTTCTCGGACAGGAACGGAGTACGACCATAGACACACTCGTACAGAATAACGCCGACGCTCCACTAATCGCATCTGGCATCGTACTCGCCCTCGCAGATCACCTCAGGGGCCATGTACTGGCTTGTGCCGACTACCGATCGAGCGGCAGTGCGGTTACCGCACCGATTACGCCAGTTGAGAAGAGGCTCGCAGCGAGCGCCGCTCGATATGTTGGCGGCGTCTTTCCGCTCATGCTTATCCATACCTTGGGCGACATTTCGAGCCCACTTCATAGTGGCTCCAAAACCCTCTGATCGATCCTGAGCATCACCCTCGACCGAAAGGCCGAGCTTGTGAACAAGACTATAACGGTGGCTATGATAGTAACTTGTGTCGTGAGACCAATGACCATCAAAAGCCAACCCAAAGTCCGAGATTTTAAGGTGCCCGGACGCAGACACTAGGAAGTTGTCTGGCTTGATATCCCGGTGGATACAGCGCAAAGCATGAGCTTCCTCAATGCATAGAATCATCTCCGCAATATAAAACTTGGCCATTGGCTCACTGAGAATATTCTCTCGTATCAAAAGTCCGAGGAAATCACCACCAGGCATATACTCCATGACCAAGTAAAGGTTTGCAGGGTCTTGGAAGCTCGCAACCAAAGGGACAATCCTGTACACTATAACTTAGCAGATGGTATCGCAACCTTTTGTAACTTCTTACCATTTTGAACCGTCAGACAAAACGAGAAAGTCTCGTTCGGCCCTCAAATGTCCTTCCTGGTTCGTGCGTAACATGGCAGACTTCCGAATGACCTTCATGGCATATACAGGACGTCGAACTGTAGTTGAGTTCGAATCCTCTGATCCTTTCTCTCTGACCAGCCGAACAACTCCGAAGCTGCCTTTTCCAAGAATCTTCAAAACTTCGTATTTGTTGGCAAGCTTGCTGGGTAGGCCCAGAAATGTAGGCCCGAAGCTTCTCGATTTGAGAACACGTGTGTCGCGGAGATTGTTACTTTCCATCTGGTAAAGCATCCTGCGTCTGACAGCCTTCTCCTGTGGCGTGACATTGCTGTGATACAGCTGGGCTTCGAGGTATTGCAGTCTCATCAACCTTGGACTTGGCTTGGAAAGTAGATTGCTGAAGTAGGTCTCGAGATAGATCTTTGCTGCTGCTGCCTTCTCGACTGTCTTGATAGTGGGTACCCATGGGTCAAGCGCCGTCTCAGCAATGGGTTCTAGAGTGTAGTCTTTCGACTCTGCTTCAGGCTCCTTCACTCGGCGTATCACGCTTGAAATCTGCTTCGATTGCTTGTCGCCAGAGTTGGTCTTTGTGCTTGATTTCGAAACTTTCGAGTCGAGCGACGTTTTTGCAGTTGTGTTGGCACCACTCGTTGGCCCCGAAGACGGCCCGCTTGTGGTGGTGTTGCTATTGCTATTGAGATTTGACGCTTCTTGTAACTGGATTTCAAACACCGAAGCTGAGGCATGGTCTTGCAATGTCTTGCTGAATGAGTGGATGGATAGTCGTGATATAGGACGACGATGCACCATGGTCTGTCCTGGAGTAAAGGATGTTCGCAGCGCTGACAAGGAAAACCTTTTCTTGAGAGCTTTACGGTCCCCTACTCTTTGTGGGGACTGAAGTAGCGAGGTAGTGGAATCGCGACTGCTGCGCTCTCTGTAGGAGCCAGAGGCTGTTACACAAGGTCAGGAAACCCTGCCCTTGATGCAAGATAATTGGGCATGTATCTTACCACTGCGTGTGAGTGAAAGAAGAGCGCTCATGATCCGAGAACTGTGACGTCCCAACTTCCGTGGGGACTCATCCCCTTCCGAAAACTGAGATGCTGACGGGCGCGTCTGAAGGGTTATAGATGAAGGATCATCTTGAATGGCCGTAGCACCAGTGAATTTCGGTGTGCCTCGCTTCATGCTGCTTGTAGAACAGAGCTTCTCGATGGAACTGGTTACAATATTTCGACATTAACGATGGAACGAAAGAAATAAAACGTGTATTAAGCGTGCCAGCCTCCAAAATCTTCAGCTGGCGATAGACGGTCTTGGCCCACTGGCTCAGGACGGGCGTCGACAGATGAAGCATGAATTGGAAATGAGAGACAGCATGCTGAAGACATCACACAGCCTGTTGGCAAGCACTAGCACACTGACGTAGTGCACTGAGGAGGAAGTTACCATACCACCGTTCTTGCTCTGTGCGGCCAGTCGTGTATACAAAAAGGTAAGTCTCGATCTAGGGGAAGTGACATACGTAAGGCTAAAAAAAATTGGAAGGGGAACTGATGTCTCTGAGAACAGTCAGCGTTCATCATGGTTTAGTGGACGGGAGTACGATCAAGTGTGGGTGCCGCAAAATGTAATGAATGATATGGCCAATTCAAGTATTTGGAAACATAGCGAAACAAACCCTAGCATGCAATATCACAGCATCAAGGTCAGCAGAGTCATCTTATTGTCATGTATGTGTATTGTCCGAATAGCTACCCGCCACCGAATAGACGAAGCAGGAAAAGCGATTGCATCTTGAAAGCAATCGGCACCCCGAAAATCTGACTTTTCATGCGCCTGATGCAATGCCAGTCGTCGTCATCCCTTATAACAACATCTACTTCTCGCATCTGGGATATAGAGCGGATCATCGCAGACTCGCGCAGGTCAGAGACCCCCACAGCGCAAGATTTATAGGAAACCTTTCATAATACAGCCGAATGCGGTATCGGCAAACAGAAATGAGGATATTTAGACAGAAATGTGAAACCCCTTTAACCAAGTCGCTAAGCACAATCTACTTGATCTCAAGCAGCTTGATGTCAAACACCAAGGTAGAGTTGCCAGGGATACCGGGCTGAGATCTGCTGCCGTAGGCCAACTTGGGAGGGATAGTGATACGGCGTTCTCCGCCAACCTGCATGCCCTCGAGACCAATCTCCCATCCCTTGATGACCTCGCCCTTGCCGATGGCGAAAGTGAAGGGCTTGCCCTTCTTGTTGGCTGAGAGAAATTAGCATATACGTGGGGGCAATAATAAGAATATAACCACTTACAGTCGAAAACCTTGCCATCTTGGAGCTTGCCAATGTAACGGACACCGACCTTGTTTCCGCTCTTGGCAGGGCGGCCCTTACCAACCTTGCGGTCGTCAACGGTAACACCCTGGATGACCTTGACACTAGGGGCGGCTCCCTTCTCGGCGTTAGCTGCTGATCCTGTCGGTCCTTGCTCGAGGTTCTTGGCGAACTGAACCTTCTTGGCGTCCTTGGGGCTTTCCTTTGCTTCGGCCTTGGACTTCTCAACCTCGACAGCGTCACCCTTGTTGTTCTTCAACTTCTTCTGTTGCTTCTTGCTGGTCTTGTCGTCAGCAGCATCAGCCTTGGCGATGAGAGCATCGAGGCTCTCGGCGTCCTCTTCAGCAGCTCGCTTCTTGCCCTTCTTGCTATCCTTGGCCTTAACCAGCTTGGGAGCAGCCTCCTCCTCGGAATCAACCTCGGTGACACGGGGGTCCTCGAGGCCGTCGAGCTCGTCCTCGGAGTCGGAGCCCTCGCCGTACATGTCCTCGAGTTCATTTGGGAAGTCATCGTACTCGTCGTCATCTTCCTCGGAATCCTCCTCATCGCCCTCAACGATGTAGTTGCCGGTCAAGTGGATGGAGTGGGTACCGATGACACGGAAGAAGACCTTCTCATCGGGGCCAATAGTGATGTCAATTGGCTGTTGGAAGTTCTATAGGCAAAATTTTAGCAGCGGTCGAATCCTCATCCTAGGCTGGGCAGAAACTTACGTGCTCGGTGTCAAGGGTGCAGATGACGAACTCCTCCAGGTCAATGGAGTCAGAGTCGACGCTTTCATCATCATCGTCGTCGTCGCTAGAGGCAAGCTGCTTGCCCTTCTTTCCCTTCTTGCCGTTAGGAGCATCAGCCATCTCGTCATCTGAATCTTCGTCCTCCTTAGCAGCGGCGATGAGCTTCTTTAGAGCAGCCTCGGCCTTGGCCTTCTTGGACTTGGAAGGGTCACTAGGGCCGGCCTCGTCCTCGCTGTCCTCGTCGTCAGAGCCTCCCATGAGGGCCTCGAGGTACTCATCGTCGAGCTCTTCGTCGAGGTCGGGGTATCGCTGGCGTACGAGCTTCAATGTAGCACGAGGCTTGTCGGGGATGTTACCCTCCTCGTCAGCCTCGGGCGCCTCAGTGGGGTCGAGAGCGGCCATGGTGATGCGGTACTGCATATAGTGTTAGTGGGTGATGGCGGCGCTCAAGTCGTCTGCGGGTTGCTCGGAGAAGGCACAGACGGTGGTAGACGTAGACAACGAGCGAGGATCAACAAGGCCAGGTCTGACTTACTGAGGCATTGGGGATGCTGTCCTCTGCCAAGGCAGGGACGAGGACGCCGACTGGCGGGACCTCAAGGCCGTACAAAGCAACAGCTGCCATTGTGAAAGATAAAGATTAGAGAAGAGAATCGGAGTTTAAGACAGGACTACGAAAGTCTAGAATAGTCAATTGCGCGAACGGATGCACAGGCACTATTTCAAACGAGTTGAGTTGACTGGGGATGGAGGACCTTTTCAGAAATGAGAAGACACTGCAAAAAATGAAGTCGACCAAGTTGGAATCTTTTACTCAAAAGGCCTGTGACGACTCGCGGTAGAAGAGAAAAAAAAAAAGTTCTGAACTTGCAGCCGCCTGCCTGCAAAAAAAAACCACCCCACCGCCATTCGATAAGAGGCGCTAGTAATGCAGAGGCTCTTATCAGCTGCGTAGCAACGAGCCACGCTAAGGCTGAGGCACTAGACGCTAGGCGCTAGACGGCAAAGGTTACACGAAATCGAAGTCGCCCAAGTTACATACAGCAAGGTTCACTAACCTAGCCAGCTAACTTAACCGACAGTACTGAATAACCAAGTGCTGCTGTAGGTTACCCAATTTGTACCGAGCACTGCACGCACGAATCCTCGAACTTGTTCTCCGTACAAAGTCCAGTATGATGGACCTCACGGTTGACATGTTTTGTGTCTGGAGTTCGGAGATTGGAAGCATGTTACTCCAGGCTACCTGAGGACCACCTCCCCCACGGGCACGCCATGGTGTGAAACGCCCCTATTCTTTCGATCATTACCATAGGACTTCTTCAAGATCCCATGTACTCGAGAGTAGAATCGCACATGTGCCTCGAGAACTCGGGGGCAGCATCATTGTCTTTTATACATATGCACATACCCAAGCACCGCTTATTCATCGGTACGGAGCTCTCGGCATCTTGCCCCAGGCATGCGCCATCCGATCGGCATTTAGAACACCCAGTTTTTCTTTCTTTCTTTCTTTCTTCCTTTCGGAGTCCAGGAGTCGGCCGATTCGACGCTCCCGCCTGGATTGGAACAGCACTCTACCACGATATCTATAAGACTATGAGTCAGACTTCCCGCGCGATCCGGAGCTTCGGACTGATCTTTTGGTTAATTGAGGCATGGCGTCCCATAGTAGAGTGCTGAGATGGGTCACGTCAGTCATTGCTATTGGACAGCTCTGCAATTATGACGTTCGCGTGAGCCGAAACGGACTTACCGCGTGACAACAGAGGGTCCCAGAGCGCATCATTTATACATAGAACTGCCTCCTACTGCTGGCGAGCCCACCTTGTCATTTTGTGCTTGTCCCCAACAGAATGGCTGCTTGCTCATAGCAGCTTTGATCGATGACTTGCAATAGAATGAGGCCTTCATGCTGGCCGCATTTTCCATGCCCACCACTCTGCGACACTTTTTTCTTTTTGGTTTGTTTGTATAAATATAAACATAGAAGGCCGGGGCTCACGATAGGGACTGGTATGATACATATATATATATATATATATGAGTCGACATTCTCCATTCCCATACGGTCTTGGCTGTTCAAGCCAAAACCCACGCCTTCCAGGTGTGTGTATACCATGACTGTAGGGATCATCCACGCCAGAAGCCCGATACCCAAGCCCGGAAGGTATGGAAAATCATTCCCATGATGAATGTCGACTGGCTTTTGCCATAGATTTGAGCACGATCTCCCACGTCCGTCAACTCAAGGCAGAACTCAACTAGGGGTTTGGCAAAGAACTCCGACTTATGACGAGCATAAGCAGCTACGAGATCGTTGCCATTCGTTACACCGCCTGACGAACTTTGTGTTAACGAGGAATGTGGAAGAAGAAGAACAAGAAAGAAAAAGAAAAAAGGGGGGGGGGGGGGGGGGGTAAACAAGAGCCCAAATGAAGTGGGAAGAAACAAGAGTGAGGAAGAGATATCAAAACGGGAAAGGGGAGGGGCGCAGAAAATGTGATGAGAATAATACTAACCACTGCTCCAGAAATTCCCATCTTGCACCCATCGCAGTTCTGTCCCCTTCTGCACAATGTCCTCTCCAAACTTCTTCTTGATCTCTCCCTGCATTCCTCGTGGCCCACAGATGGTTTTGCCACTCAACAAACCGGCCTGACCGCAGAGGAAGATTCCCGTACAGACACTCAGAATATCAGTCCCGGAGCTCTCACTTTGTTTCTTCAACCACTCCAGGTAATCCGCCTCGAAGACTGAGCTTGGATCAGGGCCGGGTACTATGACGATATCCAGTTTTCCCGGAGCGACCTCCTCATCCGAGTAATGGTTAGTTGCCACGACTTTGTGGTTCGCGGTCATGTTAATGGCCTCACCGGGTTTGACAGAGCCGATATAGTGGATGGCCACGCTTGGTGCAAGATCCACAAGAGTTCGGGGCTTCAGATCCGGCGGCAGGAGGGACATGTATTCGAATGACAAGGTCCCCAGGATGTCAACGCAGGATGCATCGAGAAGCTGACATTCTGTGGGAACAAAGACGCCGACACGGACCGTTTTGCGAGCGCCCATGACGGTTAGGTTTGAAGATGCGGATGAAACGCAGATTCAACTATGGCCTGGAGAACAGAAAAGCACGGGACAATGCTACCCTGAGGATTTACGAGCGGGCTTATGACAAAAGGGCGGTTCGATTACGAAAGATGTTTTGGCCTGTTACGGACTGGGCAAAATCGAACAGGAAGATGCTGACATCGACACTATTTATGATGACCTCCAGTCCGTGCCTAGCATGGTCAGATACCACGGCACAACAAGTCAAGCCTACAGAATCCGAGCACTCCGTAGCAGCCAACTACGCGCATTAAACGCCGAACACCATCGGTGACAAAGCGACGCCCAGAAGAAGCCGGACGGTGTAATGTGATTGGTCGATTTGGTGAACCTCCGAACGGTCTCGGAGCGATGGTGGACACACGGTTATCTCTACCCGGGCTTTGCGAAACCAGCTTAACCTTATTTCGTGGGGGGGGGGGTTTAACTTCTTTCTTGCCGAACACTGATGCAAGGTACAAGGCCATTGCTCAGCCGTCTGCTTGCTCCTCTGGAGTACGTTAAGCAGGGCATAGCTTGTGATGCCTCGATTAGGTGCCCCTACGCATATCTCTCGTCTCGCACAAAATGTCGAATAATCATCAATGAAATCACAACCCGAAGGTTCCATGCAATATAAGGTACCCATTCATCATCGTAGGTATTACGGATACTATCATTATGGTTAGTGTTATCCTCCGACTGACCTGCTTTCGTCCCAGGAATCAACCTTACGGTCGCCGTCGATACTATTGCTCGTTCCTTCTCATCATACATGTATTAAATATTATCGGGCTAGGATGGGTTGGGCGGGCGCCTGACACTGAACGCCACAGCCCGCGCCCTCTACAATCCACGCCGAGCTAGCCCGAGCCCTCAGCTGGACAGTCCGATACCACGGAATTTCTTGCCGGTGCGTATCACCGCCATTCCACTGCTCGATACTACCGTCATCCTCTTGTCTCTTGCCTTATAAACGAATGCCGGCAGGAAGTTGTCATGACTTTTCCTGCAAATTTGCTCCGAGAACTCCGAATGGCCCAAGGTAAAAAAAGCTTTACCCCCATATCTAGAATGCCAATGCCGATGCCATGCCATGCATATCAACATCATGTTCTCTATTTACACATGCTTCTGGAGCTGTTGATAAAAATAGGGCCAAACAAGGTGCCCTGTCGATCTTCAAATAGTTTGCAGAGAAGAGGACCAAAAAAAAGAAGGAACCAGGCCGCTGCAGTCTGGCCGGTCCGGGAGAAAGGTTCAAAATGATCACGTCGTCGTTCCATTAAACCATATTATCGGCGGATAATGATTTCGACCGTTGCCGCACAACCTTTTTGCTGACTGTGTACACCAGGTCTTGCGTCCAAAATTGGAAGACCTGCGCTTGCGCGCCGGGAATAGCACCATAGATTGGTGCGACCAAGGGAACCATGATGTAGTCGATGTAGTTCCTCTTGATGTCACGGTGAGCAAAGCACATACCCTTGGCAAGGCCGGCATCGTTCATCTCCTTCTCACGGGCGGAAGCCATGAGTTTGTGGAAGGATTCGTAGAAGACCAGGTACAGCGCAATCTCCATGAAACCGGCAGTGCGAAGGACATTACAGACAGTGAAGACCCATGCAAGGTTTTGAGGATCTCCATTGCCTTCAGTAACCCAAAGGTATAATGTCGATGCGACCACCAGAATTGTCATCTGGACAGGGAGGAAATGAGCCTCAAACAGACGGTGGGCGAGCATAAGAAGCTTCATCCAGTTGACATCCTTGAGAGTATCGGTAGTGATGTCGGCGAAAATGCCGCTCTCAATGTTCTGCTCAGCGTTCAAGCCATCAACCTGAGGGATGTACGTGCCGGATGGGTTGTTCAAGGCGATATGCAGAGGGCGGTAGTTCCTGGAAGTGTGCTTTCGCTCTTGCCAGAGTTCCCAGCCTTTTCGCATAGCATAACCTGAATCCAAACAACCCCACATGTGTCGCAGAGCTTGCTTGTAGCGTGCCTTCATATCATTATAGAGACCGGTGATGCCCTTGCCACCGTCGCCGTTTACATTACTCTGACTAACTGGGCTGAGTACAGTTCGACTAGTCAAGTTACCATTCATGGCGAAGAAGCACTTCAAGTACATGTGCAAATCTTCGCCGATGGCCTCGGAGTCGCTGTCCCAGCCGCCCACTCTGTCTGCAAGCACGAGAGGAACGGAGTAGACCGAGGTAGGGGGCGCAATGCTAGAGCCCTGGTAAAGGCCAGACATACCAGCGGCAGACCAAAGAATATCCGCAACTCGGACAATGGCGGGAACACTGTTGGCGTTTCGGTCGAAGATGATGGGTGCAGAGTACAGAGTGGTGGAGGCGGTTTCGGGGTACATCAGATGCATGCTGGAGAGCGAAGCAAAGAAGTTGGCTGACAAGTGGCTGTCGGCTGTTTGTTGCACACAAGGTTAGCAAATCATCCCATCAAGTTTAGATATGCTGCATGAGATTCCATGACATGCAGATTCTGGAAACTTTGTTTGCCTCAGAAGCGGCCCTGCATGGGAATGGATGCAGGGGGGAGAAGCTCAATGCGCGCACGTACCATCAATACCAGTGACAATCACATCCTTTCGCTGGTTCATGGAATAGCGTTCACTCAATTTCCGCGCTGCCCAAGCCATGTTGCTTCCTTTGCCAGGAGCCTCGCCAGGGATATCCGAAGGATGCAGAGTGAAATCAATGGACCGAAACTTCTTGACAAACTCCTGAATCAGGTTCATGGCTTTAAGTTCTGCATTGTGCTCGCGCTGTTCCATACCGAGATAGACCTATCAATGTATCAGTGTCAGCGAACGCCCCATAAAACGAGAGGTACCGAAAATATGTTCAAAAGCGCGGCCTAATAGAAGCCTCGGCTTGAGGTCCAGGTCGCGGATACGAGACATGGTTTGCGACACCCTCGCCTGGTTTTTTTTATTTCATTGATTTTACGTGAAGGGGAATATACTCACATCGTAGCTATGACGGGCCTGCGGGTGGCATGCCAGAACATCCAAGGTCTCCCTCAATGTGTCAACCTCTTCCTTGTAGTTGGGAACGACAATGACATGAACAATGTTGTCGATCGCGGTGGCCGCATCGCCATCGGTATACTGTTCAACCTCGAGATCACCAGCCTCGCTGCTGGTTGTCGAGGAAAGAGCAGAACCATCGCGAGAGGAGGTGAGCGTTTCGGAGCTAGAGAGAGAGGTAGAGGATCCACGGCGGCGGTGCGAGAGCTTGATCTCACGCAGGGCCTTGCTCTTGGCGTTCTTCTTGAGAGCACGGGTGATGCTGAAGATGGACCAGAGGGCACGAACGGGGAATGCGAATACCAAAAAGTGAATAAACAGACAGTAGTATGCAAAACCCAGCGTCCACATGCCGCCGCCGTGCGTAGAGATTGCCGATTTCGTTACAGGGGCGTCGGAGCTGTGATGCATGTGCATAATATTGTAGTAGCCATATCCTGTTGCTGAGGCTTCCTTGCTGATTACCCAATAGCTGAGGGCAATGGTAGCAATCATAGCCAGCCCTCCGGCACGTCTCGTGGTCCAACCAAAAAGAGCCTCCATGATGGGCGACGTGTTTTTGAGGGTTTGATTCCAGATTAGAGCTGAAGGAGAGGCGTACAGCACACGCGGCTGTTTGAAAAGGAGCGAAAGGTTTTGAAAACGACGAACAAACGTCGATTGCGCGCCGCCTTGTCAAGTCTGGTCGTGATGCTGAAGAATGGAATACAGGAGGAGGGAAGAGATGGAATGTGGAGGAGAGGTGAACGAGAAAGATAGGTAAGGTAGGCCTGGGAGATGAGGGAAAACAGGGTGGTGTGCTGACCAGTGCGGCTAGTGAGCAGGTAGAGGCGCAGCCTAGCGATGGGGACTGGAGACTGGAGATTTGACCGTGGATTAAGGTAGCCTCTCCAGCTTTCTTGGATTGGACCTCGAAGCGAGAAAAGCCCCCCCCAAAAGTCCCTACGAGTAGGCGTGCTAGGCTTGCTAGGCTAGGAGAATGCTTGCCGAATTGCTTGCTAGCTGCGTAGGGGCTGGGCTGGTGAGAAAAAGGAAGCCTTTGCCCGGGGGGAGATTTCTCAGAAGTGCCTTTCCGTCCTTGATAGGTTGCCCTGTTGATAGCGATGTGATATGATGTGATGTGGTGCGTTGGGGAAAAATTTTAATCAAATGGACCTGGGCCTGCAAAGGGGGAAATTTACCGTCGAGACGTTGTTCACGACCTCTGGGCAATACAAATAGGGGAGATGAAGGGCGGCGCTCATTTTCTGACTGGGTTCTTGCCATGGTTGCTTGCTGGGGTTCGATGCTTGGATGAATTTGGGCAAGGTTAGCTCTTCCTCTGGCGTGGAAGGAAGGCGTTAGTCAATACGCTAATCGCTCATTCTGGGGCTGGTCTGGGCGTTGCGACCATCAAATTGGGGGGGCGCGAGCAGCGACCAGGTCCACCTTACATCGACCCAGTGCCAGTAACAAAGGCTATCCATCAGCACGAAGACCGTTTTAGAGCTGGAGCTTGCTAGATGGAGCTTGTGGGTTTTTCCCAGGGTCTACAGCGTTGCTCCTAATCCTGCCGCAGATTCGGTATCTGATAATTCCATATTTTAAGATTACACTCTTCGAGATTTTTCACGACTGCCTGACATACCCATGGATATTCGCTCAAAATACGATCACATCGTTTGCGACTTCTCATTGTCATCTACCTCTTGCCACCTCTGCATGTCGCATCCGCATATCTTTGATGATCGATGTAGTAATGAGGGGTTACGACCTCATGTTGCCAACGGTGATGCCGCAGGCATGCAGGTGACATTTGGACCCGCGGACTGTGGATGGCGAACGGGATGTGATTGCGTACTGATGGTCGTCAACACCCCGACTCCCCGTCAGTGTCTTTGACACACTCCCGTTGCCGTTCATGTTACTATCAGCGCCATGACGGATTGTGATCATCCCCCTCCGAGCCTGCATATCATTGTCTATCTGTGGATTCCTATCTGCCAGGCCGACGGCTTCCAACAATAGTAGCACTTTAATGCTTGGGAACACATCAAGTATTGTCGAACTATGTGCAAGTATAGTGTCCCCGTCGCTAATACTGACCAGCTCCTAATGGAATAAGCATATCTATGTTTAGCACCTGGAGGCTTATGATCTTCAGATACTCCGCCCACTATACAATCCTTTGCTGTAAACCCTGATTCCCTCCAGGCAGCCGTGAAAACTTGAGGCTATGCGATGGTAACAGGTTCCACATAATCTTAAGTTAAACGACATTCGGGAAACCGATATTGTTATCCTCGGTCGAGAACATTTAATTTACAACTTTTCTTCACATGGTCGGAAGTCCGCTTTATACCATTCCGCTATATTCCTCGAACTACCTATGGAATATTTTGACAAACACGCAACCTGACCCTAAATTGGACAAACGTATAAATGTCTCCCATGTTTATATGTATGTCATCAACATTAACAACAGTCCCTCAGTGACTAACGCAATACTCGTTCATAGCATATTTCTGAAAAGCAGGTCGGAGTGACTTTCGCCCAAGCTTGCGTTGTTGAGTCCACCGGTTTCAATAGTTGTTCGCACTACGAGGTTTTGCCCAAGTTGACCCACGTGTCAACTGACATGAGATATATTCAATGTTCATGGTACCAATTGGCCACTCACCGCCCATCAGGTTCCGACAAGGACAATCCCACCTTTAAACCTCAAGATAACCACATGCACTAACATGGCATGAATGAACATCGGGAAGTACCATCTGAACATTCTTGACCTATGAAACCCTCCTTCAACATACTTGGTGGATACTCTGGGCAGCTCGCTACTGCACCTCGACATCACACTCGCAATCGTGCTGGATGGAATCAGTCCATCTTTCGAATGCGACTAAATTACTTGCATGAGGATTGCGTGCCAAGGTGGCTTTTGGATTTGCTGAGCCACTTGGTTCTAGCGAGTCGCTTGTGAGTAAGCCTTCATAGCTCTCGGCACTCAACGCCTAGAACGAATCGTCATCGGCCACGGCGAAAGGGCGTAGAATGGGTTTCTTTTACAGCACGTCATCGAAGCTCATCGTTAATCGCGGCTTTTTTTCTTTCTTTCTTTTCTGGACGACGTGAATTTCATTTGCATCGCCATGTCTGTGATCTCAGTTAATTATTCGTTTTACGAATGTTGACATTTTGTGAGCTATGGGTGAATGTATGGCACCAATGAACACATGGTGCTGACAGTCAGATGTTGGTGGAATCCCTCGGCCATAGATCATTTATCGCCCAGTGCCCTCCACCGTGAGGTCCCACAACTCATGAACAGCCAAGCTCCCCAAATGGATGATCGTAGTTCTTGATGTCGGGTACACATTACAATTATATGAGTAAGTACCAGCACCGTTTAGTAATATATCTTCACGTTAAACTCAGTTATACTTGGCGACAACTTGAAGTCGAGCCAAGAGTCACCGCCAGCATGTGGTCTTCTTGAAAAACGCTCTGACTTCACCTCTAGAAGCCGAAACCATCGAACATCACGGATGTAGCAATGTTCGGCAGGACGGATGGTGCTTCCGCATATCTGCACTGGACTTTGCATTCCTGATAACGAGCTTTGCAATCTTGATCTTTGATAGCCAGGTCTTGTAACAACAAATCCAAGCGGCGTTCAATAATTGCTTCACCTGTCCGTCCCACAGGTTCATTGTTTCTATGGTCACACAATCCAAGCTCCAGAGTGTGCAATTCTCGCCTGTCAAGGAGGCCGCCGGACGCCAAACAAAACGTTCGAGTCTGTCAGATTAGACGCTGGTAACCCCCGGGACACGCCGTACAACCAATCTCATCACTAAAACCCATCATGCCTGACATTGGCTTTGCAGGGGCCACGCCATCAGATCTGATTCGTTCATTGGTCTCTGACTGTGATTAAAACTGGCATTCCCTGACAGTTTTCTATGGGGAAGCAGGTACCCGTATGACGATCCATCATCAGCACGTATTCCTGCGTATTCCTTACAATTTCTCGCATTTATCGCGCACGGTGATGGAACATCAGCTGGGGTCGCGAACCAACGCGTTTGGTAATTTAAAAGCGTGTTCAAATTACAAGTCCCGAGGATTCGCCCACTGTCGCATCCTCGCTCCAGGCGAGTCTGGATGGACGGACTTCCAGAACCTGCAGCATGAGCGCCCGCGCGATGATGAAGAAGTCCATCTGCAAATTGCTTTCCGTATCTGGATAGCTCATAGGCGAATGTAATGGACTAATCGTCGGCTCGTTCTGTAGTTGTAAGGCTAATATCAAGGCTATCCAAAAAAGCACATACTGCTGGCGGGAGAAAATTGTTTTCATCCTACATACATAAAATACAGGCCGCTAACACCACGACTGCATCCTACCTAGGTAGCATTGAGCTGTACACTAGCATTCCCAGAGGACCAGTTATTTCTACAACCATTTCTAAAACAACAAAATTTGCTCTTGAACGCGGTAGACCTCCCAGGAGATGCTATAAGCTGATTTCTGGACCAAAGCGCCATAGGTCCACAACAACTAAGCCACTATGCGAATCCCAAAACTGGATATCGTGCACCAAGAGGACATTGCAACTGTCGTCACGAGCTGAGCAATGCCTGTCCAGACGATCCTCCCGAAATTGAGACAAGCCGAGCACGCATGATAACTTCCTACAGCGCATGCGCATACATATGGAAGCTATTAAAATCGTTGATGGCTGTTTCAGCTTGAGGGCCGGGATAATTGGTTCACTAGCGAGCCAGGCCTCCCACGTCTGGCAGGTCTTAGAGCTTATTAAAGGCATCGTGACGGTAGCAATGTTCGGAAGTCCTGTCATTAGTTTATATTTTCGTTGTCCAATCGGGTGCAAACGCATACTTGAAATTACCGGCCTCATTAAACTGTATAGCAGCGTCAAATCGCTGTTCCGGTCAGTCGACCAGATGGGTATTCCAACTGCCACACGCTAGAGTATCGGATACGACAGCACCAATGGCATAAGCTCATCGAAGGCGACATAAAGGGCTGAGCTTGAGTCCTTAGCCCCCCAAGCCACCCGTGAGATCGGAAACGTTAGTGGAGATTGGGCCGTTCAACATAGCCGCTCAGCGGCGCAACACTTTTGAGGCTGAAGACAGTTCTATCAGGCAAGTAACGTCAGTCATGTACATCTTCATCATATTTGTAAACGATCTGTGTAATCAGAGTATGGAGAGGCGTTCGCCTCCGGATCCATCAATCGTATCTGCTATCCTCTAGAACCCTTTGGGGTGGATTATTCTGGGGAAACATCTGTATAGGCAATATACATCATTCGGAATGTCAAACTCATACGGGCCGCGGCTGATCGTTACATCTGCATCCCCGAAAACCAATGGTATAATATCTTGACGTCCCCAAATTTCTGCCCTTGGGTTGTTAGATTTTTTGGTTTCGATCTTTTGCAATGCCGTACTCGACGAACGTCCGTAGGTAGGCTGCCCAAATCCCGCCAATTCTGTTAGAATAGGATTGCCCGTTGGACTTCGCGGCGGCGCCTATATCGGAGACGATTGCTTGGCCATTTAGATGAGGTTGACTGCTGAAAGCCAGCCCTTCTGTGCAAGATGCGGACCTGTTTGAGGCCCTATGCTTTCCGTACAAGGAACCCGAACCCATGACAAGACATGCCAAGGGGCATCTATTTGATTGTCCTTACTGCGAACAATGTTGCATCTACGTGGTGTTTTTCTCGAATAGTTTCTGGATGGGTTTGGCCGCATCAATGAACTTCTCCAACTCCTTGTCCAGATTTGCAAGATCGTCCTTTCGCTTCTTGTTGTCTGCGATCAGCTTCTGCTTACGTTTCAGAAGCTCCATGCGCTTCTGCTCGAGATTCTCTCGTTCAAGGCGTTCGTGCTCGATGCGCGCAATCATCAGTGCATTCTCGTCGTCTTCTGCATGTTCTGGATGGAGTACCAGGAACTCGTCAATGGGAATCAGAGGGAGCTGTTGGTATGTGTGGCTGTTGAGATCCGTGTTAGCTATCTCAAATTGCTTCGGGAAGTGGGCAAGAAAGCATGTGTGCATACTCGTAGGATTCACAGTCTGCAATCTCACCCTGCAGATGGCGCTGCTCGTAATAGAGGTTTTGGAGTTGCAGATGCAAACGGTCGACTTCCTGGCGAGCTTCGGCAGTCTCTGCCTTCGTCCTGCGGGTGCTGAAGGTAGCGGCACGGTGCAGTCCTCGTACTTGAGCGAGGTGTGTAATCAGGAGCTTCTGCTGCTTGGAGATCTCGGACAAGGCTTCGGCAGACGCGCTGTCAATAGAGCCGGTAGATGCGACTTGTCCGACAAGCGCAAGGGCCTGGATGCGAGCGTCGCGCGATGCGTTGATAACCGCAACGAGATTCGCTTCCTTGACAATCTTGTCGGCCGCCATCATGACTCCTGGATAGGTAAGGGGCGTGAAGCTCGAGTTCGGTTCCCAGATATGTGGCTAGTCACGAATCTGCCTGAGGATCGACCTGGTTGCTGGAAGTGATGTCCAGGTTGGTGAAGCTCATTGACTTATCGATTGATCGCACTCAATACGCACCAATCACAAGCCGATTTGCTCAAGACCGCCTTCCCAGTTTGGACGGGAACTTTTGTTTTTAGCGCCCGTCTCGGTTGGTATGCTTTTGAGTTGAAACCGCGAGATAAAATGAAGTGAAGTGGGTTGGGTTGAATTAAATTCCATGAGTCTCTCCAATGAGATAACAGCTAGCACTTGGTGGCATGTACGGAGTATTGAGGAACCAACTGAGCCGTCTGCGGGGACTAAGAGTTGTGATGCAATGTGATACATAGCAACAACGCTGTAGATGTTATCGCTGAAAGTCTCCCGATCGGGGCAAAGCGATCGCGGAGAACCGGCCAGGGCTTCTCAAGGTTCTCGGGGCGCCTTACCTGCTGCTCACTTGAGTGTGCGCTGCAAGCCGCTTATCAAGTGCTGAGTCTAATTCCAGCTGATCAAGACGCTAACGAGTTCTGAATTGACCTATGAAATCAAATCGAAGCATCATTGCTGACGCGCCAACTGCTCATAGTTGTCAGCTGCGTCCAGAAGCCCTGCCCTTGTGGAAAGGGAAGAACAAAGAAGTCGATCCTACGACTGCAATCTCCATCTCAATCTGGCAAACAATAGCCAAATACACCAAGACAAGACTGCATGGGGCATATTACTGCAGGATATTTTCCGCTTCGTATTTCATACAACTGGATTATTATTGTTGAGGCCCTCGAAGCCTCTTGGATCCCAACGGCTCATAGGCTCGCATCCACATAAACACTCCACTGGACCAATTGGCCTCCGATCCCTAGGCTCGTGGCTTACATGTGAAAGCCAGAGCGTCCGGCATTCCCGCTGCCATTCCTGCACCAACAAATCCAATCTTTTGCGCAACGTGCAGTGTGGCGAGCGAAAGAACCATAACCACAGAAATTCCGTGCCGACTTTCCTTCAATTCCCAAACGGCAAACACACGTGCATATACAGGGGCCCCCGCCTTGCCCTTTGCTCATCCAATCGCCGCCATAGAGCCGTCGTGTCTGTTAACCCGTCCCTCCTTAATAATTGAACATCGCCGGCCGTAGGACCGAGAACAGGGAAACGCCTCTGCCAAAATGTCTTGTACTTCATCAGCCTTTGCGATAGGCTCTCATGAGGATTTGGCCGAAGCTACCAGCTCCGGGACACAACCTCAAGAAGTACGGCCGAGGCAGAGAAGACGCCATTCCTCTTTTATGCCGCGCAGGAAGTCGATTGTCAATCACATCATGGACGGAGAGGAGGGGCTACTTCTCAAGGTCCGCACACTCCCTTGTTGTGCTCTCCATGCCAGTATGCTCTCATAGACTAACTTGCACAGGTCGATCTGTTCCTTTCCGAACTAGAAAGGCGCCTTGAGTATCTGGAAAGCTGCGGAGAAATTAGTCTAGACGCCAGTATTGCAAGGGCATATTCTACCTTGCAGACGGTGCGGACAAGATGTTCCCAAGTATCAGAAGAGGTCATCGGCGCAGGACGAAGGCGCCTACACATTATGGTCGAGACCCTGGACGCTCGCTATCATCATGCACTCGCTGCCGCCGAATCGATGAACGAAAAAGCAAAAGTAGGAATCGAATTGATGGACAATATGCTCAACGAATATGAAAGCAAGGCGCTCAAATACCGAGACCAGGGTCTAGCGAACGCTGCAGGTGCTGCCGAATCACTAATGGGGGAAGGTCGCCGCGTTGTTGACGAGGGTTTCGAGCGTGCCCGTGGTGTAGCGAATGAGGGCATAGAAAGAGCCAAGAGAGCCGCTGAAACCGTTGAAGAGCATGTCCAACGCGCCATCAGCCGTGCGAAAGAACATGGGCTTCTGAAGTACGAAGAACTTCCAGTTCCATGGAGGGTCAATCCTCATATTCTGAAGGGTTACCGGTTCAGCGAAACGAAGCTGGGCTGTCTCCGATCTGTGTTTCAACCCTCTAACGAGACCGTAAACATTTGGTCTCACGCTTTGGGACTACTGTTGGTCCTTTCCGTGGCCTTCTACTTTTATCCAACTTCGGCCAACTTCTCATTGAGCACCAAGACCGATGTTTTCATCGCCGCCATATTCTTTTTTGCGGCCTGCAAGTGCCTCGTGTGCAGCACTATATGGCACACAATGAACTGCGTTGCTGATCAAACGCTACTTGAGCGTTTTGCTTGCGTCGATTATACAGGTATTGCCTTGTTGATCGCTGCATCAATCATGACCACTGAATACACAGCATTCTACTGTGAGCCAATCAGTTGCTGGACATATATGACAGCCACTGGTCTGCTTGGTATCTTTGGAGTTGTCATGCCTTGGCACCCGTATTTCAATCGCGCTGATAAGGCTTGGCTTCGAGTCGGGTTCTTTGTCGGGTTGGGCGCTACCGGCTTCCTTCCTATTTTCCAGATTGTGTACACCAGAGGGCCGGCTTGGGCATACGATTTCTATGCCGGATCAAATCTCGTGAAGTCCTTGTGTGTATACGTTTTTGGTGCTGTTGTTTACGCAAGCAAGGTACCCGAACGATGGCTCCCGGGCACTTTCGATTATTTCGGAAATGCTCATAACTTATGGCACCTCGCTGTACTTGGTGGCATCCTCTTCCACTATGTCGCAATGCAGGAGTTCTTCGCTGGCGCTTTCCAACGTGCACAACACGAATGCCCTTCTTTGTAACGCTGCATAGCCATCAAGGATAACGACCGAATACTACCAGCTTATTGAACATCGGTTCGCGTCGCTGTCGAGTCTACACAAGTACTCTTCCATCGACGCAACACACCATAACCGCCATACGTAATGCAAATATCCAGTCTCCTGCACCTCCAATATCCTCGAGAAGTTACACAACTATCATAAAGCAAACACAAATCCCACCATCCACGTTAGTGCTACGGATCTCAACGCTGTAGAAGCCTTCAGGGTCGCCATAGCTACCTGTACAACGGGGCTTGTGGTAGTGCTGAGAACCAAGCTCTGCTTTGGGCCCGCTGTATCGAAGTTATCCAGAGTAGTCACAACCGCCGGACTGTCGACTGTCGTGCTCGGAACGGCCGTTTCGTTATCAACTGTGAATAGAGTTGGCACGCCCTCCACCGTTGATAAACTCGGCGAATTCATGGTCAATGTCGAAGATGGCTGCAGCCCCTCTGCCAAGAATGGGACCACTCCACCGGGCGTTGTCGTGGATAATGCGAAAGTGGCAGTATTGGCAGCGATGCTCGTAGTCGCAGTTGGAAAAACTATCAGGGTCGTTGGAAAAACAAAACCAGTAATTTGAGCACAAGTGACCAAATTCTCATCCTGTGACTCTGTCAACATGGCCGTGTTTGAGTGGGTCTATACCCTTACATCGGCACAGCAATATCCTGGACTTGGTACACAATAGGAGCCTGGATTACAGAAACCATGATCAGCGCAACACGTCTAGCCGAAGAGTCAGTGCGATACGACAGGCGGACGATTGACGGAGTCAGAACATGCCGCGTTACCAGCCTTGTCGTAGCAAAACGTGCTATCTGGTCCGCCGCAGATTTCGAAACCTTGTCCGTATGTCTGGTTGCATGACATCAACTGCCGCATAGGCATGAGCGCTGCAGATATTGGCGCGTAATTCTCCGTCCTCGTTATGGCATGTGCCATAAGCGCAAAGCTGGGCAGCATGATCCTCAAGAGTTGCATCCTGACAGGAACCACGTGTTGACTCGGGGTAGAAGAGCAAAACTACCTCTACGAGAAGACCAAAAGAAATAGGCGACCTCCAGCTTGGTATCCCAAGGCAGCGATAGAGAAAAGTTGTCCTAGAAGTGTTAATAAGATGGTGAGATAAACTTGTTTTATGGTCATTAGAGTATAAAGGAGATTCATATAATGAAGGTAGAGAGATTGGCATGAGAAACTGCCCAGGCTAAAGCATCATGTGCTTCTGCGTATTGTATACTACAAAAAGTTCCCCCAAACTCACCAGATCGTTCACGATGACCTTGTTCTGTCTCTAAACGCGCGGTGCCGCCCACATGGAATTCGCTTCAATACACCTGACTCTGTGGGTGACAGTCTGCATTCCACCCATCGGCTCTGGGGGAGGGAGCGAAAGCTCCATCCGCGTTCCATGGGCGTGTCAAGGTTGCCCCAAAAGGGAGAGAGTGTCTTGTGGTGGCGGCAGTGTTGCGGTTGCCGACATCCCTTCCGCAGGATGTCAGCTCAGTAGCGGGCAACTATCGTTTAAAATGTCGATTACGTTCCCCAGCACCTGTGAGCGGCCCTGCCAGGGATGATTGCTTGTGCCAGTAGGGCTGAAATAGTATGGTTCCTCCAATGGCTGACATGGGGGCGCATATTATAGCACGTTGATGTCTTGGTATGGCGGCCTGAGGTTCGCCCAGATTCAAGTCTCTAACCGGGTTGTCTGGAAACGATTCTCAAGATTATCTCAATATTGAAATTCAGTCATTATTCGTGTATGAACATTAATTAATGTCCTAGCGTGACACGCCGTATGCCATTATCTCCTCATGTCCTCAAACTGCTTCGTAATTATCGTCGTCCAGTAAGGATTAAATATCCTTGCATGAAATTATAGTACTGTACATCCAAGCTTTCTTCGTATCGTCGTTAGTTCAAGGCTCCCCAGCCCTGATCTGAATCCTCGTGGCTTCCAAGCCTTCCTCGTGTCGTGTTGTACAATGTGCGCATTCTCAGAGTCATAAAACCCTAGTGAGAGATATTTTTCTCGATTTCTAATATAAGCACCAAAAGGTGGGAGGTTTATTTTAGATTTTTTTTTTCTTTCGTATTTTCGAAAGGAGCTAAAATGGCTGGTTGGTTGGCGATATCACAGTGCGTGTCTGACAATCTCGTCGTACACGTCGTCGGGAAGCCGGTTGACCAGAGCAAGAGCCGTTTTCTTGATGGCCTCTGCGTTGAGTGCTGGGAACGATCGAAGCAGCTTGTTCGGACTATTGAAGGGCGTCAGCACTGGGACGATACTTGGGCAATGGAACTGCAACTTACCTCAGTGACTTGAGCAAGTCAGTCCGCATCATGACCAGCTGCGCCACAATACACACAATGTTTAAGTGTGGCCCATATGCGAAAAGAAAATCCCAGAGACGCAAGACCTCGGGGAGCGGCGGAGTACAGGCGCAAAGGGTCAAGACCGAGGGGAAAGCATAGATCTTGGCCGATAGTCCTGTATTCACAAGATGAAGGTGAAGCTTCACGTCAACGATAGCGAGGACTTTGTCGACCAGCTCCAGGCCGCGATGTACGCCTGTCATGGCGCCTCTGATGTAGCCAGGAACCTCGCTTGTCAAAAGTCGATGGAAGGCTACGTAAGCCTCGACCTCGCTGCGGGCAGCATACAAGAAAGGGGCAGCAAGAACGTTCATGCCTTGCACGTAAGTGCCTGGCTCTTGAGCTCCATGGTCTGAATCACCCTCGGTTGTCAGTGTCAGGGCTCGAGCTCTATTCTTGGCCGCCGGAGAGGATGTACCAGTGTTTGCGGTAGATGGTCGAGAACCATTATTGCTGCTGTCGGTATAGGGGAGCGAATGCCGACTGCTCGGAGGGCGCTTCAGCTCTTTCGCATCTTGTAGCTTCCAGGCAACGGCATTGAGCAAGCGGATCAAGCTCGCCTCGCTCACACGGCGGCGGAAAAGGGGGTCTGTCGTCAGAGTTCGGAAGGTATCATTGCGGATCTTGGAGTATGCGGGCGATGCGCCTCGATGTATCAATGCCAGGTATGCGTCGGTCTCGAGGACGGGGGCATTGAGGAAGATGAGCCAAACATAGATGCGGGCAGGTGACTAAAATAGGTCAGCAATCTCGGTCGTACTGTCGTATATCGAGCCCAACCGCACCATGCCATCACTGTCACTCTTGACGCCTTGGTCCAAGACCTTCAATCTTGCGCTTTCCAGAGCACCGGGCATATCGCTGTCAGGCGGACCATCTCGGATAAGGCGCTCTAGCGACAGAGCGTCGGCTGCGGGGGAGGTCTTGTTCATAACGAATCTCTGTCGGGAGTTCATAGTTCCATGACTTGTGATCAAGTTCACGGGCGAGGGCACATCGCTGTTCGCTCGGGCCCTTTGTGGTGAGCGGTTGCTAAATGCTCTCCGTGTGGGGCTGACATCGCGGGCCTGGAGTTCCCTAAACCTCTGCTGCGTGATCAGTCCTGGCGGCTGCCCAGCAGAGACTCGTGCAGCTGCACCAAGATTGTGCGCCGACTGAAGTTTTCGAAGTTGTCGATGGGTTCGTGGGGATGGAGGCGCGTGAAGCTCTGTTATGAGACTCGGCGTGAGAGATGGGGCGGACTCTCTGGTCGGGCTCGACATTTTGGGGTAGGGGATGGTGTCGGAAATTTAACATTCAATTGGCCTTATATAGTCCTCCGTAGCTAGACACACAGGCATAGGCAAAGGCAAGGGCATAGGCATCGGCTGGTTGAGGGCGTCACAATGCGATTCTGCCAGAGGCTATTATGAGAGGTTGGCGCTGACGCGCCCGGACCTTGAGCTGTATGTATTTTTCGCGTCGCACCTCGTCCAACTCATCCCCGCATCCATGATGATTTCTCATTGCAGTGTAAGACTGCAATGGCATTGGCAACAGAAGGCAGGTACTTCACACCATTACCTTGGTGGCCTATGCACATACTTGTGTACCATGGTCTTGTAACAATGCGACCAGCTGAGAGACCAGAGTCCAAAGTATATATTACGGCCAATCTATTGTTTTTCGGAGAATATTGTAGGTTAGGTGATTAGCCCGCCCCGTGCAATGCTCCGCTGCTGCGCGGGGTATTGCGAAGTTGTGCCACTGTCCCATCCAAGAGTATTTGTTTGATGTGGAGGTAGCATGTTGTTCCTCGGTTCATTTCATGATTCCCTGAAAGTTTGGATAAGCATACATATTACCTTTTGCATATAGTTTCTGCACGATTGCTGCTCAGTGAAGGTAGTACAGTTTCACTTTGGCTCTCTTGTCTCAAAACACACCGCAGATTCGAGGATTGAAAACAACTAAGTATATGACATCCAGCGTCCCGTAGCGCTTAATGCTAACCGACTGGACAAATTATATTTGCAAGACATGTTAGATGAACCTATTCATAACATCCAAACTGTGTATATCTACTGAGATAGGTATGTTGCCACTCAGTGGCTGCGAATGGCACTATGGAGTGTTATCATGAAGTGGACTTTCGGGTAACTGCTTTTGGCCAGCCAATCAGCAAGAGCTTCTCATTCGAGATTTAGTTGACCATATTAGCTTGTGAATAGTGTAGTGCAGTTTCGATTCACCCAATCAGTAAGAGCTTCTCGATTTTAGTGTTTGCAATGGTCGTCTCCAACTCATAGCATAGTCAGCCATGTCGGACAAATCTAGTTTCGAGTCGTCATCCTGCCTGAATCCTGAGATCACTGTTTCCGCGGCGTGACGCCTTTCCGCCTGACCAATACTTCTTTTAGACAGGACATGATTGCACCGATTCTCCATCTGATCAAAGTTGGTTTCGTGATGCCACTTCTAGATCATGGTCTTAAAGATGGTGTCTAGGTGTGATAGGCGTGTATGCATGGAGAATATTCAGCTGAGAAGCACTAGTGAGACGGCCCGGGATATTGAGTGAAATAGCTTCGATCCATGTGCCGAAGTAGTTACGTCTCCATGTCGCCACTGCTGAAGGCCAAGTCTGGAGCGTGCAAGAGGGCACGACTGAGATGATGAACGCGAAAGTTTGAACTATAGATTTAGTCTCGGAAGGGCCGTCTGGCCGCCTGCGCAAATAAAAATGGCTCGCACAAATGTCAGGTAAATTCACCGCATGCAGAAGACGAATCGATACTATACATATCGGTTGATGGGGCCAATCTCCGTTTTCGAATCGCAGGATTTCGTAAGGTAATAGCGAGATCATTTATGGGCCCCAGTGACGCATTCGGCGCGGTCGCCGGTTGAGGCTCCTCATCTAATGTCTCTATAGCCCGCACGTGGGGGCCATGAGATCATGGGGAATATCCATGAGGTCCAACATAAAATTCTCACACAACTATAGTTATTCGACGTAGATACTCTTGCAGTCTACCTATGCAAAGAAACTCAACGTAAGCTAGCTGACGGAAGCAGCCATAATGCTTCTGGGTGATCCAGATCCCTGGGACAAAAAGTAGTGCTTGTGAAATATTTGCATGGATTGTCTGCATTTTGATGACCTTCGAGGACGATTGCTCATTACTAGCGCCTATTGCACCATACGCTAAGATAGCTTCAACCAATGGGAGGCCCAATTAGCAGTCAACTTTCCATTTTTGGGCCGAAGTGGGTGGAGTGACGATTCACGTTCACCCTTGGCTGAACGTTCGCTCACCTGCGCAAAGCTGAAAGATTACGACGAGCATACCTCGCTAAAGTCTGAAAATAATGGGATTTAGAATGGCCAAGAAATCAAGGGGTAGCATTTAGATTTAAACTAGTAGAATCAAGACGGCGGTGTTGTAAAGGGCAGCATGGCCTGGAAAATATTACCTTGTACCTTGAGTAGAAGGAAGTGTAATTGCCATGTGCCTGAAACAAGCTGCACAGCGCCCTGACTAGCTATCAGCAATTAAGAATCTAACGGTTAAGTGCTACGGTATTGGCAGGAGGATCATCCCTCTCCACAACGAATGCCATGTGCGGATATGGATTCAGATTCAGGACACGCCTCGCCGCGCATAGTCAACAGCGGTTGCGGCAGTCAACCCGGGGCCCACTATACAGATTGCGCCATAGGAGCTTGTCAAACTCTTACGATTTCTACACGACTATTCATCAACGTAAGTCAGGGTGGGTATCATAGGAAAGTGGGAGACAATAGCCACTGTCGCAGTTTGTCGCACATCCCCCACGGGATCATACTTTTTAGTTTCCACCAGTTATTGCCACTCTCTCCAAGACAATCTCAAATAAGAGATTTGTGCAGTAAAGCGTCAGTGCCGTGGTCTAAGCATCTCCGGAGGTATACATCATTAGAATCTCGCTTCTTGTTTTCGCGGGCCCCCTTGGTGCTTTCTGTTTTTGCCAGAGAAATACATGAGTATTGTACGACATTATCATTTAACAACACAATCGATGAAGGAGAACCTTCTCAGGCATCCCACCCACGAGTAACGAGTAACGACACCCCAAGGCCGGTTCTGTGATTTACTCGATTATTGGGTTTCTTGTATGGTAAAGAATAGGGAAGACACGATCAGCACCCCTGTATATTGCCAGGCGTTCGAACGAGCACGAGGCGTTTTCACACGTGCGATCACGCCTTACAAACTATTGTCACCACTTCCATAGTGTGGCAGTCCGCTGTAATTTCGCCCCCATCATTGGCCCTCTTCGTAGCCGAGACCAGCACAAGCATCGACAGAAGCAAGCTGAAGAGCTTGTTGATCTCGGCAAGAGCTTGGTTATCTGGGCGATCGAACTAAATCGACTGCTTCGTGCACATTCTGGCCAGAACTGTAGAGTCGACTTTTCGTGGCTTTCAATAAGCTTCCTTGTCATCTTGTCCCGCAACCCTCAGGCTGCAGGCCCGGCGTACATCAACCATCCCCCTGGGTCGAGCCAGCTGCCTATTCTGAAAGAGGATATAGATCCTGACGCTTGGGGCCCATCCCGGATCACACCTAAAGTATTTGGGTTCTACCCGACCAGGGTGCTTCCATATACAGAGGTCGATCCTACCCTCGAAAAACTCCATCTTGAACTTCTCTCCAACCATCCTCGCTTCTCGCATCTCAGTCCTTGGTGGGATTGAAAGTTGTGCAGAGACACAAGATGCCTTCACGAACAGAGACTGGCCGTACATTGGCTAAGTATCTTGGCATTAAGTTGGACTCACAGCCTGGCGATGTCACGAGGGGAGAGTCTGTCTTCTCCAACCATACCGCCGATTCCTTCGTTGAAGAAGAGCCAACTACTGCAGAGTGGTTCCAAGAAGTCATTCCAACTGGCCACGATGTTGTCAATTACTTGAGGTCGCTTTTCCCGTTTCTCTCATGGATCGGCTTTTACAACCTGCAGTGGCTCATCGGTGATCTGGTTGCAGGTTAGTTGTTGCGCTCCCCATAGTGTTACTTTTCTTCTGTGCTAACGCCCTCACAGGTATCACAATCGGTGCTGTTGTTGTTCCTCAAGGAATGGCATACGCTAAGCTTGCGCAACTGCCAGTCCAATATGGTCTCTACTCCTCGTTTATGGGTGTTCTGATCTACTGGTTCTTCGCAACGTCTAAAGACATCACCATCGGTGTAAGCAAAACTGTTTCTTTTCGGACTTCGCCCTGGGCTAACCTCTTGTGCAACAGCCTGTGGCTGTAATGTCCACTGTCACAGGAAACGTGGTTACCAGCGCCATCGCGATCCTTCCGGAATACAAAGACCACCCTGAGGTCATTGCCAGCGCTTTGGCGATCATTACAGGTGCAATCGTTTTCTTCATCGGAATCATACGCTTCGGACGCATTGTCGAACTCATCCCGCTCGTTTCGTTGGCTGCCTTCATGACTGGTTCCGCTATTAATATCGCTGCTGGCCAAGTGCCGACCATGTTAGGAGAGACATTTGCCAAGCCGTACACGACCAGAGACGCAACCTATATGGTCATCATCAACACCTTCAAGTTCCTGCCAACTGCGAAGCTCGACGCCGCGATGGGGCTTACGGCCCTGTTCATGCTTTACCTGATTCGTTGGTCTTGTAGTACGGCCGCAAAGAGGTACCCTCAGAAGCAGAAGTTGTTTTTCTTCCTTGCAACTCTGCGAACTGCATTCGTCATCCTCCTGTACACCATGATCAGTTGGCTTGCCAACATGAACAGCCGCAGCAATCCCAAATTTAACATCTTGGGAACCGTGCCCCGAGGCTTCACTCATGCTTCAGTGCCTATCATCAACACCCAGATCATCAACTCATTCGTTAGCGATTTGCCCGCCTCTGTTATCGTGCTTTTGATCGAGCATATCGCCATCTCCAAGTCGTTTGGCCGAGTTAACAACTACATCATCAACCCATCACAAGAGATGGTCGCCATCGGTGTTACCAACCTCCTTGCTCCTTTTTTGGGCGGTTATCCATCAACTGGATCTTTCAGTCGAACCGCTATCAAGTCGAAGGCTGGTGTGAGAACTCCATTGGCTGGTGTTATCACAGCTATCGTCGTCTTGCTGGCAATCTACGCTCTTCCGGCAGTGTTCTTTTACATCCCAAACTCATCCCTGTCTGCCGTTATCATTCACGCCGTGGGTGATCTCATCACGCCACCTCAGACTCTTTACAAGTTCTGGCGCGTTTCACCTCTAGAGGTTCTGATCTGGGCTATTGGTGTTTTGGTCACGATTTTCACGACCATTGAGATTGGTATCTACTGTACCATTGCCATCTCTTTTGCCGTCTACATCGTGAGGCTTCTGATCGATCATGGTCGCTTCCTCGGCCGTGTCCAAGTTCATTCGGTTCTAGGCGACCATGTTATCGGAGGTAACAACAACTTGGTTGGCGAGTATGGTACATTCGATGGTGCCTCGGATTCTCCAGCCACGAGAAACATTTTCTTACCCATCTCACACGATGACGGCTCAAACCCTCAAGTGGACATCGCGAGCCCTTATCCAGGCGTTTTCATTTATCGCTTCTCGGAAGGCTTCAACTACCCGAACGCTGGTAGCACCCTTGAATACATGACTCACCACATCTTCGACAATACGCGTCGCACCAAGCTAGACTCTTATCCACGAAAGGGTGACCGTCCTTGGAACGACCCTGGTCGTAAGTCTTATCCCTAATCTTGCTTTTTCTGCAACATACACTAACTGTTTCATTGCAGCCAAGAAGGGTGAACGCGTTAATACGCATCTTCCAGAGCTGAAGGCTATCATTCTTGATTTCAGCTCCGTCAACGCTGTTGACGTTACCTCTGTGCAACAACTTATCGATGTTCGAAATCAGTTAGATCGTTATACGACTCCAGATGTCGTCGACTGGCACTTTGCTCATGTCAACAACCGCTGGACCAAGCGTGCCCTTGTCTCTGCTGGCTTTGGCTTTCCATCGGAGCGCGCTGATGGCCTACAGAGCCGCTGGCAACCCATCTTCAGCGTTGCCGAGATCGGCGGTGCTTCATCCGCGGCGGCTGTTGCTGAACATGATGCCAACGAGAAGGAAGTTAGCTTCCAGCAGACTCGTGCTAGCAGCTCGGACGCACAGCATGCCGGCGACCCAGATTTGATCGAGCGCGGTATCGGCGAGAGTAGCTCCAGCGGCAGCATTGACAAGGGTAACACTACGCAAGCCAAGAGGAGAGTCGCTGTCCATGGCCTTAACAGGCCATTGTTCCACATTGACCTCACTAGTGCATTGCAAAGCGCTGTTGCTAATATCGAGGCACGGGTGAAGCATGCAGATGGTACTGTCAGCAACCCTGGCGCGGAGGCAACTATTTGAGATGGATAATGTAATAAACAGTGCGCTGTTGTTGTATATGCTTTGCACTAAAGAGATTATGGCGCTTGGTTGGACAAGGTTTACTTTTGCCCGGATTTGGGGTTTAGTTGTATGGATACACCTGCTTACCTGGATACCTGCGATCGAAAATGATCGCCCGATTTATTGATATTATTTTCTGTTATTCAATTCCCAAATGTTTTGTGACGATTTAACCAGTATCCCAGGGCTGCAGGAACAGGCGAAACTCGCGCAAAGTGTTTTGAACCCGTCTCCGCCTTTGTTGGCCAAAACCTCGATTCAGGTTGCAGACGGGTTGGTTCATGCGATGGCAATAAATAGCAAAGGCCCAGAATGGTGATTTCAGTCTGGTGTTGCCGCAGTCATTGTTCTAATGCAAGACAGGTGTCCATACGTTAGTTGAACTCTACAAAACCAGGTATGCATTCCTTGATTCAAAGGAATTGAGGTGAACCTTGGGGTAGGGGCTGATGATCCCCTTAGACCAGTTTACTAAACGATGCTTCGTCGTTGCACTAAGCTGTGAATAGCCTTACCTTCACTCATGTACGCAAGATCTAACAGTTATAGGAGACTTGTCGTTAAAGTTTTCATGGTGGCCTGCCATACTGCTCTCTTTCCTTTAGCGCAGTCATCAAGGACTGGATATATTTAATATGAAGGTCGACAGATTAAAAATGGACTCAATTACGTTTGTGACACTGATGCTAGCAAACCCAAGCTGCTATGAATTCCATTGAAAGGCCTCTAATACAAGTGCAAGATTCAGTCGGTAGTGAGATCCTGGTCTGTGAATAACATTTTTCAGAAGGATCTTACCGAATCGTAGTGTGTGTTATGTTTGCACAGAATTTTCGTTAGAATTATCATTGAACAAATGTTTCTTATTTAACTTACTGTTAACGTCGAATACGGATGAACTCCTCACGAAGGGGTTAGGTAAGCCGTTTCTAATTTAATTTAAAACATTTTTTTAAATAATAAATAAATCTCGATTTAACCTTTGTAGATAATAAGTGGCACTAAATTATAATTCTAGGCCGTGTTCCATATTCTTCTATACTCCCATTGGTCTAATAGCTAAGCAAGGTAGCTGTAGCAATCAGTCTGGCGTTTACGGTTTTGTCGTTTGTATGTTCCTCTTCATCCGCTCTAATAACTTCGGCATCGTAACATTGATAGCAATGTACATTCTTGTAGTATTATTGACCGCATGCGCACTTCTGGTATCACCCTATAAGACATCCTGGTATAATCATGCGGCATCTTCGGTGCATTAGTGACCCATTGCATATCCGTTATGACCAGCTGGAACATTTGCAAAATTAATGCTCGTCGAATGTTCTGATGTGGGCGTAAATTTGATTGCAGTCGGAACTCAGGCTGGAGTCTAGGAGAGATTGATTTGATCTTCGAAAATGTTGTGGTCTCTGAGACTGATGTAGAGATATAGTAGAATACCAGAATGGTATTTAAGAGTGAACCGAGACGAAGTTTGTCTAATAAGAATGTTGTCTGGCGTCCGTTCCGATGTGTTTGAGGAGTTTGGAAAGATGGAGACCGCACCATGAACATACTTTTTACTTAGAACATTAAGACTTTTTTTTTAAGTCACGTGCTATTTTATGTGTCTACTGCTTGAACAGTATTGACAATAGAAAAATAAATAAGACAAGACTGACTCGAAGGTAAATCAAAGATGTGCCAGATGTTACGAAGGGAGTTATTGGAAATGTTTGCCAGGATTTGAGTGAAAAAAGAATATGTCGACAGAAGCGAACCAATCCCAACTTGCTACCCATCCTGGAGACCAGCTCTGAGACCTCATAACCAATTGAGATTGCCACTTCTAGTCTTACCTTGCACGTTTTGCTCTACCACCCTGACCTCCTCTGTGGCGTTTTGAGCCTAAAGTAGAATTGAGCACGCGAGCCTTTCGAGCTCTTTGGTGGATTTCTCGGAGTTTCTCCACGTAAGTGGCAGGTACACCATGTGTACTCATATTGTCGATAGTTTGACTCAGATCATCTGCCAGTGGATGAATTGCATCCGGGGAGAGCGAATTGAGTGCACCAATGGCGAAATTGTGATCTCGATCTCCGATAAGATTGATGTACAAATTCCGATCTAGCTTTGGCGCATGGGTAGGAGGTAAATCCTCACAGCGGTCAACAACTTCTTTAAGGATACGAAGAAGACAGCGCGCGGCTTCCCGACGCTCCCAGAACTCAAGAGGACGCCGAGACCTGAGGGCGCATGTCTGGATCTTCTGCACGATAATTCGCAGATGCATAGCGCACCACTGAACATTCGCAGGATACTCTTCATCATCTGAGTTGGCCGAAACGGATTTTGCATATGCATCGTGTTCTGCCAGAACAGCATCCGCCCTCTTCTGAAGCTTTCTGAAGGGATTGTGGATAAGTTCATCGTTTCGCATGCAAGACATGAAATAGTGGAAGAACTCATTATTCTCACATAACATGCGGAAAACCGTGCACTCCAGGTCGTTCCGCTTTACAGGCCGTGTTCCACCTGTAGGAGAGGTAAAAATATCCGGACGGTACTGGTCGACAGGGGTGCGATGCAGAGAAGCAAGAACTTCGCGAACCTCCTCGACACGTCGCGGGTTATAGGGACCATCCCGTGCGTCGGATACTTTCCCCGAACTTTGAATGTGGAGGTCGTCGGCAAGGATATTGAGATGGCATCGCGTGATCATGTCGTATGGGTCTTCAAGTCGGTTAGAGATCCCTTGATCATTCAGCGTAAGCAACTCATCTCGGATGTCGAATAATTGTGACGTGATCTGGTCAAATAACCAAAGGATATGACGGCAAGGAGTTTGACCAGTCATTCCATCCTGACAACTGCAACTTGGTGTCTCCCATCGACTTTCTTTAGAACCACTTCGTATGTCAAAGTGTTTCAACTCAGACACCTGGAAAACCACGAACTTCTCCCTTGCTGCACACTTCTGTAAGATGATTTGAGAAGGATCCTCAATGGCGTCTATGGCATGTCGACGCTTGTCTTTGTCGAGGCCCTCGAGTGTATATATTAGTTTAGATGGAAACCGAATACAGTTGTCTGCTTGAGTGGACTCGTCTGAGCTGTCCTCAGACTCAGTACTAGACTCGTGTCGCTGGCTGCGATGTTGTAAACGCGTAGTTGGAGGCATTTTTTCGATGGAGAGCTGACTGAACTGCTCTAAGGGCGAGGCAGAAGGAGGCATGAGGAAGAAAACAAGTCCCTAATTTGACCATGAGGATTAACTCTAACCATACGAGAGTGATTGGGCTATTATATAGAAATAAATCCGCGGTGATCACAGAAGCCGGCAGAAAGGGGGAGTCATTGTGTTCGCCCAAAGAATGATGATAGAGGCCCGATAGGGAGACTGGCACCGGGGTGTTTTGGCCTGCACAGGAGTCATTGAAGACACCACGGTGCAGTCACTTGACGTATTGATAGCCAACTCGATCTACTATTAACAGACGCAAGGTACTTGCACCGGCTTCTGGTTTAAGTTCCAACTGATAACTCGAATGATATCATCCAGTTAATGGAACTTCGGGGCTGAACCACGAATTGGGTCGCAGGGCCCGTTTCGACACACCCTTGACGTCGAAATGTGTACATGTCATCTGTTATGGTATCTTCTGAACGAGCCATTTCCATGAGCGGGAGTGATTGATTGCGTGTAAAGTAAGATGCTGCATGTGCAGTTGCAATGCAAACTAGCGTAGGAAGTGGTCGAACAAAGCCTCCACGACGCTATTGGTCAGTAAGCGTCGAGCCTTTCATCGCAACTGTGAGCCGCATCAACTACCTTCCCAACGTTCAATGTCTGCCTTGTATAAGCTGGAGGGCACTGCAAAGCAACAAGCGTACAACGAGCCACGGTCGCATGAAAGGCCACCACCTCCATTTTTACTCCGTTTCACTGGGTCCTCACGTCTATTGGGGTCACGCTTTCTGGCCGCGCTAGTTGGGGCTTGGGGGCCAGAAATGCCGCCGGGGCGACCACTCTGTAGGCCAGCAAGGCTTCTTTCACTACTTCGAGAAATCTTTGAGGACCCCCATATCGGTCACTCCTATTCACCAGTTGCGAAATATGCAAGGAAGGCCATCGGGCGGACGCATTGACTTGCGATCGATCAAGTGATCCAAACCATCACTAAGTCGGGTGGAAAGCGACACTACGAATTATGGGCTTCTGTCGGAGGGCTGCCTCGGGCACATGCATTATGGGACATCGTTTGGGTAGCTCTCACCGATATGACTACGTACAATCATGATGACATCTCCTATTTTGAGAAAGGGGCGTGGTACCTCGGACACACTGCCGCTGCCGCAGCCTGATTTTCTGGAACAGTTCACCCGCTTGCATACTGAGCACAGGCAGCAGCAAAACATAATGCTTGCAGCGGCCTTGACCGACGAGGTAATCCCATCATACCACCGGCGTGATTACTTTCTAGGATCTCGGCCCGGTTTCTTCAGAAGCTCATGGGCCTTGCGTTGTATTGGTCCACCTCTGTCGCCACCATTATCCCTTGGACATACATATGAAATGGAATATCTAAGGATCCAGAGGCCGACCATATTCAAGCCCAGAAGTCGCATATTGCCAAAAACCAGAGATATCGTCAGAGCGTATCTGGATCAAATGACACCCCCCTTGCTCCTGAATACCCACAGATGTCCGTTTGTTCGCTTGACTCTTGGAGCTACTTGAAAACATTGCCCTGGGTATGAAAACGTAGATGCCTCGAAAGTATCCATAAGTCGGCTGATTGGTTAATTCATCCACTCCCAGGGCCGGTATTAGATGATGATGTAGAGGTTACACCGCTTTTCACTTGGTAAAAAGTCACGCGCATTAATATACCACTGTTGCAGTGACTCATGCCCATTGGGAAAGCGTCTTCAGTCATGTATCATCGATATCCACCACGAAAGAAGATCATCTGCAAGGGACGAAGCCATCAAGGACCAACTGGCCAACTTGATAAACGAATTTCGGGTCAGGGCATTCGTTGAAGTACGAGTCTTTCGGCCAGGTCCCGGTCGCGTGGTCTGATGAAACAAGCCGTTTCTCCAGACAGGGAACATGCAGAAGATGAGAGACCTCGAGATGCATGTGTCTCGCGATTTGGCAAGAACTCCATCACGTGTTGTTTCGCCGCTGATGATCAGTATCTCTGTTATGAGGAATTGCCGAGTCCATGGAGTAATACCAACCGCCCCCAAGGGCCAATGGTCAACATTGGAGTAAGTTATATCAACTGCTTCTAATTCGTGGGTTGTTGGAGTGCTACCACAATAGGCACAAGAACCCAACATAAAGGAGCGAGGGGCGTCCAGCAACCTTTGCGGCGGTACCTTTTTGTTACTAGGCCATCCTAGGAGGCCAGTGAAGAACGCTTAGACATCGCTGTTGACTCATGTTGGGCTGAATCGGATCTCCAGCCTTGTGGGATCTGGCCCAATTTCACGGCCCGAATATTCACGGTTGTAAACCGGTTGGTGGAGCAGCAATAGTGAATATACCGTTGTCAAAATGAGCACAAATTTTTTGGTTTAAATTTACTTTTACACCATTGAGATTGAATTCGCTAATAACATTTAACATGGAAGCTCGGTGGGAATTATTTTTCGGCTGTTTCGACAATATGTTTGACCTAAGCACAAATATCCATAAAGCCCAACAAAGAGAAGTTGATGTATGCAAGATGACAATATTTAACTCCATGAATATATCTAGCACTATCTTTCGGGTAGCTGGAACATGACGTTGCCCTGCAACACTCCAGCTAGGTCCACTGTATTTAACTCTGCTAAAATTTCGAAATAACATCCTGAACGCCTTTGTTACTCCTCGGGTATCGCCTTTCTCATGAATATAAATGTACAAACGCCTTGTTCCACTTCCATCAACCACTTATATACTGTAACTTCATTACGTATCGTCAACTCGATTACGCCATGAAGGGTCGAGGCACAAGACCTCGCTTAGCCGAGGTATTTTGCGAATAGACCTTGACAGAGTTGATAAGCCAGTACGCTTCCTGGAAATCGCCAGCGTTGGCAGCGACGTATTCCTGGCATGTGCTGGCAAGCGCAGAGCAAGTTTTATCCGTACTCCACACCTTACCCGCCCAATCGCCGCAAAAGTCGACGTTGAAGACGATGGTATGCTCTTGAAAGTGATCGTCGATGTTGCAGCCTGAGCCGGAAAAGGTACTTGCGGCCATGCCCCAATTTGTCGGATCAGGGCTGCCAGAAGTAACATCCGACGGAATGGCCGCGCGTGGGAAAAACCAAATCGAGATGGCTTCACTGGTCCACTCGACGGCGTATACTCCACCACCTATGGCGTTGAATCCGGAGCCGAAAGTCTGCGTGTTATTGGTAGGTTGGGGGCAGCCCGTGTTGCCGTTGCCAGCATTGCAGTCGCCCTGGCTGAAGGAACAACCGGCGCTAGTGTGAAGTGTCATGGTCGTCGATGTGACTGAGTTAACTCCCTCGATGATGTCGATTTCACCTGAATTTGGCCAGCCACCCTCCTCACCAAACATCCAGAAGGCAGGCCAGAGCCCGCACCCGTTCTTTGAGGTTGTCGGCATGTGCGCAATATCAGCAATAAAAAGGCCTTTGGTGTATGTCTTTTTAGAATTAACCCTGGTTGAACCTCGGCCAGGTGAAGATGGGTTCACCGTCTCGTAATCCGCTCCTAAGTAGATACCGCCGTTCGCATACCCGGCAAGAGAAGAAGAATTTGCAAGTGCTGCAGTGTGGTATTGCACAAATCCATTGGTTGGATCAGCGCCACTATAGAAGTCGAAACCATCAAAGAAGCTGCTGGTGTCGTACGTGTCTTCAATGCTATACGTCGCGTGGGTTATGGCACTAAGCGAAGCAATTACGCCAAAGCGCAAAAGAGACCTTGTGCGGACCATCTCGAGTGCTGATTAGTGCTAATCTGATGTAGATGTCTTCGATAGGATGAGTCGTCTCTGTTTATTGTGCTAAATAATGAGCGTGTCCGTGGAAGGTGCCTTCAAGGTAGCTTCTGAGTAACTTGCACCAGCAAATTTTTATAGACAGGAGAGTACCGAGGAAGTAACGACCAAGTGAAACTGGTGTGAACTGTCCAATTTGAATGAATGTCTGTAGCAGTGGTAATTGTAGCGAGAACAAATACTGTCAAGCGCAAGCCTTTCTTATCGTCTTCCAGTGAGCAACAATGACATTGAGATCTCGACAAAGTCAGTAGTGAAACAATGAAGCAATCAAGTGCCAGACTAAGATTGCGTGCCAAATGAAAGGCTAGAAGTAGAGTCTATAATGGCAAAGCCGCTTAGAGAGTGACGGCTCAATGAATCGAAGTAGATGCAGAGGAGATGTCGAGTCAGGGGATAGTCACAACTTAGCTGCAGACGGCGTCCAAAGAAACGACCGAGTGACAGTGTGCGGGAAGTGCCAGCTTCTTTAACGTTGGACATGGCAGGGTGAGGTCAGGAAAGAGTATCCGACTACGATCAAGAGGAGTGCTTGCTACCAATCAATGGTCTGGGTTCTGTTTAGACATGCTCGGTAGCGCACAACACATGCAGCGTCAGCTTCCAACCGAAACATCCTGGTCGTAATGTGGTCTAGAAGCTTGCAGCTATTATACAAAGACACCAATCAAGTCTGAGAAGCAACCCTTCTGTATCCAGAAACCCCTTGCACACAGACTATCATGGCTCAACGGCTGTCAAATAAAGCACTTGGCGTTTGTGGCGGCGACCTACGACTTAGGAGCTTTGTCCATCGCATAAAGATGTAGATTGGACCAGCGTTCCCTCCAAGGACCCAGAGGGCGCCGAGTTTGGCTCAGATGAGACGGTAGCTCCATGGCAGATACTTGGATGAATTGCTGTCAAGCGCCTGAGGCGTTTCCACGGAGGAATGAAGGTGATGGACAAGAAGATCTCGCAGCCAATCGCTGGCATGATTGGAGTGTTTCCCAAACTTGGGCATGGATCAATGGGTCCGGGCAGCTGCCGCCTTGGCGCTGGAACCCCACTAATATGCCACATTTCAACCCCTGCCCCCGCCGCCCAGCCCTCTTGAGGCTCTTCGGATTGGTAGATCTGCAAGCTTCTTGAAACGTCAAACGAAACATTTTCAACCTGTGCATCCATACTTTCTTGACTATGTACTATTCGCCCCTGTTGCTTAGCTTACTTCATCTTCACAACCCTAATGAAAAGGACTTATTCTCTAAAGCTCACTTACATATAGCCTCAGTCTAGCCACGTCGGTACAGAATATTTACTTCTAGCACCTTAAGAATTGCCCAAGCCCATGTCCATGCCGCGGTCTCAAGGATGGTGTTGAGCGGTGAGCAAGACGACCAAAGCTGCGCTGTAGTCCTAGTAACGGTGCTTGACCAGGGACATTCCCCAAGGCATAACGCTATCGCCTTCAATCTTGTTCTCATAAGATATATACATGATCAGACCGGAAACCCCAATTTGACGAGCCAGGCCTCTCCCCTGTTCTCATCTGAAGCTTAAGCTAATTGCTTAATCGGATCCCAGTTGATCGGTAGATGGGCGATCAACTTTGGGAATCCTGGCATTGTGGAGATCTCCATGTTACAAGTTGAGCACTCATTGCTGGTCGTGACATGTGATTGAGGCACTGTGCTAACATCGTATATTACCAATCGTTTTAGAGATTGATACCCCAACCAAAATATCTACGGTCATATATATATTCATTCAAAGTGACCATTACGGTTAACACTAGCTGGCTGAAGCATCGATGGCTTAGGTATATCACAGCGTAACACTCCGTAAACGCTAGTACGAAAGTTCACGTACTTCGTCGCACTTGTCTGCATTTCTGTGAATTAGCGCCATAAGACGAACACACAACTATAGCAACTACATAGTGCAACTATCTAGGGATTGCTCTGAGCCACGGGATAAATTACGCTCACGTCGACCAGGTTGAATGTGGCCAAGACCAATCATTTGTAATGTCTTTTCTGGTTGCTTTGTATTACCCATAGCTTGCACCACAGAGGCCTTTACTCGACAATAGGTCCAGATTGGCCCTCCTCACCCTTGACGCGGATCACGGCCTCACCTGCATTATTGGGCTCGCTGGCATCCATGTGGGAGATATCGGCCACGCGCTACAACTGAAACCAGTAGCTCAAATTCCGTCTTCCGGGTGCTAAGAATAATTAACAACAGAACGCTGCTGATGTGGCTCGCACACTGCCCGGTGCCTAAGCTAGTCATGCTTCTGACAATCCTTATAGAACACCACGAGCCAGTAATTTCCCCCAACCGAGTACTTCAAGGCTATGTCTGGATATTTTTAATGCCTCGGGAGCTTGGAAGACCACTCACGACGGCTCAAGCTCTTAATACGTGTTCAACCAAGATAGGTGACCAGGAATACCGACCTTGTTATAGTAACGTGCCATCTTATAGCGAGAGCATCGCACCAAGTATTTCTTGTCGTCCCCACAGGAGAAGCGGTTTTTATTCCATATATAAGGGTAGGGCCTTCGTCACTAGAATATCTGTAAAAGAACATTAGAGGTGAAACTAAAGTGTAATGTAGAGATGTTTTCCATTCTCTACTCACCCAACACCGCTGAACCAAAACTCGTGGCCATTGTCATGCTCTTGCTTGCCGCCCATGGATGCCGACATGGTATCACTTCTTTAGGATTAGTAGTCGTTTCCTTTAAAGATGGACTGTGAGGATTGTCGAGTATTGTTAACCAGTCCAAGGATACAGTTGCTTTTGTGTATGGGAGGAATGTTCTGGAAACCGTTTTCTGAAGGTCCTTGCTGCCTAGAATCCATGTGGTACCGTCGTGCTTGTACTAATCGAGAGCCGTTTGGAGTTGAGGCTGTCGGAACATATTTGGCAGAGAGCTTCAGAGGACTCTTAGTAAATACATGTGTCGTGTCTCAATCTTAGTACCTAGCCGTATCGCGCATGAATAGCAAGAACGAAATAGCTGTGTTCATTGCAACTTTTGGAATCAAGAAGTATCGCTTCTAGGTGGCTCGTGGGTTTATAAGAAGTATAACGGAACGTTCAAGAAGAGCCCAATTGCCTCTGATAGGTAGTATCTGCCTCAAAAAACATGCTAGAAAGAGCAGAAGAGAATTCTGAAAGTTGCTTGCCGGCGGTGATAGACAGTTAGGGGCGCGATGGTTATCATTGAGTTTCTTGGTAATCTTATACTTTTCTTTTCTGTTCGGCATGCATGAATAAGTTGCATCCGAGCATAACACTAAGATTATCAGCAATTTAGCAGTCATGGAACTGGAGAAGACCGCCCATTTTGGTAGTAGTGATTCAGTCCGCAAAGTATAGATTAATAACTAAGTTGTTCGATAATTACCTTACTTTTTGTTCTTAGAAAATGTTAGTTCTTGTGTAGCGAGGCAGCTTTGTGCCCAGCCGTGTACAATTAGTTGATTATTGTGCGACTTCTTCTTACTACCCGTTTATCGAGGAAGGAACTCTAACTCTACTCGAGGAAGTACTTGTACAGTGAGACATAACTAGTAGGGAGATTAGCTGTCTTTCGTTTATATTCATGTATGATTTACGTAGGCTGCTTATTATCCCACAGGTGGTAACTAAAGAGTGGCAGCTAGTTGAGAAGCTCCCGAAGGGTACAAAGACATATGAGCTTGACTGGCCTCACTTGCTTTTGCGAGACGTGACGATGGGTGTAGATCGATGTGACCATTTATCCGGGATGTGTACTATAGTCTTTGTTAAGGTATAAATTTCACTTACAAGTGTATAATCTTTTCAAAGCCTTGACTAGACTATAGCCACTTGTTTGGATAAGGAACCGGTTTCAGCACTTGCATTTTGTGACAAATGCTTGTAAAGTAATATTAAGACGTAGGGTTGATTCAATAAGCAGCCCATCCAACAAATTGCAGTCGACATGATCGTTTGATCTGGAGTCAATGAGCAACAATTTAAAATTCACACCCAGCGGACTAAATATCCACAACGTTGGAGTTGCAGCCATGTACCTATTAGTTAGAGAGCCGGGTGTAACATGATTTATGCTTCATGAACGACTCTATATACGCTTGGATAAGGATTATCTTACTCCTCAGCTCCTTTGCTAAGTTGAATGTGAACTGTTTGGTTCAGGTTAATGAGAAGAGGTATAAATGGGTAGGATCTCAGAAGCGATTCCTTATATTATCCATATATAATAACGCCTGGCCGGACAAACAACGTGCCATCAATTAGCTCAACTGTTAAAGTACATGAGCACGCATGAGCCGAAAATATTGGCAGGGTTTTTATATTATTTTTATTTTTATAAATACAAAATTTTCTATATTTCATTCGTTTTCTTTATATTTCATTCATTTTTTGTTCATTTTTTCAGGTTTTCATCCCCCCCCTTCAGAACACGGACGCGCAATTGATCATTCTCAGCTCCAGCCATTGTGGACATCCAGAATAGCGCAATAACCCCCACATGAACTGGACCTCTTTCCGGTTGCTTGGCTCGAAGCTCGGGCCAGTGACAGTTACGGCCTTATTTAGGAGGCTCGCCGAAGCGAGCGAGCGCAGGGGTTAAGACGGAGGCTAATCTGCCACTGATTGATCATCCCTACATGGTAATCTATTTTAGAGATTGACACCTTCAACATTTCCCACCCATTAACAGCTGGGGAAGGCTTTGAAATCCGGAGAATATTGGAGCGGAACGCTCAAAGGATGTATGAAGTGGACAGATTGCTACAGCTTGCCATATGAGATCATGTAGCTGTACGCGAGGTGATACAAGACGTGTGGAAAAGGAATCTTGACAGCGTCTTTAGGTGCAGATGCGCAGTGATCCAGATTACATAGCTGGTCCCGCTTGCCTTATCATTGAATTGGATTGGCCGAGGAGCCAATGTTTGCAGACCGCAATCTACCCTGACACACTCACTTGGTGATATAAGGGAGGTCGTACTGTGTTGCTATTTCATCTTCGTTGAATACTAGATCTCCTCTTGGACGCTCTTCGTCCATGGCAGCTTTGGCACAGAACGCCCGCCAGTAACCATCATCTATCCTGTGTGATTGTTGGTGCGCTGAATAAGTGGACAGTGGCGTGGTGTGGTATTTCCCACCCGAGAGTTTGCTGACAGGAACGCATCCCCCCCGGCAAAATAGCAATAACCCTGTCGATCAATACGAACAAAAGCACATAATTGGCGGGTCATGCAATCAACTCTACCACTACTCGCGATTTCCACAGACTCCACAGACTGCACATTCTGAGAGTCTTCACTTCTTACACCCAGTCTAACTTAGGCCACCATCAAGTCTTGCCGAAGCTGAACTTGCACAAGGTGTCACATTTGCCAAACGGCCACGCAACGGCAGCGGCGTAACTCAAAGCGGTGCCGAGACTTTGAGACACTTGGCTTTGTCTCCCAGATCATTTGCGACGGCTGAGCCACCTTTCCTGACCTTGTTCTCCCCGAAACGTGCCGTGCTTCTTCGTTGAGGGCTTCGCATCCGGTCGAAGTTGTCTTCGAATTGCACCCGAACAACATTGAAAGTGGCGTCACAACACACGAACCCCGACTCTTCGAAGTCGACTGCTTTCACGGCACCCCGCGGATTTTCACACCACAGGAGGCGATCCTCAGCATCCTCAGCAACCGCGACACCTCCTTCACTGGCCCCACGCAGCGGCTCCCAGCATCTGGGAGTCAAGGGGCCTCTGACCCCAATTCCTGGTACGTCGCAATGCAGAATAGGTAGAAGAAGAACCCAACCAGCTGTGCACCTTTGTTAACGCGCACCTCTTCCCCCTTTAGGTACACCGAACGTGGCCATGTCCCTGAGTAGGAGCCCCTCACCGGTGCCTGGAGGAGGATGGTCTTCACCCGGGCTGGATATTAACACGAGTGGTCGATCGAGCCCCGCGAGAGGTCCTGCTGGAAATGGCCACAATGTGACCTGGGAGTCTGCAAGACTCAAGAGTCAGGGGGTTAGCGGCTATCCGTCTTTCTCGACACAGAACCAAGGTTTCTTTCAACGACACATGCGGCGCATATCGAGCAGTCTGCCCACTTTTGCTACAAACCACGATTATTATGCCGAAAAAGAGAAGCCAGCACGTCGTAATTGGAATGTGCCGCTCGCGGGGAGATTGCGAGCGATAACGACGCGCATGAGCAGAAAGTCTAAGACGAGGCTAGCGATTCTTGGAATCCTGCTTCTGTGTTACATGCTCTTCTGGATTACTCGTGAGTCGTGTTTGGTATTTTGTATGCTTTCGTCCTGAAACTAACCATCTCCTAGCCCTATGGTACTACTGGAGAAGAGCGACTTGGTTGGGAGGCGGCGAACGATTCGTCATCATTCTGGCAGCGAATGTTGGCGGTGGTGTCATGGAGTGGAAAGGTGCTCGAGAATGGGCCATTGAAAGAGACAGTGTTCGAAACAAACGCAAATATGTGTCCAACTGGGGCTATGATCTTGAGATAGTGGACATGAGCACAAAGAAGCGCTACGCGCACGAATGGCGTGAGAGCTGGGAGAAGGTGGACGCAATCAGGAACAGCTTCAGGAAATATCCCAAGGCTGAGTGGTAAGTTGATGGTAATACGCATTGAGAGGAAGCCTAGGCTAACAGGTGTAGGGTTTGGTGGCTGGACCTGAACACCTTTGTTATGGAGCCTTCATACTCCTTGCAAAGTCACATCTTCAATGATCTGCAGAAGAACATTTACCGCGACATCAACGAATACAACCCGCTTAATATTTCACACCCAATCAAAGCCAATTACCTCGACGAAGAGTCACAGAATGCCTTGGGCGACGGTAATGTCGACTCGGTGAATCTGATTCTGCCTCAAGACTGCTCCGGATTCAACCTAGGCTCATTTTTTGTAAGGCGTAGCGACTGGACTGACCGGTTACTGGACATCTGGTGGGACCCTGTGATGTATGAACAGAAGCACATGGAATGGGAACACAAAGAGCAAGATGCACTGGAGCAACTATACATCACGCAGCCATGGATTCGCAAGCACACTGCTTTCATTCCTCAGAGGAAGATCAACAGCTTTCCTAATGGTGCCTGCTCGGACAACGGCAACGACACCCGGATTCACTACGATCAAACGGATCGAGACTTCGTAGTGAACATGGCTGGATGCGAATGGGGGCGGGACTGCTGGGGCGAGATGTATAACTTCCGCGAGTTGAGCTATTATCTCAACCGGAACCCTTGGGAGCGGTTCAAAGAAGATATGGTCGCAGTCGTTTGGTACAAGCTTACTGGCCGCAAGGTCAAACTATAAGGTCTCGACCTTGTCGAATCCCATCTACCCTTCACCAAACAACACACACCCAGGGCACACCACCGTCCTTGTTGCCACAGTTGTACGATCTCTGCCAGGGTGAATCCGTTTGCCTGATATTACACCCAATTCTGCATGTATGGCCGGTATATCACTGCTGGACTTGTGTGTTGCTTGCCGAGCTAGAAGATTTGACCCAGCTAGGAGTCACTGTTTCTTTTACTATTTATTTCCTGGCGTCGTGCGAAGGCAAACGGGAAAGGTCCGACGATTCATGTGTATATGTACTAAGTCTATTGTGTATATCTAGATGTTCAAATGAGAATAGGAATGGAAAGACGAGAATGCTCACCCGCGTACTGATAGCTATTTCGCCTCGGAGCAAACACATGTGGTTGTGATATTCTCCTCAAATCGGTATTACAGCAGGTTGGTGTACAATACTCGGCCTTGATACCGTGCCGCTCACATTGCCAGATAACTAGCCTAGGGGAAACACGACAATGAAATCGGCTACGAGCAAACAAAGCAAAAAAGGTTCGCCCTGTCGCTTGCTTGTTTCGAGAGCGAATCTCAACCAATCATGTGAGAGAGAAGCTGCCACTCTCGCCAGGATTCCAGCTACTAATAAGTTTCAAAAGGCATTGTCAGATCTTTGAACACGGAATAAAGATAAAATGCTGACTCAATTGCCGCATCTTGATCTGGGGCACGGATCAGGCATCAGATACACCATGGATACTTGGATCAATTTCGAGGAGTGGCAAATGTCCCAATTGCTACAGCATGTATGTAGGCGCGAAAACATGTGCGACCTTGAACTGACGTGGCGGTCAGATCGCCAAAGAGTTCGCCAATGACACTCCACTTTGGGCCGAGTTCCAGCTCACGGATGGGGAACCTGGAAGCAGACTGGCACCCTAGATTACACCCGACCTGAGCTTGGAGCTGAACATCCCAGCCACCCTGTAAAAAGCTGCACGCAATAGGCACAGTGGGTTAACCTTGTAGATGCTAGGGCCACTGTACCAACCCACTGTAACTAGCAGCAGGAGCAATAGCCGCCTGCGAAGTGGAGTGTTGTGATCTGTACTGCCAATCTGACTTACCAAACATCCAAACTTGCTTCACGGCCGCTTCCGCGTACATTCCCCCAAACAAAACCATACCTATTGTAATTACATATATCTGCAATTGCCAAGACGGCTTCTTTCGAGCCTGACGTACTGTACACGAAGTCAAAGACACACGGAACCGAAGCTCCCGCCATTAGCGACATCGAATTCTACCGAATGGACGGAGAATACAGGAAGTTGTGATTCAGGCTGTTGTCAAGATGATGACCCGGGAGCGAGATGGGCATCACCGCCGCCGTAGTCCCGAGAGCGAGCGTCGCCGGCGAAAAGAGCGGCGGGATTCGCGGGAACAAGTGCTGAACCAACTGCAGCACATTCAAGAGCCAGAGCGATACCAAGAAGCCGTGCGACAGCCGCAGTTGCAGGGCGAGGGCAGGTACTACTACGAGAACCAGGCACCACACGCACATGGTGCTCCTCCCCACTCACAGACGCATGCGCACGCCTCTTCTTCGTATGCGCAACCGCCTCCGGGACCGAAATCTCAGCATAGTCGATCGCGAACCTTTTCGAGCTCTGGCGCGTCGTCGAGCTCCTCGACCTCGAGCAGTCTTTTGAACATCTCTCGCGATGGAAGACGATTTGGTTTCAAGTCATTTTTCACTGCTGCTGCCGAGAAGCACAAGCGTCGCGTACACAAGCAGCGGTCGCGCCGCATGTTCCGGTTCGGCAATGGATCGTCCTCGTCTGATCTGTCAGACATGGCTTATGGAAGGGGTTATATTGACAGAAAGAGGAGCCGGGACTTTACACCACCAGGGCCCAGTAGGCGGAGAAGTAATTCGCGCGAGAGGCCGGGCCCACCGAAGCGGGCCCAAACAGATGAAGAGATCATAGAGCTGGGCCGTAAGTTTGCGGAGATCGCGAGGCAGCAAAACAAGGAGGACCAGAGACGCGCCGGCCGGCATAAACCATCTGCTCTTTTGGGCGCCGTGGCGGCGCTGAGTGCGTATCACAAGACGGGTTCCGGGCGCGTTTCGGAAAGAGGCCTTGGCAGCTCAAAACATGACCGCCATCATTCTTCAGATGAGTCGGAATGGGAGTCTGCATCCGAGGATGAGTCTAGCAGCGAGGACGACGGACTTGTGTATGGATCGGCCGTGCATGTACCGACTGGTGGACACCAACCCATCCATATTTCTAGTCCGCCGCCTGTTAGTGGACCTGAAGAGTATGAGAGGATGCTCAAGAACAAGCCTTCGATTGTGGATCCCAAGCTGTTTGGTCCCGTCAATTCTCTCCGTGGCATTGTGAATACACCTTGTGGATTTGACAAGGTTGATCGGAGAACGGTTACTGAAGGATACTCTGCGGCCGCAGGGACCAGCGCATTCAATCCTCAGGACGAGACATTCTCATATCAGCCACCTCCGATGCAGCACGTTTACCCCGTGCCCACATCAGACCCGAGTGTTTTCGGGACCGGCCGAGGCTCAACAGTTTCAGCAGAGCAGGAGTCCCGCAGCAGGCCTGCTCCCTTACCGATCCAGCAGCCAAAGCCGATCGCGCCCGTGTCCAGCAAAGTATTTGATGCCACGGAGGCTGATGCCAAGTACTCGAAACGATCCTCGTCTTCGGGGACGGCGTTGGCAGGTGCTGCTGCCGCTGGGCTGGCCGGTGCAGCGATCGCGAGCGTGCTTGCTGATCGGAAAGATAAGGACGACACCCGCCATGATCGTCGCGAACGTGAGCATGGTGAGAAGCAACGCTCAAGGCACTCTGATAGCCAGTATGCGGAGTCGGTACATGCGGAGTCCCGGTATGGAGATGAGCGCGACGACAAACGTAAGTCGAAGCGCTCCGATGACAGATATGCTAGCTCCAAGTACTCCGAGTCGCAGTTCGGGGATGAAAGGGACGAGAAGCGTCGATCCAAACGTCTTGGTGACAAACATGCGGACGAGCGTGAGGATAAGGGCAAGAGCCGCGACGATTATGAGCGTGCAGAAAGGCGCCGCGAGAAAGAGCGCGCTAAGCAACTGGCCACGGAGGCCGAGCAAGAGATGCGACGCCGCGAGAAAGATCGTGATGCTGAGGAAGAACATGGTCGCGAATATCGAGGTAACGAGCGCAGAGAAGCGCGCAAAAGAGACAAGGAACATCGGAAAGAAGAGCAATGGCGCGATGACAAGTCGATCGTGAGCCGTTCATATGATGCCGATGTCTATCGAAGAGTCGAGAACCCCGAGGACCCTTTATCCAGAGGCCCGATCGACCCTTTTCAATTCCAAGTTCCAACCGACGCCTTTTCAACGCCTCAGCGCCCATTAACGCCCAATGTTTTCACTGTGGAGCGTGAACCTGACTTCTCCAGAATTGATGATCATTTCGAGCCAGAAAGGATGAGCCGCAGGGACTCCTATGAGCGCGAGTTACGGGACACCGAGGCCATCCACGACAGCGTCAGGGATGCTACTGTCCCCATTGCCGCTGGGGCTATCGCTGCAGCAACTGCTGCCGTGGCCATGGGTGAGCGCCGTGGTCGCAGTCAAAGTCGTGGAGGTGACGAGACCTCGCGTGTCCGAGAAGACAATCGCGATGTAGTTCAGGATGTGGCGAACATTCTTTACCGTCGGGATATGCTCGCGAAACAGGCAGCAGAGGATCGCTCTCGCAGCGTATCCCCCGAGCACTCCATTGTCAACAAATATCAGGAGGAGCCAACGCCCGCTAAACCTGAGATTATCACCCCGCCAGCCATGGATGTGCCGAAGCCCAAGAGTCCTTATGATGGACCCGATGCTGACGTCCGTATTGATAATATTCTGTCTCCAAAGGACTTGCCGCTCAGGACAAACGGACGAATGCAGAAGTCTCGTGATCCATCTGCTGAGCGTGATAGACCGATGCTGAACCTTGTTCGGCCAACGCCTGCTCCTACCCCTCAACCCGAGCAGCAAAAAGCTCGGCAGATAACACACCAAGAGCTTCCAAGAGAGCAGGAGACTAATGAGTCCAAGAAGGAGTCAAAGAAGAAGAAGAAGAAGAAGAACCCTCCACTGGTCGAACAGATCAAGGCAGATGATGACGTTGTGATCAGTCCTCGGGGCGAGGTATTTTCTACTCCTTCGACCCCTACTTCCAAGGGAGTAACCTGGGGGGAGAACGAGACGAGGCGTTACGTCGTTGAAAGTCCAGAGCGCAGTCATGATGAATTTTCACGTGGTCGTGTCGTCACTCCTGCTGAAACGCCAAAGTCGGAGTTAGGTAAGAAGAGTCGTTGGGGTATTCTTGCTTCTGCGATTGCAGGTGCAGGCGTCGCCGCCGCCGCAGTACCAGATTCCGTGAAGGATAGAGATCAGGATGATATTCGGAGCAACGTATCCTCGACCTTGAAGAAATCTCGCGACCGTGATTCGCTCAAGGAGAAAGAGAGCGATTTTGATGAGACGATTAACAACACCTCCTCAAGCTCAAGAAGGTCCAAAACCCGAGAGTCTCCTAAGGACAACTACATGGATGATATTTCAAGCAATATTTCTCACGGCTCTAGAAAACCACGAGATCGTGATTCTCCCGAAATCATGGATAGAGACCGGGATGACATTTATAGCAACATATCGAACTCCAAGAAATCAAGAGATAGAGATTTCAAGGATGGGGATGAGATATTCAGTAACATCTCGAGCTCCTCACGGAAGTCAAGAGACTCTCCAAAGGGCAAGCAACAATCTTCGGTTCCGTGGGACGAAGCTGAGGAACCGCCTATGCCTGGGCCCAAACCCACCAGCCCAAGAGCTCTGTCAATGCCAGGATCCTTTGCTGAGGATCTTGCTTTCACGGCAACCATTGCTGCTGGACTTCAAGACAGCGGGTTTGACCCTAACATAGTTATTGATGATGCCAAATTCCAACGCCGTGATT